TGTAATTGAAGCGAATCTCCTTTGGATGTTGTATTTGCACCAATATTAATAATTAGTTTTATAAGTCTTCTTCTTCTTCTAACAGCTCTCACCATTACTGGTTAGGCTGGCTCCAACGCCTAAAAGGGGAAGACGCTTCTAAGCGGAGCGATCTTCGACAGTAATGGAAGCCATTCCTTTTTCCATCGTCTAAGTCCATATATTGCTGGTCTACCTATACGTTCAAAATCTTTTCTCACCGTATCAGTTCAGGTCTTGATTGGCCCACCTCGCTTTTGACGCCAACTGTCACACGGTTTAGCAAATAACGAAACATGCGTCAACTCCTGGGCTGGACGACGGAGAATGTGCCCTAATCAGCGAAGACGGCGCTCTGTGATAACATTATTTATGCAAGTGGTATTTGAACGAAGGTGGATGCGATCTTGTGATATCTTATCCGCTCGACGGATCCGTAATATGTACCTTAGATAAGAGTGGTCAAAGGCAGATAACTTCTTAATATCCTCTACTCTCATTGGCCATGTCTCAGAACCACATAGTAAGATCGAACGGATTACGGCAATATAGATGCGAATTTTTATGGTGATTTCACGACGATTCCATAAAGGTTTCGCGAACCGGAAGAACGCATTTTTAGCTGCCGTAATCCGAGTTATAATATCATCTTTTGCCTGACCATTTGGTATTAGAGTGGACCGAAGGTATTTGAAATCAGGCACTTCCTCAACCGGCAATGAATTTACAAAAAGAGGCATTTTATCAGCTTCTTGCGCATAAGACGAAAAGACTATCGCTTTATTTACATTGATCCTGAGTCCTATTCTTGCAGTTTCTGACACGTTATTTAGTATTACTTCTATTTCGTTATATTATCAACAAAAAGGACTACATCATCAGCTTATTCAAGATCTGTGATACGATGCTCTGGACTAATTCGGACACCTCTTGAGTGCCGACAGGTAGTGTCCATTATCCAGTCTATCGCATAGATGAATATTGTGGGGGAAAGGACGCAGTCCTGACGGACACCTGTTCTTATTTCGAAGGAATCTGTCAGCTCCCCATATACACAGACCTGCGCCGACGTGCGCTCATAAAATGCCTTTATGAGTCTAATGATTTTCTCTGGAACACCGTCACGTTCCATCAAAAGCACCGCTCTATCAATTGAATCAAAGGCAACCGCAAAGTTGATGAAACTCAGTGACAGTGGTTTGCAAATATTTAAAGCGATGTTCACACCCTTCAACACCCTTCAACACCCTTCTTAATGTGAATATCTGGTCAGCACAACCGCGCCCTGGTCTGAAACCAGCTTAATTAGGGCGCATCCTGCTGTCTCGTACTTCCATAAGTCTGTTGAGTAGCATGGAAGCAAAAATTTTTGCTGAGACGTCTAATAGGCTGACTCGATAATTGTCGCAGTATGTCCTATCACTTTTCTTGAGAATTGGAAGCAGAATTGCTTTGCTCCAATCATCTGGTAATATTTCTTTTTTCCATACTGAAGAGTACATTTGTTGAAGGTGCGTTATGAAGGACGATGGATAGCATTTAAAAAGCTCAGTCCGAAGACCATCTTCTCCTGGAGTTTTGTTAGCCTTAAGCTTATGGATAACTGAAATTATTTCTTCTTCTGTTGGAGGTTCACAATTACAAACGTATGCTTCAGCAAACGTATCAGCTATATCAGATGGCATTTCATGGTTAAGTTTGGCCTTAAAGAATTCTTTCCATCTTATGAGGCGATCCTTAATACTTTTAATTAGTACGCCATTGCTGTCTCTTACCATTTCACTGATTGTTTCCCGAGTCATAGTCATAATTCAATTATAAGTAATTCAATTTAAATTGAAATATCAGTCTCATCCATAATCTACATTTGGCTAATATTTTCACTGTTTTTTATTTTTATTTTTCCAATTTATGTTGGTATTCATTTATTATTCATCATTATTAGCACAAATATATGGTTGCTACTTGTCTGCTCAATTTTTTTCAAATGAAAGCTAATGGAAAAAGCTAAAGGAGAGAATGGTTCAGTGGGTTGTTGCTCATTTGAAAGCACCGATGCTGAGGTTCGATTCCCCGCAAGAGTAAACCTTTATAAAAATCCAGGTGGTTCTGGCGACTTACCTGTATTTCTATCGCCAATGGACTCCCTGGCATATTGCTTAATGTGACAAGCCAGTGGAGCGAGTCTAACCAGTAATGGTGAGGATTCTTGCAAAAAAAAGTAGAAAAGCACGATTTGTGGTACCTTATGGAAAGATGGCAGCATCCTGAGTATTTAAGGAAAAGCTTATATATTGTTCAATGGACAATATATATTTCGAATTTTATCAAATATATATGTATATATAAGTATGTATATAGAATATGTATATATATATATACTTTTTAGGAATTTAAATATCAATTCGGCTATTTCTCTATTTTATCAATCGACCCTTTGCAATTTTAAGGCGGATACTTGACGATAAAATTTAATTTTTATAGAGTGGCCGCTAAGATTGATCTTAAGGAAAGATCGAAATTAGAAACATATATGCTAATTCTACTTGGCTGATTCGATGATGTGTTGAAGGAAAAGAACGTTCTGAAGAAAGAAATTTGACATTTGGTGCTCTATCTCGGTGGTCCACCAACATTTTAGCCACCAGAATTTTCAAAGTTGTGCCCGCCTGCAGGATTCGAATTCTTGAACGTCATATGCACCCAAGATCCGCAGATCTCCAGAATCTCCAGAAGTTTGATCGTGATTTACAAATTTCTGATGTTGAAATGCTCGATTTTTTTCTAAAGGCGTTCATTCCGTTCATTCTTTATGGTTAATCTCGACTAATTTGCCAGACCAAATAAATTTTGCCATGAAGTAGAGATGAGTCGCTAGGTGAAAACCAACACAACGCAGTTTTTTGAAAGGTTACATTTGAAAGGTAAAAAATTTTCTCCTGCCAACAGTAAAAATCCTCATATCTACGCTTCGAAGTGAAAGCCCACCACTAAGCCATTCTGCTAAAATAAATTCAAATGATTTACATAATATATTTTTTAAATAATTATTTTTCCCTCTTTATAAACAGTTTAATTCTCAAATTTGTCGAGTGAAATGGGAAAATTTGAAAAAATGAACGATTCATTTTGGATCTTTTTTGATGGTTTTTGATATCTTTCTTACTTTCCAAATCCTTGAATTTCCTCCTTTTTCCTCTTCTTCATTTCCTTTTAGCTCGAAAAAAATATTTTAAAATGATGCGACAAATATATCTAAAAAAAAAGGTCTCCTTGAAATTTTCACATTTAGTATTTGACTGAACTCGGAAAATGCCTTAATTTTATTGTCACCGAAACCAATCAACCAAATCAACCGATGGTGAGAGCTGTTAGAAGAAAAAAGAGGAAGTAAATCATCAAACGTTTGAATAACGAAGAACTTTTTGTGTTTTAATAGTCGTAAATTCCTTTCCTTCAATAAAGCCAATACCAATCGGTAAAGGAAAGGGGGAGGGAGGAAGTGGGGGGAAGCGAGGAAGTGGGAAAATAGCAAACAAAATTTATGACTGAGTTTCTAACCATTTATAGTTTAATAATTGGATGGCAGAATTTGTGTTTTACGATTTAATAAATTATTATTAATAAATTATTGATAATATACGAATAATTATATAATTGCCGAATTAATAAATTAATATTTTTAAACGTGTTTTGGCTGATAACCCAGGTTTCTATGTAATAGTATCTTGTTGCTATTCGTTGTGAGCGACAAATTAGTTAAACGAACAACAGCGAAACCCCCTCCGGCATCGAATTCGTGAATTTATAGATGCAACAAAACAAGGAAGCATTTTCGCATTCTTCTTTATAATTGCCATATTATTAATTTCAAAATATTTATTTCTGTATTATTGTTTGTGATTTTTGCATGATTATACTGGTTTTCAAACTGCTTATCACGCTGTAATTGTGCTTTTATAATTTCCTCGATTAAATCCAACTTATAAAAATCCATTCAAATCCCTCGCCAATCGGTGGTGATTTATACAAATTTAAAAGATTTGAATACATAAATGCATAAAATTTAAAATGAAATCCATGGCCATGAAAACCATATAGATATATTTATTTATTTAAAATACAATTAACAAATAATTTACGAGATGTCATATAAAGATGACATATAGCATAGCAATAGCCAATATGGCCTGTAAAGTAATACCAGTAACAGTGGAGACGTTTTGAAGTATACACCTTCGGACAACGTGCCTCCCTGGAGAATAAAATTTCACGAGTGCGTTTATCTTCGTTCAGATTCTATCTGCATTAATAATATCGCCTTACAGTGATATACTTTGCAGCGGCGAAAACTGACGCATATATCCCTTCATGCCAAACCATGTAGTTGATGATAGATGGCATAGGCAAGCACCCATCAAGATCGATTTTGAATATATAAATTAAGATATACGCTAATATGATGAAAAAAATGGCTTCTATCATAATCAGATAGACAATCGAATGACTTGGAAAATCTCTATCCTTGTGCCCAGCAAAGCGAGCCTAACCATCAATGGTGTTAGAATAAAAATGTGTAACATAATAAACAAAAAAATAATCTGACTGAAATGTGATAATCTATTTAGATTAGGAAATTTCCATTTCTCATTTTCTTCATTTCTCATTAAAAGAAAACTGATATTTTTGTATTTGCTACAGCTTACTGAATAACTTTATCAAAAAAAAACACCCAATAAAATCAAGGAGTCTCTAACACCCGTGTAAAATATAAAATATTATTTAAAAAAAAGCACTCAACATTAAATTAAAGAGTGAAAATAAAACAAGAATTAACAATTTAAACAATGAAAGGTCGACATTAGACCAACATTTGTTTGTATACCTAATTTAAATTATATGCATTTATCACGTAATTTGATCTATAAACATCTAAATTTATATTAACATTATTTTATTATACCATTATTATTGATAAATCACTATTCTTTCCACCGATGAGCACAATCGGAACTGGCACAACGATAAAATATCGTCATAGGTTCATCTGCGCTTCGAGTTTGAATTTGCAAATAATAAGCACGACTATTTCTACATCGCGGACATGTTTCTAAATCATTTTGAATGTATAAAAAAAAATATACATTATAGGCAACAAAAAACAATGAAACAAATTTGAACTCAAAAAACCAGTTATTCTTTATAATGTCAATAATAAATAATAAATTATGTCAAAATTCTAAAACACCGTTCTCAAAACCGTCAAAGTAAATATTTTAAATTGGCTAAACAGTGGAAATCCGAAAAAAAATACATAAAATACATTAAATATTAAAATTAAAATATATAATATAAAATTAAAATACATAGCTTATTATCAAAACAAAAAGCTTTTTTTTTAATAGCTTATTACCCACAAAAAACTTTCCTAAAAAAATATAATTTATGCTACTGAGTGTATATAAACCTTTGAAATCTTTTGCCACCTCTAGAAGCCTCAGAAAACTGGGAGTTCGTTATTAATCCAGAACCTTAGTTCTTCATAATAGGACCTAACCAGGATTTTTCTTTCGTTGCAAACTACCTATTTGGTAGTTTCATAATACTATCTTATTTCTGTTAGATTTTATTACATCATTTTAAACAATGTTTCCTTAAAATTCCTATCCTGTTCCGTACTTTAACTGTCGCAAAATTCTTCTACTACTCTTAAAACTTGATGTGCTTCCATTCTTACAAATCCACTTATCTTCCTTTAATATTATATTTAAAATGTGACCTTTTGTTATAACCGCTTAGAAATATCACTCATTTTATTTCCCCAGTGAATATCTTATCCAAATATGCTTTACTCTTCTTTTGATCGATTAAAAATGTCTATATCTAAATCTTTTTCAGGTATTTATATTTAAGGGCTCAAATGTTACTGAATACCATCAACTTCGTAAAAAAAAAAAAGTTACGCTCACCATTTTTGGTAAGGCTGCTATTATGGTTAAAAATTCATCAGGATCCGAGAGATTATAGATAAGCGATTATAGATTTTTGAAATATTAATATTAAGAGATATATGAAGTCAAGTGCAATTATAACTTTTCTCTTCATTCATAGGAGAAAGGTAGGAATGAGTGAGGAAATGTGGGAATGGAAAATAATGAAGCGAAAGAGCATTCTTATTAGCACCAGAATAAGAGAAAAAAATAATAAATACCATTTGTAATTTGCGCATTATCCCAAGCACGTGGACCACCAATAATAACATCTATAGCCTTTGACGAAGGAATATGGCGACCTTTAACCTGAAAGACTCAAAAATATAAATGATCATATTATAAAACATTTCCTTCTAAAGATAAATCTAAACCAGATCCAGGTTGATTCAGAAATATATCATTTAATAAAATATTCCTCAAAATTGCAGATAGTTATGTCATCGTTATTTAAGGATAAAAATGAAAATTTCAACGAAGTACAAGAAAATACCGAAAAAAAAATCGAAAACTTCATTATTGAAAATTTAATTAAGATTTCAAAGAACGGTTAACCTCACAGCACTTAAAAAATTACATCTCATGGAACTGGCACTGAAATGGCATTGGATAGTGATGATGAACTGTTAATTAAGGGTAAGCGCCTCATAAGAAAGAAGAATTTCTTTGAAGCCACGCTCAATCATGATGCACGATCTGTTGTCCCAGATATACCTGAATCGCTCATGGAGCCATACGCTTACAACATCATAAAAAAGAATATCCACGACCACATAACTGCAGTTCACTCATATATCGCTCTATGGTTCTGAGACATGGCCGATAAGAATAGAGGATATTAAGGAGATACCTTTGACCACTCATGTCTAAGATATATTTTACGGGTCAGTTGAGCGGATCAGATCAGATGAATGTATTCATCTTAGCTCAAATACCACTTTATTAATAGTACATAGAACGATGGTTAAGGCACCTTCATCGTTAAAGGATTTGATTCATTACTTGGTAAACCATGTGATGGATCGTGTCAAAAAGAGAGGTGGGCCAATAAAGATCTGGACTGAACAGTGAGATCAGGAAAGATTTTGAATGAACTTATAGGTGCATCAGCAATATATGGACTTAAGCAGTGGAAAAACAAATGGCTTCCATTACTAAATTTTGAAACTGTAAGTACTGAAATCTGCGATAGCATCAGATCGAGCAACTCGGAAACGTGTTAGCCTTGTATTGCACAGCCAACCTAACCACTAATGATGAGAGGTGTTAAAGGAATAAAAGCACTCAATTAATTAATCATATTAAGAAATCAATTTCTCAATATTTGCAAGTATTAGAAAACTATTTATTATTTTACAGAGCTCCACACATTTTAAAATAGAAGAAAAAGAAGAAAAAAAAACTTACGAGCCGAATAATTGGTTGAACATAAGGGCATATGCGACAGGAAAAACGAAAACAATGCTCACCTTCATCAACATTCAATAAAGCACCACAAATTGGGCAAAACGGTAGCATAAAATAATTTAAAAATTTTTTTTAACTCTGAAATTAATCTTATTGAAATATTCAGATAGGAAGCAACACCACCACGTAAACACCAAATAATGCACGCATGAGAAAAGTCGAATACTGGAAAACTTGGTGCTCGACTTACATCCATAAAGTCACTCACATCGCGACCACAGTGAAAAGGTTGAGGCATCGAACAAGGTTACTTTAATACTGTCGCAAATCACAGATTAAGAAGACAATGGAAGGGAAAAAATGAAAGACTCGTAGCAAAAAGAAATCATAAAATTCGAATTTTCTAATGTTGGACGCAATAAGAGACACGAAATAAGATCTGGATTAATGTTTATTATTTATTATACTTCAGTCGTTCATTCTGGCTCTGAAATAAGATTGACCATATTTGTTATAAGCTAAATATAAGCAACAACATTCCACCTTGATGATAGTTCCTTTGAACCCAATCCTCCCCCCACGTTCCCCACTTTCTTCCCTCCATCACCTTCTACCTTCTTCGATTGCCCATGACCACCCAAATGGAATCCACCGAAAAGAAAAATTCGTTTCAAGACGCAGTTTTTTAAAAAAACCGTCATTCCTACAACTTAATTGATAGATTGTAACTGTAAAAGGCTTACGCATTTTTGGAATGCTCACCTGTCGTGTAATATTGTCCAAATATACCACAAGTGCTTACATATGGCTAAGAAGAAGCATTGCTTTGACCACCGATAACTACAACTATTCTGACAATGCAGCTAAAATAAGGCACAGTTAGTACGCAAAAAATTGACAGATCTAATTTATCAGTAATCAGCCAACAGTAAAGTTCTAACCATTTCACAAGAAGATAATTCACAAGCCATGTGTTTCCCTTGCAAACTGAAATAAAAATGAAATTTTCCACTTTTTTAATTTTTGGTGCAATAATTTGATCAATTTTCAGACTCAGCAAACCATAGAGAATATAGTTATAGGTGTTGACCAGCACAGACTTGATTTTGTATGACAGTTTTATGCACAATAAATTATTAAATAAATATAATCGATGAAATAATAATGAAAAATAATAATTTGAAAACATAATTTAGGGAAAAATAAAAGAACCACTTGCAAAAATTCCTGAAATAATCTAAAATTATTGAAAAACAAAATTATTAATATTAAAATTATTAATATTCTTAACAATTGTTACTTATTATAAAAGTAAGATCAATAATTTAATAACAAATAATTAACAATAATTTAGAAATATATATTTAGCAATAAAGAAAAGAAAAGAATGAAGCAAGTAAAAATAAAAATAGCATAACAATTCGACTCATTAAACTTAGAACAAACCATTTTCGAATAGAATTTTTAATTATACTTATTATTAACACTGAACTGAAGCATATTAGAATATACAAACGATCATTCTACAAAAAAAATAATAATAATAAAAACAAATATCAAAAGAAACGGACACCTCATGATTTTCAGCTAAAAATGCTTACTAAGTTCAATCTTCCTTTGAAGAACTCGTGAAGATCGATAGATAAACGAATCTATCAAACTTGCGACGGTGAAAATTCCACCAATAATAGCGCATAATGATACAAGAAATGTGGATAACGATCTGTAAATTCAAAAAAAAAAAATCGAGAAAAAAAATCGTTAAATCGAGAAAAAATTTCCAGAAAGAAATCAGTTCACACTAATATCTAATATATTTATAAATATGACTGAAAGGCTGATTTTATTTACCTTCGCTTTTCTTCGTATTTAACCATCAACGGTGAAAATTCGTACTGCACGAAAAAGCCAGGAAGACCTGATAAACCTAAGCTTAGGTCCTTTTGATTCATAAATACGGAAAATTGATGGCTAAATAATTCATTAGGTGAAGTGAGGGATTTATAAATTGTTGGCACGATTTTTAGATAGTATTGAAACATAATACCGCCTAAAAAAACACAATGCAAAAATAAATAAAATTAGTAAATAAAATTAACATAAATTCGAGGGTTTCTACAAGTATTTTTTATAGGTCTGAGCATGGTTTTATACAGATCTGAATGTTTGAAAAGCCAGTTTTTTATGAATGCGCATAAATGCGTATATGATTGGCTACTTTAGGTAAAATGTAAATATGAAATAAAAATAAACTAAGAAAATTTTGAAAAAAAACTGAACCTTTGCTGGAAACAAAAGATTTGCCATCAAGTGGATAATTTTTTCCAGGATAATCAATACCAAATGATAAATGTCTGATAATATGCGAAGCATCAAATTTTACAGGCGCTATCGCATGAAGATCGTGAACGAAAACAGTTATATTTAAAATCTTACAACATCATACTTTAAAATATTCCCTTTATTTAATTATTACTAATAGCATTCCACTCAAAGAATTTACTCTAATTTGAAAATAAAAAATCGTCAAAAGTACCAAAAATATATAAAAGTACCAAAAATATAAAAAAAGCAAAAATTTTGTAAAATAAGTATAATAATTTGCTAATTTAGTGTTTTTTTTTGGATGTATCCAGAAGAGAACACAGCTGCTGCCTGAAACTACTAAATTTCAGCCCATCATTATGAACTGAAATCCCCATAGTCATGAAAATTTTAAAACTAAAAATGTTATAAAAATGTTATAAATGCAATAATGAAAAACTTCTTTAAATGCCACTAAATGTATATTTCTATCAATTCCAATAAATTTTATTAATTCCTTTTAACAGATCACTGTATTCATTTTCTTTATTCAGAATCCTGTCGTGTCGCAATGATATCTAAAAATTCTTTAATATCTCAACAGATCCAGCTGTAGATCTTAACAATATCCAACTTATTTTCCTCAGCACCTCGTCAGACCATATTTTTGATGCACTTCTTTGGATCCCATTACACTCCTTGAAGACTCAAAAATGCAGAAATCCTTTTGACAACTTAATCAGACTGGCCTTAAATCCATTTCTCTTAAGAATCCTGCATTGCGACACTCTTTTATAGTTCATTAATATGATTTCAAATCTCTGATTCTAAAATTGAAAAAAAACTTTTTCAAATCCAGTCAAAACATTTTGTCTCCATGATTTGTTTCTTCTACAAATTTACATTTTTCCTGCTACTTACGCCGTTAATTCTGATTTAATCTTGTTTAATCAAAATATCATCAATTGATTATCATTAATTAATTTTATATGAATTTTTATGTGAATGAATTTTATAAATATCATCATTTTATATGTATTTTTTATATTATAGAGCATATTGCGATGTTCACCCACATAACCATAGAATTTAAGATTGAAGGGTCGAAGTGGTTGATGAAAAAGGAAATTGGAATTTTGAAAATACCTGAATGGTCGAATAGCATATTGCTTCGGCTGGGGTTCGAAGGTTCGATCTCTGTCGCTTGATGGAAGCAATTTTAAAAGCGGGTTCCAGGAAGCTAATGACAATTCCTACATTCCTACATTTCTTATCTCCCAGTGATTCTTTAAAGGAGATCTTAACAACGAAAACCAGTTAAACAAGAACTGGTAAATGTCCACTGAAGAAAACATTACTGTGAGGAATTTCATAGAGAATAAATTTTTTCATGTTTGGAAATAACTTAGGCCCTGGAGGATAATAAGAAGTTGTGTCCTTTGATAACCCATGCACTTCAAATCGAGTTGACATGATTACATCCATTTTCATTCAAATACCACTTGCATTAATAGTACCATAAAAGAACGTCTTCGCTGGTTAAGGAAATAGATAAAACAAAAATAATATGGGTGTTTTCTAACTTCGAGTCCTTTAGGCACGGTTGTTTGGAGATTCCATGCACGTGAACATTCTTCTTCACTGCTTACCACAGGAGTTGACCCATACTTCGTTACTAACTAAATCCTGTGATGGATGATATCAAAACGAGGTGGAACAATTAAGACCTGGACTGATACGGTCAGGGAAGGTTTTGAATGTATGACTGAACCAGCAATATATGGATTTAGACAATAGAAAAAGGAATGGCTTCTATTATAGTCGACGGTGGAGTCGGATCGAATGGCTTAGAAATGTCTATTGCAGCCAGTCTAACTATGGTGAGATCTTTTAGAAGAAGAAATAAATCATCACGCTTATCTCTAACTAATAAAATTTGTAATAAAATTTAAAATTTGTCCATACAACGGGTCTATTTACCAGAAATAAATACTAACAATGAGAACGATGAGTTCGCAATGGATTGCCGGGAGCTACATGAAAATTACCAGCAACCTAAAATTAATAACTTGAAAAATAAAACTTTATAGACCAAATAAAAATTATTGTCATTAACTAGTGAACAGCTGAAAACTGAAACTGAAAACTGTTTTTCTATTTTTTTAAGAAAAAAACCTTGGCAACTTGCACAGTTCCATAAACTCGACAACCTTCATTCTTGTAATCTTCTAATTTCCTTACCCAAGAATCTGACTTACACTGCTCAACGCTTTCTATATCGACTATTTGCCATCCACGAAGATTATAAGCATTTTTCACGTCATCACATGTATTACAACATCTAAAAATGCATTAAAAAGTATATTAAACAATAAAATAAAACTATATAAAATACTTCTTACTCGAACCAATTCGGAAATCTTAAGTAAAATTCAAAATAGCACTATCAAAATTTTTAAAAAAAACTCACGCATCTGATGCTCCATAGCAACTTCCACATTTAATTACACTTGGATCAGAAGATAATACATATGATGAATTAATATTCACACCTAAGAAAGGAATAATTGCAAAAAACGAACGAATAAAAAAACGTGAACGTGATTTACAAATAACATCGTAGCTCAGCATGGAAATCTCCTTTGTATCGAATTTTTAATCCTTTAAATAGCGAAGAGAAAATTTTTGAAAAGTACCACATAACTTCGAATAGTCAAAATAGCCAAACGCAATAATCTCTAGAACCTTATTGCGATAGAAAAAACCACATTCACTAATAATTAATTAAAAATATTCCAAAAAATATATATATGCTGCAATTCTTTTTAGAAATAATTTTGACAAAAATGTAGACAGAATGAAGACAACACCTTGCTTTATAGCATCGTCAGAAATATTATTACCATTCAAATCAATTCTTTGTTTATATAAATCATGTTGTATATCTTGCTGATTATCACCACTCGCATCCATTACATCAACAGTTATCAATGAACATGGTAATTTGGCAAATTCGACATCGAAATTGATATCAATGCGTTGTTCAGCAGATGTCGAATCAACATAAAGCTGTTCATCTATTTCCGTCGATAGAAATGATATTGTTTCTGTTATAAATAATAGAATAATCACAAAGCCACAAACTATTGTCACTGAAAAAAATCTAATTTAAAAAAAAATTATTATTCGTTTTAAAAATCATCAAAGAAATTGAAAATGCAAGAAACATGGAATAAAATTTCTTTTGAAGAATTGGCGATGGCACATAACTGGCACTTATCTGCTTAAACTGAAATTTGCATCCCAAAACATAATCGCCTAATTAATTGTCAAAACTATATCGAAAGGATTATTTGATTACAGCTTTCTTTCGATAAAGAAATGTTATCAGAACGATTTTCAAAAAACAATAGAAAAAAGGATCTCAAGTACATTAAGATAAAAATTTAATTAATATAAAAAAATAAAAGTGAATAAATGAAAAAATATAAATATAAATAAAATAAAAAATACTAATATAAAAAAATTCAAAGAACCAAAAACGAGTTGAGAATTTCAAAAAATATCATCTAAATCTATATCTAAAGAATAGAATAAACAAAATAATTGCCTGCCCCTCCAGTAAAAGTTCGAACTCGAAAATCATCCAAAGGTTTTGAATACACATCAAATTCCTTGATTCGGTCGATAATTTGCATTGAACACTTTTTGAAGAACTTATATTTCGATTAATGCAACAAATTTGATGCGTTATTCTGAAAGAAATTCGAATAAAACGCAAATTATAATTAAAACGTGACGCGATGAATTTTCAACTATTACGCAGCTCCCTGTGGACCATACATTCCTTAATTCTTTTATCCACCAGTTCCCATTTCCATCCTCTCATAACATTCCACCAATATTTCATAATAATAATCGTCTTTAAACTCCCGTATTTTCAAAAGTCATTCTCCTAACTAAATGCAGTCCACTAAACACTGAAGAATGCACCTAATTTAGATATAGTATTAAGGGAATATGAATGAGCCGAGTGGTGTTAAGGAATTACGACGTGACTGAAAGGGATAAGGAAACATATAAAGGTGACATATAATAATAATGATAATAACAATAATAATAATAGATAATAATAATAACAATAATAATAACGATGATAATAATTAACAATAATAATAAATAATAATATTTAACATGCTATTAACAGATTATCGCAAAGCAGTACATGGAACTTTGAGAAGAAGCGAAAGGAGAATCTGTGGATCTTAGGACAGCTCCTCCAAAAAAAAGGGCAAATTTTGAAGGATTTCACAGAATTCTATGGTTGGCCAAGATTCCACAACGTGAGCGCGTTTCTTCCCGAACAATTTTATTGTTTATCTCCCTACAGAAACGGCAATAATTTTATTCCAAACCAACTATGGTGCATAAAGTCAAATACGCGCATAATATATGAGGTAAATAATGTGAAATCATTTTCAAAAAAAAGGATTTAATTAAATTACCTTCACCAAAGTCGTCTCTACATCCTTTCACACGTCTTTCTAGTTACCCCCTAGAACGGGGAAAAGTATGGCTCGGTGGGTTGTTGCTCAATTTGGAGGGACGATGCTGAAGTTCTACCCCCCGTAGAAGTAAATCTGACTATAGGAACCCACCTGTGCTTCTATCATCAAAGAACTCTCTGCGTTTGCCTATCTCCCTAGTGCGACAAGCGAAGAGAGCGAGTCTAATCCCAGCAATAGTGAAGGAGTTCTTTAAAGGCTCTTCCCTTCGTAAAATCCCTCCACTGTTATATCACTATTTTAATAGCGAAATTCACCTTCCTAATAGTTTGCAGACTTCTGTTCCGCTGCCGTTCAGCAAGAACCAGTCTAGCCAATCTGCTCTGTAAAGGATGCACCTCAGGCGAAAACGATAGAAGACAAATTCGCGGAACCAGCACCGTTTAAGTACCAAGTAGGACGGTGAAAAAGCTGAAAAGAAATGGTCTTATGCATTCCTTTATAAAAAAATAAAAAAGTATTGCCATTTAAACGACGGGAAAATAAAAAAAGCAATACAAAAACTAACAAAAAATTATGCATACACGTCAAGCCGCACTTTACTCACTACACTAAAATGCGGTTTCGAAGTCCACTGACCACGGCTTGGAAGACTTAGCAAATCTACAACTCTGCCGATATATTTGTAGTCTGTGCAGACGAAAGCTTCTCTTTTTACCAAATTTTATTTATTTATTTGAAATATTAAGAATTTCGAATAATTTCAAGGATTTTGTAATCAATGGAATTAACTTACATAATGTGCTTCATTAAAATGCGCGTTACTGTTTGTGGCATTTGAAATGCAGCTTCGCCACGATTCTCGTCAAAACGCCCAATTCCTGTGCAAACGCCGTTATCCGCCGTCAACCTTAAACCTCCTTCTCTACTTTTTCATAGTAAAGTATATTTTAACCGATGAATCGAAGATAATTAATCTGATTTATCCAGTCTTCAACCTTCAATCTTTAACGCCACTCGGTAAACAACCATACTTTATTTCATGGCAAAATATCACCCATTTTCGCGTGAAGATCAAAATTCCAGCTGCGCCATTTTAAAATCTTTGACGCCGTTTTTTGATTATAAATAGTTATATAATTCAGTATAATTAGATTAAAAGTAGAGATCAAAAAGAACAAAGTCAATTAAATTAATTTAATTGATTCTGAACTAATTATTAATTTAAATTAATTTACAAATAATGCTTATAAATGCAATAGTCACAAATAAGAATTGTTGAAGGTTAAAAAAGCAGGAGAAAGTGTACATTTACCAGCTTTTTGATTTAACACCAGGTAAGGTACGACAATCCAAATCGATTAAACTTTGCAGGAATTAGTTTTACATTTAAACAGATCTTCTACCATGAAATAATGGTTACCGCTGATTTGATTTTAACTGATATTTTCTTGGTTATGCATCCTTTGCAAAGGAGAAAATCGATAAAATGTTAATTTTTCTGTTGGGAGTAAATAAATTCTTTCTGTTCATCTGTCCACTGTAAATTATCTGTTGCATGAGATACCTACACCCTTAATTCATAAATAAAAACAATCCATGAGATCAGTGAATATCACAATCGTTACTGCTAATAATTCCAAGCTCCTTGGCTAAAGCCTGACTGAGACATCGCCGCGTTTGAAGACGGAAAAAGCCATCAGCACATTTCTTATATTGAAAGCGCGTAAACCCAGTTGGAATTGTGAAATTGTGTTTTATTTTAAGATGTCGAGTTAGACCAAAACCGTTCGTGTACTTTGCTGAACATAAATGACAAAGATGAGTATAAGGAGTGTAATCCTGAAAAATTGTTTAAGATTATTGTTTAAGAAAATTGTTTAAAAATTGTGCAAAAAAATTGAATAATAATATGAAAATGCCAATGATAAAAAAAATAATATAATGCATAATTTATATATTTAAGAATGCAATATTAAAAAACATCAAGAAGATTTGAGAATTTCAACTTAATTAATGCTAATATAAAGTGCTTAATGAAAGTCAAAAAAATAGGTTCCAAAGATAATTAAAAAATATGAAAAAAATTTTCCACAGAACAATTAACCCTAAATTTTTTCTTCAAAACCAATAAATTTAAATCGGAAGATCGATCAATTAATGGATCATCCCTATGTATTCATCAATTTATAAAAAATAAAAGAATCAAGAAGAAAAGGAAGCTAATTATGAATACATATACTCATTCATTAGTGAAATAGAACAATTTCACAAATAAATACCTGCTGATGCTTACGAACATGATTTGTCAACTGTTTCTGCCAACGAAATTTCGACCCACACTGAGCACACTCAAATTCCAAATTATTACTGTGCAAAACGCTATGTCTATCAAGATCTGCTTTCTGAGCAAAGCTGAAAACAATATCCTGTTTTATGCCATTTCGAATATATTTCAAATTAACAACAAAATATTAAGCTCAAAAAGAAAAAGAATGAACCTTCCTTTACACTGATTGCAACGATAGATTTTCCGTTTCAAATGAACGGTGAGTATATGACGACGAAGTGCTGATGGACTTCCTACCATCACAGCGCAATATTCGCATTTAAGATTCACTATATGTCGGCGACAATGCTCCCTAAGCAATCGAGCTGAATCAAATACTTTGTGACACAAAATGCAACGCTTTTCTATTGTTGAGTTCCCTTCTAAAATAAATCCATTTTCTATTGTAACATAGCAAATTTTATAAATATATAATCAATTTAATCTAATTTTAAAAATTTAAAAAAAACGAAAAAAACGAAAAAAAGGGTAAAAAAATAAAAGATAAAGAAAAAATTCACTTGATAAATTTCTACGCAGCATATGATAAAATAACTTTGAATTGTTCGCAAAAAAACATCCACAAAAAGGACAGGCTGCAGCTTTATCACCTGAGTGGTGCTGCACATGAATTTTTAAATTATTTTTATTCTTAAATTTCATAGTACATCCTGCAAAACTATTTAATATATGAAAAATATTGAAAACAAAACAGTTATAATTTTAAGAAGTTCAAACATAACACCAACCTTTCCAGTGACATTTGTAACATCTATTATCTCGATCTTTTTCATCCAGCAACTCTATATGTAAATTTATATGATTGACATATTTTAATATTTCATCGAACATAGCCTAAAATATTTAATATTTAACTATTTCTATTGAAAAAAATCTTTAAAATAAAAAAATAAAATCAAACGGAAAAAAATAGTACTGAAATCAAAAACACTTGACGTCTCCATTAAGATATTTAAAACGTACCATGCAATCTTCCCATTCGCAAACCAGTACTGCACCCTCATACACTAGTCGCGACTCGTGGAAACCACAACTACAATAAAAGTTTGCAAGAAAATCAACTTTGTGAAAAAAATAATCTAAAGTTTACCAATCTATATAAAATAAATTAATAACACAATAATATTTTCTTAGAACTTCGTGGCCCTGTAATATCTACCAACTTTTTCGAATTTTACCTTTTTTATTTTATTTCTCCTCAACATTGAGTTTCCTTGCACTATCAATTCCAGCTAGCTATATTCTGCCAAAAGCCAGTAATGGTAATGCCAAAAGCCTTCTTATCCTATATTACCTTATTGCATAAGACATCATTCCAAATTCCTCAAAATCTATTATAACTTCCGCGCTTCCAAAATCCTCTAAGTTTTTTTTTTAACTATAACTATATGGAATTTTCGATTTTTTCAAATATTACTTCTCAAAACCCCCTATATTATATAAACTCTTCGATAACTCTTAGATAAGTCCTAAATCATTGTTAAGCTCAATTATACTAACATTTTGTCGCATTTCCTAAAAATCCCTTCACAATGCCAATGGAACTCGAATTGTAAGTTAAACCCTCCATCATCACTTTTACTTTGTGAAAATTTTTATTTTTCAAAATCATCAAACAGCCTTCAGAACTCCCACTATTCTCTTGCTTCATGATTCATTAGATACTTTAAACCCTCTTCTGCAATTGTTTAACTTTTCAAATTCTTCTGAATCCCGTTTAATGTAACCCGTCCTCTTTTCATTTGCTATTCACTTAAAATTTCGTTTAATTGTAGAGAACAGCAAAATGCTAAAGGCAAGAGAAAAAATAGTGGAAATGGACTTCAAATAGTCATATCCTTAAAATCCTAACAACCATCCTTAACATCCAATCAAGCATTTGTTTTTTAAAATCAGCGATAACATCTACAAAATCCACTTGTATTATTGAGCCTTATTATAGTATTTTAACACTATGAAATCCTGACGTTCCTTTCTACTCTTCTTCCCCTATCGTGCTTTGATATTCCTTATCAAGTTTTCTCCTGCCATTAATTGTTACCATCATCGCAAATCTCGCTATATTCTCTAATAGCGCCTTTAGTAACTTTGGACCTATTTCCATCGCTTAAAGCCAGTTTGTGGCTCTCTAATAACATTCTATTTTAACGATCAGGCCTGGCAGCATGCTTTTGTCGTGGCAACAAACTATAAAACTACTAAAGATATCGCAAAGTATCGAGAAAAAATGCTGATGGATAATTAACACGAACAGAGATTAAGAAAATATAAATTTAAAATGAAATAATGAATATACCATGGGTTATAATAACGCTGCTCGTTGAACACAGGATAAAAGTTCATACTACTATAAAAAAGAACTAACGAAGTCAAATGAGAAGTATCGGATCTATGCATAATTGCAAATAATCCATCATACTGACGAATCGCATGGAATTCATGCATAAAAATATGCCTCAGCAATTCTATTTTCGTAGGACTTGTAAATAAACACTGCTTAATTGGACAACGATAATTACCATCAATATAAATCTCTGAAAAAAAAAATTAATTTCGAAGAATCAAATGATGAATCATATCATAAAAATCAGAAGTTATAAAACACGATATTAAATAAATCTTAAGAATTCACCAAAGCCAAACATTTCAATATGAGATTTGAAATGAGAATGAAAATTGTTCAGCGAATCGAAAAGTTGTTCACAGTCAAGCCATAAGCAATAAAACTTGATCTGAATTAAATTAAAATTTTGTGGGAAAATGAATCCTTGAAAATTTATCGATATAAAATTTTATCATTGGAAATATACAAATATGCATGCATCTAAAAGAAAATCAAATATTCTAAAAGAAATACCACACGATTAAAATTATTTCTTTAAATACGTTGTATCTCTAGTAAACGCCTCTCATTTCTTATCACTTTTAAATCTTTCTTAAACAATTTAAACAACAAAGATAATAAAGTGAAAAAAATATCTTGAACTATTTCTTTATCTTTCTTCTTTCGAAACTATTTCTCTGCTAATCTTAAGTCTTTAGGTGTTTATGAGAAATTGCAGACCCTTTCGAAATAAGAAACGTCCAAAAAATAAGAAACGAAAATGCGCATCTACCTAGTCGCGATTAGTTCGATCTTGCAATATGGCTGCGAGATATGGCCAGTGAGAGTGGAGGACATTAAGAAGTTATCTGCTTCTGACCACTCATGTCTTTTTGCAGTTTCGTTGAGTGGATAAAAAATCACATGATAACATCCACCTTACTTCATATATCACTTCTAATAACACAGTCTTCCCTTCGCTGGTTAGGGCTCTCTCTGTCGTCCACTACGGGATTTGACGCATATTTCGCTACGTACTAAATCCTGTGATGGATTATAACAAAATCGAGGAGGACCAATCAAATATTGGATTATTAGGGAAGATTTTGAACACATAGGCGACTTGAAAAAAATTGCTTGAAAAAAAGGACTTGGATACATCTATTTCCAGGCTTACAAATGCTATATATTAGTAGCAAGTGCTACCAGCCAGTGCTATTTTATATTTTAAAATATTTTATGTAAACATTTCTTTCTTTAGCCGATTCCAGTTAACCAATTATGAAGAGAAATGGTATATAAGACAAGTTATACTAATTTGTACTAATTTTATATTATACTAATTTTACCTACAATTTCCAAATCTTCCAAATCCTCTTAAAAGTTACCAAATTTTGTGGCGATCTTTAAAAATTCACTACAAAAATTAAAATAAAAAATGAATATACATACATCATCTTGACAGCGTATCACCCAATTATTCTGATTCTGCACTTCAAGTGTTTGCACCATTATGTAAATGCAAAAGTTCCTGAAAAACCAAAATCAATTTACAGTAACAACTCGACCAAATCAAGTAAATATTTCGTTACTTCGCCATTTGTCTTATATCCACTTAGATGTGGCCCATTAGATAACATCGTCAACGCTATAGGACAACACTACAAATATAACCTCCTTCATCATAAGTACAGAATGACCGTTCTATACCAAAATGACTAACAAAATCCACACAAACAAATAATCAAATAATAGGAAGCCAATCTTAAAGAATGACAAGAATCCACAGAAGAATTTTGAATTATGAGTTTCTGCCGTGAAAAAAGTCGATAAATTCTGCTGAGTGTTTCTGAATGAAAAAATCAAAGGTAAGGGATCCGAGGATGCGGGGAAAACACTTAGAATTAGACAACAGGATTGGGGACTTTTCGGAAATATCTTCGTCAAAAATATTTTTGCCAAAAATATTTTTTCAAAAACCAATGACGAAATGTCCTCCTTAAGCTTTCCCTCTAAGAATCAGAAAGGACGTTTTAATGTCCAAAGAAATTCACCGCAGACTATCCAAAGGATCCAAAGAAATTCCCGCAAACTGAATAATTTTCGATAAGAAAATTCAGTTAAGAATTACAACGCAATAAAAAAACAATATAAAGGAAATAGAAAGCTACATAGAACTCCAAGCGACGCAACCATCCTCCCTCACCCTAGAAAGCTGCATATAACTCAAGAACTCCAAGCGATGCAACCACCTCCCCCACCCACTTCCCCTTCCCACTCCCCCCCCCTAACCTTCCAGAAAAACTCACAAATGATAATGATTTTAAAAAAAATCCGCCAAATTTACTGGCAAGTAGCCAACAAAGCGGTCCCTCTTTTCGAGTAATGACAGTTTAAAATAACAGCTCAATATTTATAATATTTTGTCTTTGGACTAATGGACACACGAAAAAATATATAGGTTTTTTGACAAAAATCTTTAATATGATCTAAAAGAATAATAAAAAATAATCTAAAAAATTTAAATTTAAAATAAATAAAAAAATAATCTAGAAATATATTTTGATTTTTTGACAAAAGGTGGTGACAAAAATATTTCGGCGGTTGACAAAAGTATTTTATAGAAAATATTTTGGCTTTTAACAAAATTTTTTGGTGGCCGGCAAAATTGCTTTGGCGGTTAGCAGAAATATTTCGATGACAAAAGTATTTCGACGAGTGGCGAATTGCTTGGACAAATCGCCTTTCATTGTGGATCCTCCGAGCTATAACAATTCTAAGCCAATAAGTATGCATAAGTGCTTATATAACAGCGTTTGAAAATAAAAACGGCCAAAAAACTTTTTATATTGTCCGAAATTTTTTTATACGCCACTGTATTCCACTGGCACCGCTCTCGTACCCTATCGCGTCGCTTTCTCCTTCCACATAACCTCAAAGTAATTTCGCATTAAAGTCCATCGTGTTTTTGCTAAGGGTCGGTGCGCAAGGCTCGTTAACATTAATGCTTTTCTCCGTCGAATTAAACCTTATTAGTTCCGTTAATGCAGAACGGCCGGGGGGGGGGGGGGGGGGGGGGGGGGGGGGGACGACGAATGTTATATGGGTGTGGGAAGAGTGTTCGCAGAAAGAGTGTTAAGAGGACGTACTGAAAAAGGCTGAACCAAGATTGATGTAGATGAATTGGCCATTAACTTTTCGAAACTTTTGTCGAAATAAATATTTATTTAAATATTAAATAAATAAAAAACCACTTGTAAAAAAAAATTTTTAATAATGAAATTTGATTATTCATAGAAAATAATTTTATGCAAAAACAAAGCAAAAGAGGGCAGTTAGCCTTTCAGTTCCAAGCCATTTTTTCCAAGATCGCTCACCATTTCTGGACAGATTCGCTCCGCTTGTTGGACCCCAGCATAATCCGAATCTTTGAAATGTAAGTTATTCTTGTGAGAATGGAACTCTAGCATCGTTATTCCGAGATAAGGGCAACAGAATCATTACTGAATCATTATGCGAAATTTATAATTAAAAACGACTGGCCTATCGACGGTACACTCACAATCACAATGGACTGAACGATCTTATTGAATTGGACCACCATTCCAGAATGTTTAATTATAGAATTCTGGAATGAATTTGCATTTTAGCACCTCGTTAATCCAGGCCAACTAAAGGCCTCTTTTTAAATGTTGAAGACAAAAGAAGTAGACAAAAATAAAACGAATTTTTTTTCTTTATTTCTCAGATATCACGCGCTTCTCGAAAATATGGACATTGATTGGCTTTTTGGGTACCAGAAAATCAGAAAAAATATCTGCAACAAATTTTATTCTTAATCATTAGAACAAGGCGGGGGAGGTGAAGAAAACACTTTGTCATATTTCGACTTTGGATAAGCATCCAATCTCAACGCATGTACACCGCTATTCAATTCGCTCTGAAGGCATTCATATATTCGACGATGTATCTGAAATAAAATTTTAGCTCTAAAATTTTATTAAACAATAAATGAATAAACTTGAAGGATTTTTTGCATGACAAACAAAACAAATGACAAACCTCAACATTTTTTAGGCCTTCAAAAGCGTCAGAAACGATTAAAACACTGAAATGCCTTTCCGTACCTACCGAACTTCCATGAATATCACTTTCACATTCAACAACCAAATGAGTTGGCTAAAATACTGAAATACTATTAATGTTTGATCGTTCTGGGTTTTGATTGTTCTAATTAGTGTTCTTTATCTTTAGTTCTCTTTTTATTACTATTTAAATTCTATTACTATTCTATTACTATTTAAAAACTTTTCCAATCAACTTTATTAGCACTATTATCATAGTTCTCACTGAATTATAGTTAATTTCATCCCAAAAAATGAAAGAAGGACAGAATAGGTTAATGATTAGTACGAGACGCCAATGCAGAGATTCTATGCGATAGGAATAATTACGTCCTTCAAAAATTCAGCTGCTGCTAACGACCCTTTTGCATTTCTGTTCCCAAATGACTCTCTGGCAAAACCTATCTAACCCGACTAATCTGCGGAGCGAGTCTAACCTGTAATGATGAGCGCTCTTAGAAGAAAAACTAAAATGAATAAACAACCGGTTTTGTCGATAAATACGTTATTCACCTGGTTACTCTGGCAAACAGTCCCCAAATACTACTTTGCTAAATCAATTTCAAATACCTGCTGAAGACTTATGGCACAGAGAAGATCAAAAGGTGTACAAAACCGGTTCTGCGATTCACCATAAATGCGGGGAAAACAGCTAAATTTTTGTGGAAATAAAAAGAAATTTAAAAAATATATAGCAATAATTTGTATGCTATTTGAAAATATGCTTGTGCTGCCAGATGTCGATTTCTACTTTTCCTTCTTAATTTTCTAATCGAGCATCTAATTAAACCAAAAGAGCCCAAACTTAAAGACCGTAGCCTGCGGTTCACCTTTCAATAGGTCAAATTCAGGTGCAAGGAAAAAAGGTACAAATTGGAGAAATGGACTGAAAAAAGAGACAAAGTTAATAGAGAAAAAAGAAAATATTAACCGAAAAGGTTTCAGTCAATTTTTTCGTAATTAATTGCTGTATAGGGCCTTTCTGCGTAGAGAAATACCGCAAATTCTTCCAGAGAAAATTAATCATAACGGCCTGAAATTTAAATTTATAAGGTTACTTTTATGGTACTTCTTTATCTCAATGCCCGCCGAGATTTTCTCCACTGGACCATTCGTCGACATTGTCTTTCTCGTACAGACTACCCCACTTGCCTTTGGCCTAGCTTTCTGTTAAATATCGTTGTCGCAGAAAGGCGAAAAAAGCTGTAAATTTGAGAAAGTCATAAGGATTCCCGCCCATCTTAAATTAGATATAAGCTCCCAAAAGATCAATTTTATGCTTTTATTAGGGGAAAATGAGTGGGGGAGCGGTCGGTGAGTGATGGGCATTTAGATTTTATGTTTGATTTTTTTACTACATTATTTCTTTGTAAGAGGGCAATTACTTCGCTTTATTTTCTTATATATATTTGCGTCTTTACTAATAAAGGTTTAATTACCCAAGTTTGAGGTTCACAAAAAGAAAAGTAAAAGTAGAACGCTGGCCACAGTTTTATAATATTAATAATATTAATATGAAATAAAAGTCCCGTGTGGCAGGAAAACTAAATCTATATAGAAAAAAGATAGTGGAGCAGATTCCCAAAAGGAATTTTTTGTAGAGGTAGAATATTGAAAGGGGAATCGCCGTGCTCCCAACGAAAATTTCTTAGTACAATAAATTCTTTTTTCTGTACAATCGTTGTGGCTACTATCGTTTATTTCATTATGTGCATCTCATTTGCTGACTGGCTATGCCATTAAACTTCAACACACCACTTTGTTTAGTTGAAAATTGCCTTATCTCCCTCAAATCGATTAATCGATATGTGATCTATTGCTGGTTCGAATCCATCTTCTGTTTTTAGAACCCCACCGTAGCTTTTTTGCTTCATTAATAATATTCGTGTCATTCCTAGTACCGCTTCGTTAAATAAATGTTCCAGCGAAACTCGTCTTCGACAAAACAATTTCATCGAACTCTCTGAACTGAACTTATGAATGCTTCTGCCGGAGACCAGTAAAATAAATAAAATTTTTAATAAATATATAAAAATATAAAATAAAATAAATATAAAAAATATAAATATAAAAAAACAAATAAATAAATAAATAAAAATAAAATAAATAAATATGATAAATAAATTATAAAGTCAAAAAATTCGCGCACTTGAAAGCTTCAAGCATTATTAAGGAAATGTCAAAGGTCAAGCCAAAGTTAAGGCCAAAGGTCAATGTCCAAAGATGATTATATAAGCGATAAATACCGATATTTAGCTAAAAATTGAAAGCAAAAAAATCAAGCAGACTTCAAATCGAAATATTAAGAAATGATTCGAATACAAAAGCCAAATAGCGGCCCAAGCCGAATTTTATTTCCCACCAAACCGTAATATTTGGGCCACGCTGCCGCACAAGGCGTACGTGGGACCAAATTATGTTGATTTATGACGATGTGTTGTTTATTCTATGTTGGTTTTTTGATAAGTTATGGCTATCTCCAGGAAATACATTCGAATTGCACTTCGGTGCACAATCAACTACCAAGAGGCAGTGCAACGAGCGTATCCGGGAATAGCGAATGTTGGCCGCTTATCTAATTTATGACGAACAGCAAAAGGTTTGAGGAGAACAAGCAGTTCACATATCAACAGTTTATTATCCCTAAGCCTAGGGAAGAAGTAGCGAGGGGGAGCACTGACCTTCAGGAAGACTCAAAAGGACAAAGGATCGGCAATAAAGGCCTAGTGGGGTGGAGGAATCAACAGGTGATTTAAGGTTAAGGCAGCAATAAAGGGATTAAATTTTAATTTCACAAATTTTTGATTTAATTTAATTAAATCTATTTTTAAAAATATTTCCATTTTTTTCGTTCATTTCGAATTTTCCTTTTTTGCAAAAAATTTAAAATATTTGAAAACTTTTTAAAACTAATTTAGTTCATAGAAAAATGAGGTTTTTTAAAAATTTACGAGAAATTATTCAAAAATGAATCTAATTAAAATTAATTTTATTTCGCTAATTTTATCCATAAATAATAATTTTTCAGGAGGTTCAGTGGATCGTTGCGCACATTTCACAATGGCAATGGCAATGGCAATGTTTCCTGCAGGAGTAGTATACGTGCACCTTTCAAAAGTCTGTGGTGCTGCACCCATCTCTGCACTGCTTCCGTTGCCATTTGGCCTGAATCGACAAGCCAACGGTGTAAGCCTAAGCCCAGCCAGAAATGGTTTGTGCCTCTAGAAAATAGATTTATTTAGTTTTATATTAATTATTTCACCTTTCTCTATGTAACTATGCTACAATTTCTTATTGGAAGTCCTTAAATTTCATCGGATTTGCCAAAAGTTTGTTTTTAAATTAAGGATTTCTTTTTCTTTTCAAACATTAAAAGTGTTTTGTATTTGTTCTAACTAGTTTTATGAATTTTCTATAATAATAATCATTCATCACGTTTAACCAAATATTTGCTAAATTTTATATTTACATTTATTAATGTTACCAAAATTTTCATTCATGAAAGATTTAAAAATTTTTTATTATATTTCAATGTTTACTTTACACAAAAGTTTTACAAATGTAGACTTAGACTGTATTTTTTTGCAGGAACTTATGAAAGGAAATGAAACTTATCGTGGAGAAATATTTATAGAATCGGCGCGATTGGCTTTGAAAATATCTTTTTCTGCACTCTTTTCCACACAAATTTTTATAATCCAAATGAAATATTATGATTGCGACATGTTTTTTTTTTGTTCTTTTCAAGCATTCCTTTTTATTTTTATAAAAAATTATACAAATATAAATAATAACATAGTAGTACAATGTAGTATGGCTTTCTGGCGGTTAAGTTATCTGGCACTTCGAACCAATGAAATAAGCATAAGCGGAAATTATGAGCTGCGAAAGAAAAATATTTATTGTTTAAATTATTAATATTATTAAAAATATTTACTAATAATAATTAAATAATTGTTGAAATTTTGAAATATTTTACGAATTTCTTGGCTTTTTCAATCGAATCGCTTTTTTCCTTATCTTTAACAAAATATATAATTTTTCCAAAATTAATTATTCTTATCCACTGAGATAATTTCGATTTAGTTTTTATTGCATCGAACGGGATTTTATGAATGTTGTCCCAGCATAAATTGTCATGTCCAGTGCGAAGATTAGCCTCAGCTATGGATTCGAACACCTCGAATGTCAGTGAATTTCTCATTTGAGTAGATCGAAGTCAATAAGTCATCTCGAAATCTCTTTGTATTTTCTTAGGCCTTCTTTTAGTCCCTTAACGTTACAACTCGAAAATTTATTCTCGACTGGCTGACGTTTGCTCTTGCATTTTTGACAATATAATTTAAGTGGACGAAAATTTTTTCTTCGACTTTAATTCTTTAAATCTTTTTTTTTCATTATTAAGTTAAATTTTTGTATAAAATTTTAAAAATCTTTTGTAATTTATTTTTCATTTATCATAAAAATTGTAACGAAAAATTTTTTTGTTGGTTTTTTTTATATTTTTATGTTAATAATTTATAATATTTAATTATAATTATCAATAATAATTTGCGTTAATATTTTTTAAAAAATTGATTAAAATTTAATATTAATATTAATATTAATATAAAATTTAATATTAATATTTTCGAAAATAATTACTTATCGAGAAAAAATTATAAATATAATATACATATAAAAATAATCGAAAAATTATTTAAAATCGATAGAAATGGATTTAAAAATAATTAATATTTCTTTCGACTTATACAAGGAAAATGATATTTCTATGTTTCTTTCTTATATTTAAAATTTAATGAAATTTGAATTTGATTTGATTATTTTTTTCATTTATTTTTTATTTTTATTTTTATATTACTTTGATATTATTTAATGTTATTTTCAAAAAAATGTTTGATTTAATAATTGCTGATAATTGTATTAAATTATGTTAAATTCAATTATTAATAATTATATTAAATCTATTTAAATATATTTTACAAAAGATGCGAAAAAAAAATTTATTTTGCTCGTTTCTCCAATAAATTAAAATCTTAATTTATTTGCGATTTGTACGAATTTTCGCGAGAATTTTTTTTAATTTTCATTTTTAAATTTTTATATTTTAGATTTTTTTTAGATTTGAAAAATGGGTAAAAAGCGAAAATTTGAGAAAGATTTCTATTTCGATTGTCAATTTTTTAAACACCTTTGGCGAATCGTTAAATTTCTTTTATTTCCAAAGTTTAATTGGGCTGTTTCACTTATATTATCCACTTTAATTATTGCTGTTGGAAGTAAGCTTTTTCTTTCAGTGAAAAATTTGATTTGCCTTTAAATATAGCTAATTTCCGTCAAACAGTGAATTGCAAGTGGTAGCAGCCACCAACCCACTTGCATTTTCTATTGCAAGATTTGGTTTTTTGACGAAATTTGTCTGGTCCAGTAAGCCACTGGAGCGAGTATAACCAGAAATGGATAGCACTCTTTTAAAAAAATTCTTTTTATCACGTTTATTAACGAGTCAAATTAAGAAATTTCTTAGAAAATTTGGATTTTTCAGGCGAAGTCGTTGGTTATTTTACTGGTTTGGTTCCAGGGAAAATGTATCGCGCGTTGTTGAACAAGGATAAAGATGAATTTTGGAATATTATGCTTAGAGGAACTTTACTGTATATCGGAAAAACCTTAGTAAGCCTTAGTAAACCTTAGTGCTTCTTTTTAACGTGCAAAAATAATTTTTATCTGTAAATTTAAAAAAAGTATAAATTTAAAAATCAAGCTAAAAGTTCAAAATAATTTTTTTAAAATATATAAATTTTAACCTCATTTTATAGCAATTAAAATAGGATTGATAAATGGACCTTTCGTTATCGCCATAAATTATTGTTTCAAGGATATTTTTCGCAATACTTTCATGGATATTTAGCGCAATTCGAAATTTGATTTATTTATTTATTGAAAACCAGCTAAGCAGCGCAACAAAGCTATGTGCTTATATTAATAACAACAGTTAAAACAATTAACAAACAAAAGAAAAATAAAATATGACAAAAATTAGAAATCTAAAGAGGAAATAAAGAGAAAATTACGAAATATAATCTAAAATATAATACAATTCGAAATAACTGTGTTATATATTATATATATTCGGATGGTAAAAATCGAGATTTCACACTCCTGTATGATGTGATTTTTTTAAATAATATAAATGATATTATCTATTCTTTTTTTTAAAGATAGCTAAGGATGGCGCACAATCGTTCGGTAATTTATTCCAGTAATTAATGATACGAAATGGTGAAGTCATGAGTCCTTAGTTTAATTTTGCATATATGTTTTAGTCCACTTGTTCTTGTTGGATTCAAATTTACTTAAAATTATGTTTTGAAATTTCGTTTCCTTCGCTGGTTAAGGCACGTTCTTCGTCATCCACCACAGGAAGTGACGCATATTTCGCTACTTTCCGAATTCTGTGATGGTTAGCGTCAAAAGCGAGGAAGGCCAATGAAGACTTGGACTGATACAGTCAGTTAGGAAAGATTCCGAACGTATAGGGGGACCAGCTATATATGGACTTAGACGATGGAAAAAGTTTGAAAAATCGCTTCTATTGCTACTAGCGATGGCGTCGGACCAAACAGCTTGGAGACGTCTTACCACTGTAGCCAACAGTTTTGCTTACCGCCAATCTATTACCGCTTGTAGCATTAAAATTGCATTGAAATTGAATTTAACAGTTTAAGAATTAATTTGATTAGACAAATCATTTGTAATCAAATCTTCTTTAATTCTTCTACATCGAATCAAATTTTGATTTGCTAAAGCTAATAAGGACACCTTAGATGTAAGCGGCGTAAGAAATATTTCTGTGGACTTTCGATTCGCTTAACTGATTGCTATTATTTTTATGAAGAAACATACTGCACTGCATCCTAGTTGGTGGTAAGTTATGAGATTTGCTAAGCTCTAAGCATAAGATTGAGAAAATCATCTCCAAAATTTATTGTAATAAATATTTTTAGTGCAATATAAAGAAAAATGTCAACATTCGGTCTTTGTTTGGTCGGAAAAATATATCAAATGGATATTATCCAAAAATTATCCATAAATTAAATTCTGTAAAATTGCAGCTTATCGCATTAACGGGTTATTCATCTTGGTTTCTCTACTTATGGTGGCGTCGAAACTGCGTTTATCAACTTCATAAACGATATTTTAGAAATAAAGCTTATTATAATATAAATTGCATCGATGATTATGGAGTTGATAATCCGTTAGTTTTTAATTTTTAGTTTTTTTTCAAATATTCAAAAATTCTGCTATATTGTCAAATTACAAATATGAAATATGAAATTTATACATCTTCTTTTTCCTTTGTTAACCACAGTAACCATTTCTGGTTTTGTTATCCCAATTGACTATTTGGATGAGATTCTTTCACCAGAGAACCAAAATACAAGGTGGGTCTTTGCCATCACTTGGATTTCACTTTTAATGACGTATATTTAATATTTTAAAGAACCATTTGTTTATTTATTGTGGGGAAATTTCTCAAATTATTCAAGTTGAAATATTATAATGAATGAATGCAAGAAACCAGATATTTTTTTTCAGAGATCAACGTATTACTCAAGATGTTGAACGAATGACAAATAAGCTTGCTATTAATATTGTTCCGAACTTGATAATTGGACCATTCGTTATTGCATATTATACTTACAAGACTGCAAGCACGTATGGGTTTTTTTTTTCTTTGCTCTATAGTTTTGTTTATTTTGTCCTTGAAGTATTGCTTTTTATAATTATTAGCCATTTGTGGCAGTCAAACAATCAAATCAAACAATTATTCATTGAAGTTTTTGAAGTTTTAACATTGAAGTTTCGACTTTCTTGTGGAAAATCTGTAGAACGAGTATGAAAAAATAATTCAATAATTTTTGGTGAAAAATTATTTTTATTAAATTAAATTATAGTAAATAATTCTGAATAAATTTTTTCTTAAAGTGCTGGCGCTCTTGGTATCGCGCTTATTTATGGATATTTTGTTATTGGTGTTATTGTAAATAAATTATTGGTTTCGCCGATGGTGAAATGGAATGCGAGAACTGAGAAAGCTGAAGGTGACTTCAGGTTATTTTTATCTTCTATTTAGTAAAATAATGATGGTCCAATATCAGAATTATTATATAGTTCTTTTTTGACTAGGAAAATATAAAAAGAAAGATTAAATCAACGCAATATTTGATCACAGAGCTAAAACTGTTTCTATAATATTAATCACCAATCTTTTACATTTCGAAAAACATTCAGAAGGGTCCAAAAAATTCGAACCGATAGAAGTGATCACAAATTGCCTTCATTTAGTAAGGCAGATCTGTCGAGGAGCTGCAAAAAAAAACAATTTTTTAAAGATGAAAACATATATCTGCTTATACTTCTAATTATTTTAAATTAAATTATTTCTACTTGAAGTCAAATTAGGTACAAACATGTAACGGTTCGCAATAATGCGGAATCATCGGCTTTGCATAATGCAGAAGATTTCGAGTTTGAAGAATGTAATCGTATTTTTTTAACACTATGGTGGCGTCAAGTTCGATTTATTTCATGGAAACTGCCAAATCTTTGTAAGTATTTTTTTTCATATTTCTATTGTCATTGTTTACTTTTAAAAATGAGCGAAAATTGTATAATCAAATGGAATTGTTTTGAGATCGATAGCATAGATGATGGTATATTTTAGGTGATTTCATTCAACTTATTCAATTTAAATTTTATCATTTATCAGCGAAAAATTTTAATTATTTTTAATTTTTTTTTACCGTTTTTTGGAAAAATTACGTAATTATACAAAATACAGTCTTTCCTTTCTTTACAAACTGTAATATTTTAGAATTATGTAGAAGATTTAAAATTATTTTTAATATAATTTCAAATTTCTGATAAAATCTCATACAAAATTTCGATATCTGATTAAAATTAAAAAATTAAAGATTACTTGTCATTACAGTGATATTTTAAGGTTTTTTTCATTATCACATTTTATTTTTTTAAATTCTTAAAAGAATGGTTTTATCAAAAGCTTTGGTTAATTTGTAGTCTGGCAGCAGTTCTTCGATTATTATGGAGGAATATTAAGTTATGCGATACAATATATACCAATATTCATGTTGCATATTTATGATGATAAGCCACCGTCGGATATTGCGATGGCCATAAGCAATGTTTGTTTTTTATATTATTTAAAAAGTATTATAGTTTAAACGTTTAAACAATCAACAATATTGTTTTCTTTATTTATGACATAAAAATATTTATATTAATTAATTAATTTTAACATTAATAGAAATATTAATAAAGAATTTATGGATATTAATGGTTCGAATTGATTAGATCATAATTATCTATCGACTATACTGGAAAGAATTTTCATTTAATTTATATTTCATTTTATCTTAAAAATATTTAAACCATTTATTTTCATTAATCTAACATTTTATTTATAAAATAAGTGTAAATGAGAAGTAGTTAATTTAATTGGCATCGTGCATCATGGTTCATTTCTTTGTCCTTTGGCAGCATTACGTCTCTCATAGAAAATTGCACTCGAATAGTGCTGAGTGCGCCGAAGTTTATAACCAATATTGGCGAGCGCTATTAAGGAAGGAAGGAAGAAGTTTATTAAGCATGCTTACTATTTACGTCTATATATATATATATATTTTAATTCTAAGAAATCAAGTTAAAATTCTAGTTTCATTATTTTCTCATCCACTTTTATTATTGCAGTTTATTACCTTCATTTCATTATGGTGGTTATTTGCCTTCATTTAGTAAGGCAGATCTGTCGAGGTTATAGCACCGACTACTGTACTAGTACTGAGATTATAGCATAGAGTAGAAGGACTTTTTCTAATACCACTGTTTTTGGTTTTTCGGTTTTTTAATATTCTTTTATTTGAGAAGCAGTTAAGCGTAGAAGTAGAGATCCTCAGCATATTCCTAGTCGGATTTCATTTTCGTTGATAAACTTACTTTTGTTAAGATAGGATTGGAGTCCATGATGCTTGTCCTTATTTGAAGCAACAAATCGTTCGACCATACCATTTTAATTTTTTATAGTTTTTGAATTATTTATAGAATGCTTTTGTATATATATATTTGGTGAATAGTTTTACTCGTATAACGGATTTGAGTTTATCTCTTGGTGAGATGGCTGGTATCATGCAACGGTTTGTCTTTATTTTAATTCTTAAATCCATTTAATTCGCAAGTAATGCTATTAATCGGCAGTTATATTATATTAACCATTATTTTTATATCATATAGTAGTGATTTGTTCAAAAACATTGATTTTCTGCATTGGAAATCCATTTCTTGAGATAAAAATTTATAACCATATTAGCAGCCAGCGAGGCTGGATTTACCCGAAATACCACTTAATAAAGAACATTAAATCGCTTTATGTCGTACATTATTGTATGAATATCTTTTATAGCAAAATATGGCTATCACAAAATATTGGTCCGCGTTGTTTGTCGCTCATAACTATTTACTGAGAGAACGATCAAAAATACTTCAAATCATAGTCGAAACACAATTATTAGAAATTTTTTTGCCATTTCTGGTTAGGCTATCGCCGCTGATTTATCAGGCTAGACAAATTTTGCAAGGGATGACCAGTATTGTCCCGATTTTTAATAGATAGTTAGATTATTCCTTCTAGGAATAGAACAGTATCGGAAATGACAACAACAAGCCCATTAAGCTATTTTGTCCTTAACAGAAATATTTTTTTAAAATATGATTAGATGATTTTTCAAATAATTTTAGGTTGAATCCAACAAGAACTAATGGGCTAAAATTACTAAAACCTATATGCAAAACTAAACTAAGAACTCATGATTTCTTCATTCATACTATTAATTACTGGAATAAATTACTTATCGAATGATATAGCTTATGCATCATCCTTAGCTGTTTTTAAAAAAAGATTAGATAATATCATTTTTGATATTATTTAAAAAGTTCACATCATGCAGAAAATGTGAAATTTTCTTTTTCTTTTTTTTTGTCATTAATTATTATTATTTGTTATTTTAACTGTTTTATTAATACAAGCACATTTATTGAAAACTAGTCAAGCACGACGTTTGTCGCTCTGCTTGGCTAGTTTTCAATAAATATAAATATAAATTGATAATGCAAAATTTATTCCAATAATTAGTTTTTACAGTTTTTAATGATTAAAATTACAGATTATATAGATTATATTTTATTATATATATATAATAATAATTAATATTTATATTTATTTCATTATAAAAATTTATAAATCGGATGAATTTAATAGATTTTAATGAAATAAATTTTCCTTATCAGTAAGAATTTCTTTGAAAATAATAATTGATAAATAATAAAAATAATAGTTCTTATTTGCGGTGCATATCGATTATGCGGCCATAATCGCTATCGAAATTTCTTATCATTGATTAAGTGCCATTATGGTTCCAGCGAATTTCGAGAAGTTCAGAATGAAGTGATTATAAATAACGATAAAAATAGTAAGGATTGTTTTAAGGCAATATTTGGATTATTTCATCTTGAAGAAAGATTTGAAAATTTTTATAACTCATAATATAATAGGTTTCTTAAAGGTTTTTTCTAATGCAATTATTCGAAAATTTTTAGTGGTTCTTTTCTATTAAATTATTGCGTAATCGTTAGCCTTAAAAAATAAATTCTGGCTGTAGTACCAATTACTGAAGCGATATATGGCCAATGAGATTGGGAAATATCAGTAAGCTATTTACACTACCAACCTTAGATACGTATCCATACGTATCCACTCCACGCGTAAAATTTCGTAATAGCCACTTTGAAAGTTTTTCGGTTATAATGATTATAATTAAATCAATTTCAGTGTAGCCGAATTTTTGTTGGTCTGTGATAAAGCAGAAGCGCTTTCTTATGATGCTGATTTATCTGATGAAGGTTTGTCTTAGCGCTTTTTTCGATGTATAGCCAGTGGTCTGTTTTAAATTGTTGTTCGCAATTTGATATCGGTCTATCATCGGTGGAGTTTCATCTAATCTTACCGGTAAAGTAACTTCTTAAAAGCGATACCTTTTGCTGATGGCGATGATGGCGATAGGTGTCGGAAGATGGGAAGAACCTGACCGAACTTAAATTTGTCTATTTTTTCTTTTATTACAATCTGTTTGATGCATTTTCGTAGTTTTTATTTCTACCTCCATTTTCCAATTTTTAAATTTTTAAATTTAAATTTTTAAATATAGTTAAATTTAAAGAATTCGTGGGAAATGTAATTTCTTATGGCTAAATTCTTGAAGAAATTATTTTTTCTTGAACTTTATTTCAGGTATCGACAATTTTGCCAGTGAGCCAGTATCTTTCTCAATTGATCAGAATTCTGCAGATTTGCTAATCAAAAATAATTTAGAGACTGAAACTCCTTATAGCGACACCATAATGGAAATAAAAAATTTATCGTATTCTATACCAACTAATTCAGATATAACCCTCCTTCAAGGTGAACTTTCGTTTACAAATTTGGATGTCGATGATTTTCTTCAAAAAAAGTGGATTTTTCTCGTTGCATAAAAGTATTATTTAAATTAGATTCATATTGAAGATTTAACAATGAAAATCAGTTCCAAGGAGAATATATTAGTGGTCGGCCCAAGTGGCTGTGGGAAATCATCGTTAATTCGGGTTATTTCTAGACTTTGGAAACAGGATTCAGGTTTCTTCTTTTATTATTCATATTAAAATTGATTTACAAAAAAGTTTTATTTTCTATTTCGTTATGATGACGGAATTTATTAATTTCTATTCAAATTTAGAAATAGAATTATTATTCGATTCTTTATTATTTTTTATAATTTTAAAACAATTTTAGGAATTGTGGTCCAAAATACAAAATATAGAATAATGCGATTGCCGCAAACTCCATATTTCCCTACTGGCTATCTTACATTGCTACAGCAAATACAATTTCCTTATATCGAAAAGAATGATTTGTCTTCCAAAGGTATTTTTTCATTTATCTATTTCATTTTAATATTGTTATAGAATATTTTATCCATTATCTTCATCAGTTTTTTTATAATTTTTTATTTATGCTCTTTTCTAATAATTCATAATTGCCAAGCTTTTCTAATGATTATTTGCTTGTTTGTGCTGTTTTTTTTTTAGAAATTACTCGAATTTTTTCAATCCTCGATTCGTTGAATTTATCGTGGTTAATTGAACGATGCGAGGGTCTTGACTGTCCTGTTGAGTTTGAATGGTGCTATCATTATTATTTAATTATACTCATCCATTTTCTATTCTATTATAATTTGTCTTGAAGAAAAAAAGTTATATTAAGTAAATTTATATATTGTTGCGGTCGGAATTATTTTAAATAAATTTATAAATTGTTGCGATCGGAATTATTTTAAATAAATTTACCGATTGTTGTGGTCGAATTTTTTATTTTCCCTTTACGCAAATTTTTACAATGAACTTAAAAATTTATTTTAATCGGTTGATTTGAAATAAATAACTGTGGTTTTTATTTAAAAAAAATAAGATAGCGCGAAATTTAAATTTCACTTCGGAATTTATTTCATAGCTCAGTGTTACTTTTCGACACTGTAACGTAAAATTTATTTTAGGCAAGATACGTTAACACCTGGAGAGCAACAACGACTTGCATTTGCTCGTATACTTTATCGTTTACCCCATATGGTAATGTTGGATGAGTCGACGAGTAGCGTAAGCATAGATTTGGAGAAAAAGATGTATGAACTTCTCAAAAAGGTTAATTATTATATGGTTATTGAATAATTTCACGAAGGGCTGGAGCAAATTATGAATCCAAAATATAAGATTTTTAGCAACATATAGGCCATTTATTTATTTGATATTTCTGTAAGTGTTATATGAAGCTTCACAAAAAATTATAAGGTTTGTTGTTGTAATAAATAGTTCTTGTTGAGCGTCTGAGCTGCTAGCTGCTCATATATGCTTCTAGTGGTTATACAAGCAAAAAGAAGTCATTGGACTGTTCCATTCTTCTAGTCAACGAGGCCAAATAAGCCAGAAATAGTCGCGCTGTCAGGAAAACGAATTCTTGGATTTTCTTTATTCTTTCTTTTCCATTTCTTTCTTCTTTTTTCTATCTTTCGCTATTAAATTCGAGTATGATTTAATGAATTTTTAGAACGACATATCGTATATTTCTATTGGTCATCGACCAAGCCTTATTGATTATCATGATGTTAAACTAAATTTGGATGGAAAAGGTGCATATACAGTTCAACAAATAATTAAGGATTCTAAACAATAGTGAAGATTCTAATATTTCCCATATTTATTTTAAATTTTCTTAAATTTTAAATTTTGTTTTGAGCGAGGATTTTTGAAAATAATTGTTCCTTTTATCTTTTTGCAAATATTATTCCTTTAAACTTATTTTCACTCTTTTATTATTTTATTTTATATTTTTTTATAAATTATTTTTACAGTACCATCACTATGTTAGTATATGAAAACTATTTTATTCTTAAATACCTCTTGGAATTACCTTCCTTTAACGTTCAAATATCGTTGCATTTCGGCAGCATATCTCATTTGCAATTTTCCTTAGAGCCGTTATTCTATCCTAATTCCTATATATTATATTCCTTGATACTTTCCTTGAATTATAAGCTTGTCACAACGCTCTATGTATAGTTTTAGCATCTTTTTTAATTTCCTCATATCGTTTTAATTCCATGAGATGCTATGCCATGGTTCCCTTATTCTACCAGGCTCTACGTAATTCTTCGACTTCACCTAATGCATTTAAAGTTATCAATATAAAATTATGAGATATCATAAATATCTTGATGGTAAATATCGAACAAATGTAGTGGTCTAAGTTTGGAGATATTTCTTTCTATCCTTAGGAAGGGCATTTTTACTAGTGCTCTTACGCATTTATAGTTTTTTTAGTTATTATAATTATCGCCTCTTTAATTCTTATTTCTTATGTTTTCTTATTATTACCATATTACTTAATTTTGCCTTATTTTCTTTATTGCCTCTGGAAGCTAATGTACTTGTCTTCTTTTTATATTTTTTGATTTTGCCATTTACTGTAATTCATTCCTCTGAATTTTTATCGTAATAATCGTAATATTAATATTATTTTTGTTTGTTGTAATAATGTTTTAATTAGTTATATTATTAAATTGTTTTAATTGTTTAAATTTAAATTGTTTTAAAAAATTGTTTTTTTGTTAATGATAATTTAGAATTTTAATGGAAACAAATATGATAAGAACAAAACAGGAATTCGGTTGATAGCATAGGAAAAGTGTTCCTTGATAATCAGTTTTTTGGTTTCTTTTTCCTAATTTGTTAAAATTTGAATCCTTAAAAAATTTTTTAAAAAAATTTTTAAAAAAATCCTTTGCTAATTATGACACGTTACCGTTGTCTACCACAGTAATTGACGCATATTTCGCTACTTGCCGAACCCTGTGATGATTGGCGTCAAAAGCAAGGAAGACCAGAAGACCTGGACTGATATATTCAGTCAGGAAAGATTTCGAAAGTATAGGGCTATATATGGACTTGACGATAGAAACAGGGATCGCTTCTTTTGCTGCTAGCGATGGCGTCGGATCCAGCAGCTTGGAGACATCTCATCCTTGTAGCCAGTGGAGTCAGCCTAACCAGTAATGGTGAGAGCTGTTAGAAAAAGAACAATTTGTTAAAAGAAAGATGTGAAGAAAAGGAAGAATTATTTCGAGTTGTTGCTGTTATTTCTGGTCTGATATGCTGGAACTTCAGTCGTGACAGTGGTACTCGTGTTTCAAAAATCCGAGCGATTGTGTGGTATAAATTAATTCGAGTAAGCCGGTGGAAGGAGTCTCACCAGAAATGCTAAGCGATTTAAAGGGCGATATTGGTAATGTAGTCAGTAAATTGGTTGATTTTTAAATGATGAAATGTAATGGAAATTAGAAAATGGTGTAATTCTGTGAATATTCATTTAATAGCAAGTAAAGCTTATATATATAAAATTTCTCGAAATTTTATGAAATTTAAGCCGAATCAAAAAATGCAAATTTGTAAATAAACCAACGCGAAGAGATAGATGTTTTATCGAAGCGATAATTATTTACGATACTCTATTTTTTCAAAATAGAGAAAAATTTATAAAATTGATTCGATAGGAGCGAAGGGAATCTCGTAACCGGTGGAGCCAGTCTAATGAATAATGGTGCGAGGTGCCAGAGGAGGAAGAAAAGAAATGGATCATCTCAAACATTCATTACAAATCGAAAATAATATCTTAAAATTATTCCAAGAAATTATTTAATAAAATTTAAGAGACAAAACAAATTTTTCAAAAAATGCGGAATTTTTGTAAAAAAAATTTGAACTTTTTTTTGGTTAAAATTTGGTAAAAAACCTATTTTATCTTAGAATTCAAAAATATCATAAATATAAAAAATTTTTTGAATTAATATTTTGGAATCAATCGGAGAAATCGAGGGAAAATATCATCGGGGTGTGGCAGAGGTTCGAGTAAATTGATCAGTTGTTCATTTGATACGAGCATATTGAGCACCATTCGTAACCAAAACAGTCTATTCTCCCCTATCGTATACCATAAACAATGAATGGTTCAATTACAACATTTTTAATTTCAATATTCTCATCAGTAATATCGCAAATTAATGGTAAAGCTTATTTAAATAAACCTGTTTCTTAATTAAATGATTGAAAAACCGCAATTTATTTAGTTTCAGTTGGGTACCAAGCTTTTTTAATGTATTTCATTTGTTTATCTACGCATAAAATCAAATTTTTTTTGTGATAATTCATTTATTTGCAATACAAATTATATAAATTTATAAATCTAAATGCAAATAAATCTAAATCATTCTTAAAATTTTTTAGCAAATTGTGAATGCCGTAGGAACAACTTCGGTGCAAATGCATTGGAAGGACAACTAAAAAGTCCCGGTTTTCCGGTGAAATACTGTAATAATCTCGATTGCAGCTATACGGTTTAGTGTTAACCATTTTTTTTAGATTTTATATATATTTAAATAAAAATATTATTTTTGTACTGCAAAGATTTATAAACAAAGCGTTGATGAAAATTTTAATTTTCTATAAAATATTTACGGCTGTTAGGACTGTTAGCGTCAGCGCAGGTCTGTATATATGGGGAATTGACAGACTCCTTCGAAATAACTGGAGTCCTTCAAGGCTGCGTCCTTTCTCCTATGATATTCACCTATGCGATAGACTGGATAATGGATGCCACTTATCGGCACTCAAGACATGTACAAATCACTCCAGAGCATCATTTCACAGATCTTGAATATACTGATGCTGTAGTTGTAGTCCTTTTGCTGACAATTATGAAGAAATGGAAATAATGCTGAGCAGGATAATGCTGAATCAGAAACTGCAGCAAGAATCGGGCTCAGGGTCAATGTAAATAAAACGAAAACCTTTTCGTCTTATGTATAAGAAACTGATCAAATGCCTTTTTTTATAAACTTATTGCCGGAACTGCCCCATTTTAAATACCTTGGGTCCACTCTAATACCAAATGGCCGGGCAAAAGACACAATTACAACTCGATAAAGGTGGCTAGAAATGTCTTCTTCTGGTTGACTAAACCTTTTGGAGCCGTCACCATATAAATTAAAATTCGCGTCTATATAGCCGCGATTCGTTTGACCTTGCTATATGGCTGCGAGACGTGGCCAGTGGGAATAGAGGATCTTAAGAAGCTATTAACCTTTGACCACTCATTTATGTGTTCATATGTGTTTTTTTTTATGTGTTCTAAAATATATTTTATGTGTTCGCTGAATGAATAAAATCTCACATGATCACATCCACCTTCATTCAAATACCACTTACATTAGCAGTACCATCATACAGCATCGCCTTCGCTGGTTTTAAATCGCCCACCACAAGATTTGATAGGTGAGGCGTACCAATTAAGACCTGGACTGATACGGTCAGGAAAGACTTGCATAGGTGAATTAGTGGCAGTATGTGGACTTAGGCGATGGAAAAAGGAATAGCTTCTGTTACTGTCGACAATGGTATGAGATCATGCAGTTTGAATTCATCTTACCCTTGTAGCCAATGGAGCCAACCTAACCAGTAATGGTGGATGTGAATGGTGAAGAAGAAGAAGGACAGCAGTCATTTTTACTGGAAGATTACAGGTTGGTTTCATTGATTACAAGGATATTTTCTAAGCCGCTGGATCAGATACCATACCTGACAACGATAAATCATCCCTTTTATCATCTTCTAAGCTCATATATACCACTTATATTTTCGAAATCTTTCCTTTCTGAATTTATCTAGGTCTTGATGGCCACCTATTAGTCATTTCCCCTAAGAGCAAGCAGTATTACGACTTCAATCCTTATCATCTAATATATAAAGTGGAATTTTTGTGGTTAATAAGGAGTTGCCTATGAGTTATCTATCGTCCTATTGCCTGTAGTGAATCTGAAGACTGATAAAAGTTTTTTGGACTGACTTAATTACCATAAGCTTTCTATATGTTTCTATATGTTGGATTATAGATAAGTGGTGCAAATGGAAAAAGCGTACATTTATCAATTGTTTCGTTTGAAACTGAATCACGACACGACATTCTCGAAATTCGTGAAACTTTTGTTGTGGCTAGCAAAGAATATTCTGCGCTTATTTCAGTGTATCATTTATGGATTTATGAATTTTTTTTCTATAGAATTATATCAGTGAAAATGATAATAATACAGCTTTTGTGATTTAAAAAATTTTTTGCCATTTTTTTTCTTTTTATTGAGCATTTTTAACCAATTCTTCTGCAAAATAATAAGTAAAATAGCCAATGCTGGCGATAGAAATAAACCTCAGATCTCTACAAAAATTACAGAAAGTCAGCGAAACGCTTATAATTATATTATTAAATGACTCTCTGGCAAAAATTTGGTCCGATAATGCGATAATGAGCCTAACTAGAGAAAAGGACGTTCAATAAAAAAATATTTCCTTTTCTCTATTCATCCAGTTTAATTAATCCATTAATATAAAGCGAATAATGAAAATATTAATCCATAAAATACGAGGATCTTTTTGAAATAAGAAATTTTTGGTTCTTTTTCTTTTACATATTTCTTGATTTGGACAATCTTTGTAACGAAGCATTTTTATGTGAATGAATTTTATTGCTAATGAATTAATCAATTCTATATTTCCAATTTCTTATGCATTCGCTACATAAATTCTTATAAATTCTTATAAATTCTTATCACCTAAGCTATAAAAGTTGCAGATTATCGGGTAAAGATGTTGGATGGCCATTATTTGTTTCATCACCAGGAAATGGTTATAACCTAAGGTTCATTACTGATAATTCTGAGGAATTCGGCGGATTTCATGCACGGTTTGCTCGTGTTAATGCATCAAGACCAGGTACCAGATTCCCCAGTTTCTCCCTCCTAACAATTTTTTCTGAAACGGATGATTCCATTGTTTCCATTTCGCAGTAGACATTAGAGATTACAGAATTTTGCATAGATGAAATCTATTTTGAAAAAATGAAAATTAATGAAAATGAAAATTGAATAAAAATTGAATGAATGAAAATTTGATAAAATATCAATATCTTCCAATTATTTAAATTTTTTTTATAATTTTTATTAGGCGAATCTTGTCCACGATTATTTTATGAAGCGATAGCAGAGGAACAAACTCTACCAACGCCGTCTAGAAAATTTAGATATAATACTGGTTGTGTTTATATGATCAATACAACCAATGATAATGCTATACTACTACAAATAAAGGCATTATCACCTTTTGTTAAGCTCACAGTCTATGAAACAGAAAACTTTGATCGTCATTCTCAAGCAGAACCACTTGCAACGTGAGTTTAATTTTTTAAATATCTTCGCTAAATTATATATAAAATTTCAGATCTGCTTATATATAGAAATATATAATAATTCGGAAACCATCAGAGAGAAATTAACGATTATTAAGATTTTGAATTTGTGGATGCTTGACAATTAGGATAGATTGTGAGTATACAAGCGGCCCATCGACATAAGAACTTAGATGGAGGGTAAAGAAGCGGCTTCTGTTATTTTCAAGCATTACATTGGATTGAGAGACTTGAAATGCCTTTGAGCCAGTGGAACCAGCCAAACCAGTAGCATAATGTTAGGAAAAGAATGCATTGGCGAAAAGAAATAACCAATTTTGCATGCATGAGGAAAAGGGATAAGAAAATATCAGCAATTTTTTAGTTATACTTTTTCTTTTTGTAAGCTTAGAAATTGGAAATGAGTTAATTTTAAAAAAGTTGATACCACTACCATAAAAAATATTTAGGATCAGCGGGCTTATTACGGCTCTTCCATACAATTTAACATCACGAACAGTTTCGATTACAGTTATTATGACATTAACAAGGAGCCATCTTGAATATCACCGCAACAATGCGTCAGATCACTTTAATGTTGTTTTTAAGCGAACCGAAAGCCGTAACCTTTTCTTTTTTCTAGTAGTAGTTTGCCTCTTTTGGTATTTTCTTAGTTAAATAACCATTTAATGATGGCTTTTCACCGAAAAATCGGTTCATCTGATGAATTTCGTTCTACGATACGATATCCTAAATTATAAATTATAAAACAAACTACATTAGTATCAGTTTTAATATTTAAATCATTAATCAAAAATTCCAATAAATTTTTATTAAATAAATAAAAAATATTTTGTAATTTTAATTTAAATTTTAAATATTTTGATTGATTAAAAATTAATGAAAAATAAAATTTTATATTTATAGAACCTTAAGTTGCAAAACTTTAATTTTTCATACTATTATTTTTCTCATCTCTTATCAGTCAATTTAAAGTAATTCCCCTACCTGTTTTTTCGCATTTCTTCCACCCGCAGAAAGGATATTCTTTTCAATAGATATGTTTAGAATATTTATATTTTTATATGAAATTTTAATAAATTACAAGAGATATATGATTTATCCATCGAGGCAATCGATCGATCCTTCATTTCCATTTTTCCATCCTTTTATAATTCCTTTGGCCTCATTGAAAAATGGAAATTCATTTATTATTAAATATTTCATAAAATCTATCAAATTAAAAAAAGTTGAAACAAATTTTAGTCTTTTTTCTCCTTTTTTTAAATATATTTTTAAAAAAATGATTTTACATAAATAAATATTTTTCTCTTCTTATAATATGCAATTTAGTCAAATTTCTTTTTGCAGCATGTAAATGTTTCGCTAAAAATTATTTAATAAAAAAAAATCCGATAATAATCACTTCTCCTGGTTATCCGCTTGAATACTGCGATAATCTCAATTGTATGACAACAATTGAATTCGATAAAGGTTCATATGATCAAACAATTCGATTAGATGTTAATGCATTCTCACTCGAACATGGCTTCGACTTTTTACATATTTACGATCGTCTTTTACAACCGAAATATCTCATTAGGTACCGCTATTCTTATAATTTTACTATTTATTTTAATATTTCATCAATAATTTCACTATCCACTTCCTGCAAGAGCAAACCTGCCTTTCAAAAATTTCGGGTAGTGCTATCGATCCACCTGTACTGATTCTCTATCGCCAGATGATTCCCTGACAAAATTCGCATGGTCCGACAAGCTAATAAAACGAGCCTAAACAGTTATGGTGGATGCTGCTAAGAAAAAAAGATTTATATACGTGAATTACCATATCCATGCTAAAATTTTTTTTGCTGAAATTTCCATATCCAAATTAATATTTTTTCACAGCTGGACTGGTGAACTAAACGGCAAAAGTAATTTCTTTACTTTTAACGCACCTAAAGGTGACATTTCGATGGTGACTGATGCTACAATTGTTGATAAAGGCTTCAATTTGACAATCACGCCTATAACAAGAAATAGAAGTTAGCAGTAGTTTTTTTATAGTGTTTTTTCATATAACTTATTAATATTAATGAAGGGTTTAGCATAGAATTTTCATTTGCAGAGTTCCTTAATGCTTTTATATATTTTCATAATATTCATAGCTCATTTTTTGTCATGTCCCATTAGTTACAGTACCATGAATCTCTTTAGGAAATTTCTGGCTAATTTTAAAATTTTAGAATGTAGGTGTCCTGGAAGCGCGCAACCACTGCAATTTTCTACTAAAAGTGGACAATTTTCGTTCGACATACCTCCTGATTGTTCCTATTTGGATTGTTTTCTTCACTTTACTAAACCCATTTTGGCAAGTATTAAGTAATAATTTTAACTCTCATGCTATATTAAAATAAGCGAAAATAAAATCTGACAAAAATTCATAAAAATCAACTCAGCGTTGGTCATAATTGACTTGGTTAAATGCAAATATTGCCCGTTGCACAATGGATATCTGACTGGTTATATATTACAGGTCTCAAGTGGAGACCGATTTCGATTAGTCGTTAATCTGATTTATTCATTCAAAAATGCTGACGAAGAGTTTCTAGAAGTCATAAAGAAACTTAGTGGCAATGTCATCTCAGCGCCAATTAGCGAAAAGGATATATCCATGTAATATATAAATTTTTTTAAAAAATCCATTTTATTGTTATATCTCTCAATTATATCTCAATTTTAAGCCAATTTTATCCATTTGAAAATCAGCTGATTGTACCAGCCTTTCAATTTTTTTAAGTTCGTATTATAAAGTATATTCTGGAATTTAAATTTAAAATATATCAAAATTGATTAATAAAAGTTAAATATTATACAAGATTATATTATACAATAATAAAAGAGTAATATAATAAAAAAAAGAATTGGTTCTTTGGTTTTTTAGTTTCGAACCGGGAATAAAAATAGCAGGAAGTGCACGGATTGTTAATAATGAACCAATGGGATTCTGGTATCATTTGGCTTCGTCTGATAATAATTCACAAATAGCTTCGTTCAATTTCACTTACGAGTGGCGAAAAAGTTGTATTTTATATGATTTTATATGGTTTAGCTTTATTTTGCCATAATTCATCAATTAATTTATCAAATAAATTTCCAAATTGCCGCACTTTTTCCCGAAATATGATTGAAAATAAGAGTCCGAATAGTTTCTGGGGACGTCTCATCTATCGTTCATCTCCAAGATTTTATGACAAAAGGGATAGGGTATAGTTCTCAAACCGTACTCACATGCATACCCCCATAGCACAATGGCATTTGCGATAAGTTGCGGATCTGGAAAATATTAAAAAAAACAATCGCAATGGTGCAGGCCCTCGCACTGAGGAAGATTCAAAATCTGTTAGAGAAGTCGAACAATTGTCAACTTATGAGCACGCAATGAAGGTCTTCACCTTATTTGCGCGAGAGCGCTTATGTTTTTTGGGAGTGGATGATGACAGTCTATACACTATCCAAGTATGGGTGCTTGCTTATCATCTTTGTTATTTGCGGATTTCAAGTAGTCTCAGAGCAAAGTATTGGTTCTATCAGTTGTATTTCAGATAACTTGGAATGAAATGATTGTGCTTGATTGAATCGAATACAAATATTTTAAAATTTGTTGTTTCTTTCAGTTTTTTTCAACTCTATAATAAAAAAAAATTCAGTTTGTCAGTGTGGCCAATCGAAACTTATTGCTAATAGTGAACAATCGAAAATTTTGAGTTCACCGGATTATCCGGAATATTATTGCAATATGATGAAGTGTAATTATTCAATCATTGCTCCAGCTGGATATATTGTTGCAATCAATATCACTGAACTGTCGCTTGAGACTAATGAAGATTTTGTGGCTTTTTTTGACGGTCCATCTGCAAATAATACGAGGCTAAGAATGTTATATTTTATTATGCATTAAAAATCGAGCAAATATTATTATTATTGCTGATATGATCGGTTTCATTTATTTCAACCTACTTTCCTCTTTCTTCCAAAAGAAGAACAAAAAAAAGATGTCTTAGTCGGCTTCACCAAGTCACCAATTCAATTATAAATGATTTAGCCAGTTTGAAATTCAAAGTCGAAGATGCTGAAAAGGTAAAAGGTGTGAAGATCTGCAAGTCATTTTTGGCTGCCGCGTTAATTGATCTATTAGTTCGTTTCAAAACTGATAATAATAACTCATTCCAGAAATTTATTTTATACCTATGGGTTATTAGTAGATATCTTTGGCTAAGGAACAAAAAGAAATTGTAGACTAATCTTGCAACGAGTATATTATGAACAAATGGAGCTATATTGCAGGGCGACTGGTACAAATGTATATGAACCACTCATCAAAAGTACACAACCAGAAATGTTTGTATATTTTGAATCGGATGTTAGCATTGTTAACAAAGGATTTGTGCTTTATTATTACGCAGGTAAGTTTTTTTTCAATAAATTACGACTGATTGATTCTCCTGGTGCTAACTTAATATTTGGGCTTAAAGGATTGGTTTTAATTATTCTGAGGTAAGGCAAACGCTTGGAAACGCCTTACCTTTATGGCCTGCGGAATAGGCTTAACCATTAATGGTGCAAGTTGTGAAAAGTAGAAGAATTTGATGAAAGAATTTAAGTAAAATAATCAAATGAAGTTAAGGCATTAAAAAACACATTTTAAAAATATATTTTCTTTGATGTTAAATGTTTTTAATCCAATTTTTAGAGCCTTTGTCAGGAACTCTAATGCAAGGCGATCGTCCTTCAAGCGGAATTTCAATGTCCAACATTTTGCTCGCCTTTACTTGTTTAATATTTATCTTTGTGATTGTTGTGACTTATCAGAAAAGGATTCTATGTTTTGCTAGGAAATATGGTTGGACTGGTGCATCGACTGTTGGTTTCAGGAATTTAACTTATAATATCGATTCGTAAATTATTTTTCTTATTTCTGTAATTATTATTTCTATTGTATTTAAAATTCAATAATAGTTTCATAATACATATAATTTCATAAATTAATTTCCCAACATATAAGTTAGGAAGAGAATGGTTCAGTGAGGTCTCTTGGCCTCATTTTAGAGCGTCTATGCTCTTGGCTTTTATTCCCGGCACGAGTAATTCTATCTTCAAAAATCCATATGTTACTAACGATCCACCTGTACTGTTATTGTCAAAATACTCTCTGCAAAACTACCTCTCTGGTCCGACAAGACAGCAGTAACCAGAAATGGTGAATGCTCTTCAAAAAAAAAGTCATATGATATTTATGATATTTCATTTCTTATTTTTAATGTTTTAATGTTTATATATAATATTTTTTTGCAGATCGAATTTAATGAATGATTCTGGATTGTATCCATAATGAAAGTTTTTTCTAAATCAATAAAATTTTCCAATCGTTTTTCTTAGCTCTCTAAAAATTTACAGTTTTAGGAAGAAATTGCCAAATTTTATGTGCATTATAAATTCCGCACTACTATGGCAATCTTTGATGAATGACTCAGTGAGGTGTTGCTCAATTCCGAGCACCGATGCTGAAATTCTACTCCCCGTAGGAGTGAACCTGTCCAAAAATCCGGGTGATGCTGGGTGATCCACCTGTATTTCTAGCGCCAGTGGACTTCCTGGCATATTTATCTATTGCGAAAAAGCAATGTAACGAGTCTAACCAACAATGATTTGGAAAAAAATGATAATCTTGTTTATAATCTTATTAATAATAATATCATTTTATCTTGACGCAAGATATCGAAGCGTTGTCTGATCTGCATCAATGATTTCAAGTGACCATCTGTAAAACTTGACCACTGAGCCTATTTTAAAATCGTCGATTCTGAAAAAAAAATCATTGTTAAAGACAAAAGTTGGCAATATTCTTTAGGTTCTAATGATTTGAAAAATTCTTTAGGAAGTATAATGTTTAAAGTCAACTCGGTCTATAAATTGACAAGCTGATTACCATGACAAAGAGGCCAGAATGGCTCATTAAGAGTTGCTCCCATTGAGGCTCCACTTTCGGTAGTAGCAGACCTGTTTTTAAATCCGTGTGTTACTGGTAACTATTAAGGTTGAGGGAATAATAATGCATATGAAAATTCGAAACTTGATAGAAAAACAAACTTATAATTGCTCGATTCGATTCCTAATAAGAAAGGACGACCATATGACCATTCGCGATATTTCCCCTTTTCTATAATATCTATCTTTCGCTGATTGATATGATAAGATAGAATGAACAATGCATTATCGTATGGTCCATCAACCTCAAAAGGTCCATCATATTTTAGTTTTTTAAATTATTAACATCGAGTATTTGTATATAAGGAGAAGGAAATTCTATATTTTGCATTTTAAAGAAATTTTACCATTTTTGCGATAAATCTAAGCGTTGGAGGTATATTGTCGGTATTATCCGGTGGTGGTCCCTTTTCGAGAATCTAAATCAATTTATGGGAAGAAAAAATCATGAAAATCAAGCAAATCAAGCAAAATATAGACTAAAGAATTATTTAAGTGGTTAGTTAATAAAATAAAATATGCATCGTGGAATACCTTATCACAATCTGTATAGCTTATAGTGCCATGCAAATTTTGCATAAATTTTCGAGTTTCCTCACCAACGCAATCAAAAATGAACATTGGCCTGGAAAAGACATTGACCCATGCTCCAGGATAAAAGTCCTCACTTCGATAGTACTGTTTATTGCCTATAATTTTATACAATAACTTTGGACACATTAATTATATCAATTTCTTCTGTTGCCATTTAATATTTTCTATGGAACAAAAGCAATATAATCGATTTATTCTCGCAAAACAGACAATGATAAACCTCCTATCCCCTCCTATCTCCCTCTCCTCTCCTTTCCTCTTAAATCAATACTAGCAGATTTCTTTATGGCGTATAGAGATCAAGGACAGGTCAAGTACCACAGTCTATGAATGAACCACTTTAACGAAAGCCGTGGTTTTAAGCTAAAGCTATGTGTTTCAGATTGGGAGTAAATGCTTTCATATGTATTTAAAAAATTTAAAAAATGTATTTAAAAAATTTAAAAAAATATATAAAATTAAAGTATAGTTTGAATTCTTCTATGACAGTGTATATTTTGGTTAATTATTGACAGTAATCGTATTTGATCTCAAGATTCAGAGTTATAGATTCAACATTCAGAGCCGGTGGGAGGAGAGGACGAAGTTTTTAGATGTATTTATGACAATTTAAAGAATTAAAATATTCGACGATTTTTTGCTTATATGTATATTAGATAAAAAAAATACAAATTCCTTTCCTAGATTTACTAAGTCAGTCCTAAAATACAATATTTTGCAATATTTAAATTCACACTCTACTATTAATTATATTTCTAAACTCAAATTATATGAACTCGATTCTCTAAAAAACGGGAAAATTCAATAAGATTTGATTTTTACTTACGAAAATATGTACCTCTCTGGTCCTATGGATTTGGATTATAAAATTTTTATGATCTTTTTTTAAATTTAAATAACTCGAAAAATAATGAATTGAAGATGCGGAGACCTATTTGTAGCTCAGAAATTCTTCATACACTATCTTTTAATGCACTAAAAAAATTGCTTTTGATCTCGTTGATTACTAATTATTGGATTGAAAAAAATTGAAAATATCCATAATATTATTTAAGTCCTTTTTTTTGTCCTTTTGCCCTTTGTCCTTTTATATTTTTTTGTCTTTTTTTTAGAGACCCTTCACCATTATTGGTTAGACTTGCATTGTCGCACTAAACAAATATACCAGGGAAAAATTGGCGATATGAGTGAGCCGCCAGCATCGGCAAGATTTTTGTGCAGGTTTTGTGCAGGTTCCTGCGGACAGCCTTTGCATCAGTGTTCCGAATTGAGCGACAATCCATTGAGCCAACTCCATTTCTAGTTTTGTCTACGACACTTTTTTTATCATTTTGTTATTCATGTTGGTTTTTTGCTATTATGCAAAATGATAGCAATTAATTTCTTCTGATAATAATTTTATCACTAATTTTAAGCCTCTTTTCATACCATTATATTGTTGACTTCTAAATTTTATTATCATAAGAGCGAAGGATTACATTCGGATAATTTTTCTTTGCATGAAAAAATTTTGCAAAATGGTAGAGATATTTGAAAATTGATACAAACCATATTTTGACTGTGGGCAAGGCAGATGAATTCGTCTTAGAAAGATTTTCTCCAGCCTTTCACGATTCGTTCCCGTAATTTCAGTTAATGATACGGTATCATCAAACGTATAAATTGTCATCTTAAATATTCGCTTCGGACGAATACCAGTGAAATCGTTCGATTTATCTAACCAGTATGCGAGAAGAAAAATGTTCGCAGGTAAATTTGCGTTATCAGAAATCTTTAAATGATCGAATACTAATAAAACAACGATTGTAATTGGTAAATTAAATGAATAAATTGATGGATAAAACGGTTTAAAAATATGACTGATTTGGGAGTTCGGATGAATGTTCAATTTTTCATTCATAATTTTTGATTAGGCGCAGTGCACTGGCTTATCGAATCAGAATAACGTGCTAAGGAGTTATTTGGCGACTGAAGTAGAGATAGATAAGTCATTAGTATCACCAGGATTTTTGGAAAATAAATTTACTTTCGCAGAAAGCAGGAGCGAGCAGCCCACTGAGCCATTCTATTAATGATTTTTGAGAGCACTATCATCATTATTGGTTACACTCGTTCCGCTGGCTTGTCGCGCTAAATATGCCAGGGAGCCCTTTGGCGATAAAAGTACAGGTGAATCGTCAGCATTACTCGCATTTTTGGACAGGTTTACTCCCACCCGGAGTAGAATTTCAGTGTTAGTGCTGCGAAATAAACAATAACCCCGTGAGCCATTCTACTCTCCTTTTGCTTTTTTCCATTATGCGACAGTGACACTGGACAAAGATTGCTGCGTGGTGGATTCGAATCCAAGCTTCGATTCTCGGTGGTACTACTCTACCGCTAGATTAATCTGAATGAAAGGATATAACCTTAAACGAAGCGAACGATGTTTTTTTCGTTGCATTATTATTCGATAATCTATTTCTTGTCCAAGGATCCACTGGTATTTCTTCTTCTTTGTTTAATTTTATGCCATTTTTTTCCAAGAAATTCTGTAAAAAGTCGAAGTTATCGAAGCAAAAAACCTTTTCTTTAAAGAATTATTTCATTTAATTTTAGCAATCCAACAAGAAAAATTAGTTGAAAAACTTCGCGAAATAGCTCGATACTAAGAGAAAATTTGTAAATTGCAAAACTGCGAAATTCTTCGAGTGAATTAATTCACCTTTGTAAACTGATCGCATGATGTTAGTCGATAGGTTTTTGAAAATAACTGTACGTCTTGTCCGACATTCAAATCCGACCAGTGAAGGTAATCTCTTCCTTTTTGATTGTCGGATTTAGGTACTCTTTGCCGAGTAATTAATCTTCCCTGCAGTTTTAATCCAAAATATAAATTACTTTCTATCAAATATTTCAATTTTAGTTGTTGCTAGTCGGAATAATTTTGAAAGCCATCTTCTGCTGGCTTAAACATCACTTATATTATATATTTATGCTGTTAACCAAAAAATCTACATATATGTATATATATTGATTCTACAGTACGATTCTACAGTATCTTTGATGTTTATAGGAGTACCCTCTTCTGAATAGAGATATCTGCTATTGTTCCTGAAATCTGTTAGAGTCATTTTTCTAGCCAAGGGGATCACAACCCCCATTGTTTCTACCACAGTTTTTTACTTTGGTCTTCACTCTCTAAATCTTTTCTAGATTCACTCACTTTATTTCTCTAGCTTTTTCCTGATGTCACTTTTTTTAGCGCTGCTTTACTGGTTCTCCTCTATAATTACGATCTGTGGTTGTCTGGACAGCATTTGTTCATCTATCTGGATAGAAAAGAGCAGCAGGATCTTTGCCTTGTTACTCTCTATGCATCTCTGGAGAATCTCTGATCTCCGGAAGATTTAACCCATGCAAATTATATATAATAAGCATAAACCAAAACAGTCAAGGTGAATTTAGGTCTATTGATATGATTAGAATATGTTAATTTCATGAAAAATTTTAGCAAAAAAATCAAATTTTACTTGCAGCATACCGCTGTTAGGCACGACTGGTTCATTTAAGGTTATAGAATCGTCAGTTAGATGATATATTAATTTCATGGGACGAATACGATGAATTTGCTCGTTAGAATATATTCCTGATTCTGCTTCAGCCAGATAGCAATCGAAAGTTAAAACATTTCGTCTTTCCATTTTTATCCAATTTTTACGCAATCCTCTAAATTTTAAACAGAATGAACAAACTAAAGACTCATGATTTCTTTATTCGTAATGTTAATTACTGGAATAAACTACCGAACGATATAGCTTATGCGCCATCCATAGCTATTTTTTAAAAAAAGAATAGATAATATCACTTCTGATATTATTTAAAAAGTTCACATCATGGAGGAAGTGTGAAATCGCGTTTTTTGTCATCCGCTTGTAGTTATTTCGAATTGTACTATATTATATTATTTTGCAATATCTTTTTTATTTCATTATATTTTTTATTTATATTTAAAGTGTTTATTTTATTTTATTACTTTTATTATTTTTATTTTATTATTTTTTGTTTTTGTCATTAATTCTTATTATTTGTTGGTCAGTTTAATTGTTGTTATTAATACAAGCACATGGCGTTTGCGCCCTGCCTGGCTGGTTTTCAATAAATAAAACGAATGATAAAAAACTGTGGAAAAGAATATAATTGATTGTGAGCGGTTAGTCGCTTTATTCAACAAAACCTTCGTTAAAGTCGAGTCAAATCCGAATTCGAAGGTATTCCGAACTAAATATCCGAATTGGGTCGAGAAATAAGTGGTTATAAGACTGCTTAAGAGTAACCGTGCATATTCTCGAATTGCGACTGTTCTAAGCAAATTAAGTATGAATAACTCCGCATACTTTCGATTATTAAGAGAAATATCAGAGTATATGCTCAGGCGATAACAATCCGCACTTTATCCAAGTATTGCTTCTTGCTTGTCGGAAATATCCGAAATATCTTCTTAAATTCTGAAACCATGATGGTATCTGGTACCACAAGAACTTTATTAAAGAACTCTCACCATTACTGGTTAGACTCGTTTCGCTGGCTTGTCGGACTAGACAAATATGCCAACGAGTCCCTTGTCGCAAGAGTGCAGGTGAGTCACCAGCATCACCCGGTTGTACAAGATGAAATCTATTGATTATTATTAATAACTCACATAACCAAATATGTCAATATCAAAAGGACACCACTACTGGTGTGAAATCATGTCAATGGCTGGATGGGGATCACTTGCTTTAAAGAAAGGTTTTCAAATACTTCGCTCATCAGTGTTTATACCGCTGTGCACTGCTTAGATAAATTAGATAAAAATGATAAATTCTGTGCAAAATTCTGAGGCTGTACTTAGCCTCGGCAACTCGGAAATTAAAAGGTGCAATCGTTATGGGCAAAACAATGCCGAAAATCAGTAATAATTATGGAAAAAGAGGAATTAATTAAAGATGAATAATTATAAATAAATTAAGAAGAATTAAGGAAGAATAATTATAAATAATATATTTTAATTATATTTTATAAATTATTTATTTATAATTTTTATAATTATAAAATAAATTTAATTACTGAATTATTCGAAAATTTAAATTTCATTTATGTTTTAAAATTCATTTTCAATTTATTTAATGGTAAAAAGAAAATAAAGTCTAAAAAAAGAAAAGAAAAGAATGAATGAAAATAAACAACTTTCCGCATATTTATCAATTATGGAATAAAAAAGATTGAAAAAAAATTTAAATAGTGAGAAAAATAATTTAAAAATATTTTTTTAAAATGTTTAAAATAAGAGTTAAAAACAAAAACTAATTATCAGTGATATACTGATAAAAAATTGATAATTGGGAAATTTTATTCCCGCACTTTTTCATTATTAAAGCTTTTGAATGCATTTGAATAGCAATCGGAAGGACTATAAGGAAGGATTTTTTGTTAGTAGAAACGTGAGAGCATATTGAAAATTAGTTCATTGCTATTCATTTATTTAGAAATAATAACGAAGAATGGCCAAGCCAAGCAAAGCCACCACACGACTATACTTTTCCAAATATTCTATGAAATTTCAGAGTTCGAGTAAATTTTTACAATCGAAAAATTGACGACTAATTTTATTTATTATATTATTTATTATATTCAAATTCAAACTAAGCATTATAATACTTTTTAATTTTTTCGTAATTTCTATAAAATTTAATTAAAAGTAATAAAATTAAACTAAAAATTTTCGTAAAATTAGGCAAAATATATTGTGCTGAATTTGGATAATTTATCCCTTTTTTTGCTCATATCGGAACGAGCGCAACATTTTATTTTTTAGGTTTCGGAAAGACTCGGTGGCACCGACAACAGTCGTGCTGGTTAGATTCCAGCAAAACCGAAATCGTCTACGAAGCAAATTCGACTTGGGAAATAGTAACTGTTTTTTAAATGAATTATAACCCTCATTAGTCCCAAAAAATAGGAAAATAACGATACGCTAAATAAGTAGTAGGAGGTAAAATGTGGCCCAGTAAGATCTCGTAGGATTTATTTTGGAGACCAATGCTTCGAATCTACCTTTCGGCAGGAGTAAATATGCTCCTGGAAAAGAAATAGCTGAGGAAATTCTTGCCGAAGTAAAAATTTTGAATAATAGCTTAAGTATGACAAATAAGAATAACTCAAGTATGACAAATAAATAAATAACTGATTAGCCAATTTATATTCGATTTATACTCCGATGCAATCAATTTGAAGTCCAGTGATTTGTGGTGTATGTATTGATATGATTTATCAACTGCAAAGGTTAAGATATCACTCAGAAATATTCAACTGTATTGATAAAATACCCAACGAGGATTCCCCAAAAATATACCGACGATTAACATTCACCAATTCAATTATCAAACACGAAAATATGAAAAAAACTGGCCACCAATCATGCAAACTTTCAGCTTCAGCCGAATCGATGCCCATGAAATTATTTCCTTATTTTGCGTCATATTGTGCATATAATTGCTTAGTCAACTGAGCAAAACAATTTGATAATTACAGACAATATTCTGTTTATTCCATTATCAACTCTCAAGGAACTCGGATTTTTCCCTTCAGACCCTTCAGATATAAAAATTCAAACGTCAGGTCGAGTCCTCCACGTCAAATGTCTTCGGAATTCTTAAATCCAATGCTAATTCACTTCCGGCAAAAATCCCGAACCACCTTTAATTCTATCGCCAAAACAGTAAAATTTATCCGGTCCGACAAATCTAATCATTAACCATGAATGTTTGCTATCCAGTTTTTCACGCAGTTGAATGAAATTTAATACATACCAACATAAGCTGAAGAAAAAGTCTTTAATTTTTCATTTTCAAAAATTTTTCATGCATAGAAGAAATTAAAACTACTGCACATGCGACGGCATAAATATCTATGAAATTGCGATACCTGTTTTCTAAAAAGAATGATTGCAGAAATGAGTGCGAAAGTGACGCGAAAGTATTTTTAAAAAACGAAAGTAATAAAAAAATAATAAGGAAATATAAATGCATATTTGAAATTAAGTGAAGTGAAACCAAGCAACCAATTCACTTCCGTTTTTATTCAAATAATTTTAAAAAATATCAAAGTAAATATTATTCCATTTAGATCTCCTTAATATTATCAACCAAAAAGGACTAAATAAAAAATAACAAGAATTTCGTGCAAAAAACTAATAGCCTAGATTCACCAAAATTCACCAAAAAAAATGGATGGGCAGAATGGCTAAGTGGGTGAATGCTCAGTTCGGAGTGCCGATGCTAATAATTGTACTTCTATCACCAATGGACTCTCTAGCATATTTGTCCAATGCGACAAATCAGTTGAGCGGGTCTAACCAGAAATGATGAAGGCCCTTGAAAAAAAACTAAAAAACCTAGGCTCACCAAAATTTACCAAAACAAATCGTGATATGGCACAAGATTTTCCACCGGTCTTAAAACCTTAATTAAAGAAAAAAGATTGTTATAAACTGAGAGGTTAAACTTCTTTGTGCTAAAGCATATGATTTTAACCTATGACATAATATTGGATAAAGAAATTCTGAATTAAAAAATGATATAAAATCAGACTGAAACACTACAAGGCGATTAAATTATAAGTAATTATAAGTTCACGTCTTAATATAATGAACGGCAACAGTTACATTTCCTTGATTAGTAATAGCAATAGTGGAGTTTGAAGCATTTAAGATTATCACTGGATCAACGTTAACTGATGAATTATCACTATCAGATTCAAGTGAAGCAGACAGAGCAAAAATTTCTGATATAGTCGATGCTAATGAGTCGTCAAGAGTGCCACGACTGCATATAGTTAAAGCTGATTGATCTGAACATAATGCGCCTGCAACATCTGATCTACTCATCCTGAAAAGCGTTTTACTACTTTTCATAATTGAACTGAGGAAATTATAGAAATCTGGAACTTCAGGAAATTTTATTTTGGAAAATGAAGAAGACAGATTTTCTTTCTAGAAAAAACATGAAATAAATTGATTATATATTTGCTATTAAAAAGCTATCAAATTCTGATATTTTTAGAAATATGAAGTAGAAATGATTTAAATTATGCTAAGCATCCAAAGAATCCGATTAAATCCCACTTTATAAAGAAAATAGTAAGAAAAATAAATCTTACATTTCATCCAAATATCCTTCTATTCCTTTCTCCATATTTAATAATGAACAATAGGAAAACAACAATAAAGTGATATCTTTCACTGCTTTAACTAGTGTGAAAACCACCACATCGATATATAAAACATAAAAAATTAAAATTTCTGCTTTTTCTAAAAAATTATAACTACAATATCACAGTATCAGTAAGAATATCAAAAATATTTCATAAATGACTGCAAATCCAATTTTCAAAATCTATACTTTAGTAAATACTTTAGTAAAATTTCTAAAAATCTCTAAATAAATTCTAATATCCTTAGTTGTGAATTGAGAATTTTAGAAAAATTAACGGATGTGAAATTCTCATTCTTCCCAATGAAAGAATTTTTTATAAACAAAGTTCATTGTATAAAATATGTATATGAAAAACGACAAGAAAATAATCAAAAAAATTTCTGTACAAGAATAATTTATCGAAATTCCATTAAAGAAAAAAAAGCAAAAATTAAATTTGCAAAAATCATTAAAAAAGTAAAAAAAAAGGTAAATAGATCGAATAAAAATTAACAAAATTAAAATTACTGTTAATATAAAAAAAGGAATCGAAGAATATGTATTGAAAACATATATATTTACTCGAAGACAAAAATAAACGCACTTTATTAAATCTCCACGAGAAGCAAACATGGATAAATATCCGAAAATAATTGATCTATTCATATGATATGCTAGGAAAGGGCTTTCTAAATTTTTTAAAGCCTTTTAAACATTAAAACATTAAACATCTCTGAGCATCAAAAAAATTCAAAAATTTATTGTACAAAATATTTTTAAATGCTTCCACTACAAAGTTTCAAAAAAGCATGCCACAATTTTTAGACATTACTATGATCAAAACTATTCTTAACTGGAAACTACTGTTTACTGAAATAAAAATAGTGATGAAAACGTTCTAGCAGTGGCAAGCGATTTATTCAATTTACCTAATTTAAAAAAACTTAGCAAAATCCATTAGCAAGAAAAAAATTCTTGAAAATATTTAATTTAGCGGCTTTTCGAAAATATAGCCCTCATACATATAAATCATAGATATCAAAGCGAACTAAACGATAAAAGAGGGACAAATGATACAATTATAGAAAAAGAGCACACATACTTCTCGAAACTGAACCAATAAAATTAAAAGAAGATAAGAAGAAAGAAATAAAATGACTAGCTGCTTTGGATTTTACTTTGCATTTTATCTTTACTGTATTCAACGAATTCATCGATAAGCACAGGCCATGCACCATCAACATCATAATTACTAAAGTCCGGCCGAATATTTCTGATGAATTCGAGAAACAAATTCCAAGTATCACGTGAAATAGCTCCAACACCCTGAAAAAATGAAAATACGACAATTTATAAAGGTAATTTACATATGGTCGATAGAAATCTAATTTTATCATTGATATTTACCTAATGATATTTTTATTCATCTACCTTTAATCAAAAAGAGAAAAAACAATAGCAGTAGAATGTCAAAAATCTATTTAATTTATTGTTAAAATCAATACTACTATTTAAACCATAGGTAGAAAGAGCATTATTATTCGCACACCATAATTAAATTATTTTCTTCATTATCATTTTTAGCTACTGGTAAAACCAACATATGGCGTTATCTTGTCGTTTTTTCGGATAAATTGAATGAAAAAAATATCTCATTTGATTATTAATGCAATGATAAAATTTGGAAAAAAATCTCTTTAGGTAGTATAATTAATCAGAACTGGAAAAAACAATGAAAAGAATAGAAAAGACGTTTCAATTAAGATTAAAATGATGGTAGAAGGTAGAAACATAGGAATGGAATTATACATGACGTGCGTTTCGACTGAAATTGCAAATTCGATACGAATTCACTTGATTATTAATTAGGCTCAACGCCTAAAACACCAGCTATGCAGTTCTACAGAATTCTACGGCTTAATAAAGCCTTGAAAAAGAAAGTAAGTTGTGCAAATTTGTATAAAAAGAAAAAGAACTTTGTCATATATAAAATTTGTCCAAAACATATAAAGCATATAAAGTACCAGCAGAATGCCTGGAAAATGGAGCAAATGTAGTAAGTACAAACCTTTTCTCTTAAAAAGCTAAACCAGCTTTCCAGAAAATCTTGACTTTTATCAAATAATAGTTCCCAATAGGCAATAGCCATTTCTAAAGCTAAAAAAAATCTTTTTATTACATTGTATAAGCTGATGTATTGCATAAAAATACTAGCAAAATTCAACTAGATTTCAATTAACTAAATAAAGAAAATGAAGTTTATTAGTTCGAAATAAAGTAAAAGAATTTATGGTAAAAAATTATGGCACCGATATAAAATAAAAAGTTTTTTGATATTTTTGATAATTATTTAAGTTTAATAATTATTTCCTTCTTTTTTATGTTCTGTCTCAATATTATTTACTATTTATAACTTAAAGCGCATTGGTTAACAATTTAATCTAAAATTTAATCTAAAATTATACAATTAACTAACAAATATTTTTAGAATTGCTCGTGCGGGCATAATTATATGCAAACTGATATAGATCTCGAAATTTTATTGGATCTTGCAGCTCATTAGCCATTTCTGGAACCGCTGCTCTAAGTTTTTCTAATGAATCCACTCTGTAATGATAGTAGAGCGATAATTTAAAGAAAATTTATTTCCCCCAAACTATATTTAATGATAAACATTTTGATATTTTTTTACCTATTTATTTTCGAGTATTCTCACAAATAAAACGAATTTCTTTGAAAAAATTGACTATTTATCTTTAATAATTCTAAAATCACCTCATATCTGTAAGACCAGTGCTAAATTCTTTCCAGGTGAATTCACATGACGTTTTTGCATTTAACTTCCAGGCCAAAATTAGCACTGTCCGACTTCTCGGATCCAGTTCAAGATCGTTTAATAGACGCAAAACGCCATGCGGACCAATAATTGAAGAATCATCATCTCTTGCATCTGAAATCTGAAATCTTAAAGAAAAAAAGATGACAAGATATAGTAAAATTCAAGACCAAATCTCATGGAAAAAACCATACATTTAAGATTTTAAACCAATTTTCCATTTTCTCTTTCACATTTTCCAAGAATATATCAAATAATCTTTAAATGAACCTTTTTTCCAAAAGATAAAAAAATCGTTTGCATAATCAATAACGATAAATTCTATTATTTCTCTTCACATACCATTAGCATATTTGGTAAAAAATGCTTTTAAATTGCGTTGATCAACTACACTAGCAACACTTTCCGAATGAAACATTTTCGGATAACGATAATATAGATCACAAGCTTTTTCCAAATTCCATCCTGTATGATTCAAATAATCAGTTGCAACTTTCTCATTTGATTTTGTCCATACCATGAAACTTCTAATCTAAAAAAGTTTCCTTTATTTTTTAAATTTTTGATATTTAAAAAAAATTTTGCTCTCCTTTAAATGGAAATGTATTGTTTTTTTCCGAATGGAAGCATTTAAACTCGTGATTTTGCTATATATTAAAACTGGAATCGATTTAGCCTAACAAACATCACCTTGAGTTTTGTTTGAAAATTGCTGTTAACCTTTTCACGCTGCGAAGTCCTCATTCGATACATCGCCGTACGACTTAATTTAATTCTTTTAATAAGTTCAGCCACAGTGAATCGTTTTTTTCGGTTATAGAATCAATAAAAAACCTGAAATTAAAGAAAAAATTATAGACATAAATTGAGGTAGAAATTGAAGTTTATAGAAAATATATTATGCGTCAAAATAAGCAACAGAAAAAAAACAGAAAAAGAAGAAATCATTAAGACAAAAGAAAAAACGAAAACTTCTCCTAATGCGCACGCACATCATTTCCTGCTTGAATCCATTTGCTATCACAATGAAATCCCTTGGTCAGCTGAAGAGAAAAGTCGGACTTCCACCATCACGATTTCGATGATTAGAATTATTCGAACCAAGAATTAGGGAGAGGATCAATGATGCGAATTGGTGGGCCGATGTAAAATTTCACCTCAGCGTTTTACCTAATCAGATTAAAATGAGGCAAGCATTTGCAATAATATATTTAGTTTTTCAACCTTCCCGCTTTTTTAACCAAAAAGAAAGCCAATAATTGTTTTCGATCCATAAAATTAAAATATGGAGAATACGATTAATTATCGATCTAACGATGAAAGCAAAGTGCAGTATATATCATTAATAAAATCCCCAACCACAACATATCCAATAGAAATTCAAAAGCAGCGATACAAGTAGCAAAGCAGAAGAAATAATGAACTGGGATAGTCAATAACTAAAGCGAGAATTATAAAAGTACTGCCAGAATTTTCGCGCACGCAGTTTTCATGCAGTCTTTTCATTTTTTTTAGCCTTATCTACGCTTTCGCGCCGTTTCCCCCCTCCCCCTCTCTTTCGATTTTCCTTTCCGATCCCGCATTTGATTCTCTCGGCGAATCTCCCATTGCAGTTTTCATCTCGATATTTATTTCCTCAATCGGCGTTGCGACCAACAACGAAAGCTGTTTTATGGAGCGAGGAAAGTCGATCCCGACGAAATCGAAGAGTCATACAACGAGACAACGCAGGACAAACAAACACTCGATCTACTGTTTTTTTTTGCTTTTTCATTATGAAACTGCATAATTTCATAATGAAAATGAAAAAGGAAATGAACGAATGATTGCATTAATCAGAAAAAATAATTATAAAAATTAGAAGAAACACAAATAACAATTTAATAACTAATTTTAGGAAATAAAATAAAAAAAATTCTCCGGTGACCTTCGACCCCAAATTGGCTGACAGACTACCACAAATAAACCAAACACAACAATACACAATAAAAGAAAAAAACTTTCCACTGCTTTATTGTTTTTTTCATGCCACGAGGATTCCACCAATCTTTTTTGTCTGAATTTAAGAAAAGCGTAATTCGCAGTTGAACTGCAGATGCGGTTAGAAAGTGATTGCAATCAAAAATTTTTCATTATTTTAAAGACGGGTTTTTCCTCGAGGATAGGGGAATCGAATCTAAGGTATTTTAAAATTGATCGAAGTACTATACCACTGTTTTTCAAAATTCAAATTTTTGCCGGCTGTTGGAATTCACAAGTCAATTTTCCATCACTTATAAAGTTAACGTAAAAAGGCAAAAAATAAAACGGCCTACAACAAAATCCTTACGTATGGTTTTCCCATTCACCATTTCGAGTCCGAGTGTCCGGAGGCCCTAACACATTTCTTATATAAGCACAAATATAGTAATTGGAAAAGAATCTATTTCATTTATATTTTTTTTTACTGGTTAAACTCGCTCCGCTGGCTTATTACATTGGACAAATATGCCAGCCTCTTAGCGATAGAAGTACAAGTGAGTCGCCAGCATTACCCGGATTTTCGGACAGGTTTACTCCTGCGGGAAATAGAAAGTCAGCAACGGCGCTCCAAATTGAGCAATAACCCACTGAGCCGTTCTATCCCTATTTCATTCGTATAGATTTTGATGAGCTTTTCTTTTTCGACGAGCGCTCACCATTTCTGATTAGAATCGTTCCGCTAACTTTTCATAGCAAACAAATTCTGCCAGTGAATCATTTGGCGATTGAAATATAGGATGGAAATGGGTCGCTTGCATCCTCAGATTTCCGAAAGATAGATTTGCTCTTGTCGAGATTAAACTTAGAATTCGAGCAACGGTACTCCGAAATAAGCAGAGTGGTCATTCTACCCCCTCTCTTCCCCCTCCACACCCACTGTCCCCTTGTAAGGACTGCTGAAATTCTGCACGTTCTTAACTAAACGGAATTAAACTGATGACCAATAATTTTTTTAATTGTACCAGTTACTGGGGTAATTGCCATCTGAGGTGACTTTTGCTTCTATGATAATATTTATCCTTAAAAGCCTGTCATTTACTTTCGTATTACTTGTTGCCTTTTTTATTTCCTTCATTCTTTTTTTACCTTTTGCTCTTCTTCACCTCCATTCTTTTCAATAAAGTCCTTAATTCTTTAGTACGAAAGAAAGGTCAAGCTGTAGCTTCGGATGATACCCCAAATTCGCAAATCTAAGGTGACTTCTGGTGGTCCATGCATTGCGAAACTACACATATCCGTAACAGAATAGCAATACCATTGGAATTTTGGAAACCAAATCGTAATGTGACCTCCAATTTGCACCCCAAATGCAACCAAGTAAGCCATAAAATGTACCACCGGTACCCGGAGAATCCGAGACGTATTGAAGAAACATTTTCGTCATGGCCAAATGTCGTCTTCCTTAACCTCTAACCATCAGTTTCGGCTTCATAATATAATTCATCTACTTCATTTTTTATTTTTCAGCTTGTCATATGGGGCCAGTTCGCATGGCTGTTCCAAATTCTCGCAGTTCATTGTTTTTTATAGCGGATGTGTTGGCGAAGTATGGGACTATCAGGCCGGCCTAGGCTTCTGCGTTTCCGTTGAAAAGGGTTACATACGATAATCGTCGTTTATAGCCAGCAGCGATCTTGAATTGTTCTCTGCTGCAATGGCGTTGGCCTTAGGTCAGACGGCAGAACCCATCGCATTTCGTACGAACGGTGTATTTTAGATCTTTTGAAGGCGATATGTTCTCTTCCTCCTGGATGAAAACGGCAGCCACACTAGACATATGGATACGACACCCTGGCGCTAGTTAAAAATTGTTCATTTGGTATTTGTCGGATACTGGTGGTGTTTGTGAATGTCGTCCAGATGTGGTACTAAATCAAAGATTGGTACTAAATTTTAGATTCCTTGATAGTTTTTGGTGAAATTTATTGAAAATGCAGTAATAATAATAACAATAATAATGCTTGCTTGTATTATCGTTTTATTGGCGATTGTAATTGTTGTTAAAATAAATGTAATAATCTTCAGATGACCGATATTCTTGGTTTAATATATGCGGGTGCAGTTGCATTTGGTGGTATTATGGGTTACGTAAAAGCGGGTTATTTATTTATTTCTTCCTTCAAATTTGTTTTAAATTTTTCTTTAAAGAAATACCCGCGAGTTACTTTGAAATTTTTCTTCAGGTAGTACAATTTCTATGGTGGCTGGTATCACCTTCGGTACAGCGATTGGCTATGGTGCATACACTAATAATCAGTCGATTTTGCTCTGTAAAATTTTCAAATCTCGTTCTTTTTCTATTAAGATAAATTTATAAATTTATATACATAAATATATATTGTTTATTATGCATGAATATTTGACGAATGGTACACTATTGTGATAAAAATCCAGGCTTTGACTCGATTCTTTTTCATTGATTAACCTTTCGAAATGGGAAATAATTATCAAAAATTGATAATATCGAGAATCAACTGTATCCTCTCATCCCCAAGCGATTGCCTTATGATAGAATCTTATAGTCACTGGTGCGATTGGAACTATTAGAAATGATTTCTATTTATAGCCGATCTTGACATCTTGTTGTACATCTCGTTGTTAATGTTCAGCTTACTAATAATTTTTAATCGAATTTTTTGTCATTAGATTGGCATTATTATAGTTATCTCAACCTCGCGTGACGTGTTGAACACCTTAAAAAAAGAATCTGTTAATAATTGCCTGCAGTAAATTGAAAACTTACCATTTTCAGTAACAAGTGGCGCTCTTTCGGTTCTAATGGGTACTCGGTTTTATAACAGCGGTAAGATGATGCCTGCTGGTATTATCACAATTTTGAGGTTATCATTTTATCATTTTACTTTGTTTCTTTCTCTGTTCTCTATTCATTTCCTTTTTACATTCCAATCTTTTATGATATTGGTCACATAAGTTTTGGATTAAATTTTGGCTTAACATTTTTTTACCTTTTCATCTTGTTTCATTTTAAAATATATTTTTAAGAGGCATATAACCATACTTATTTCTTCAGCGTCGTCATGTTTATTCGTTCTGCGTCGTATCTTCTGAAATAGAAAAACTACCTCACTACTATCATTCATTACTTGTCAGATGTTGATTCATTGAATTGAGATGTTTCATTTCTTCATTATTTTGATTTTGGGCTTTTATCAAGTTTTAATTAAATTTTTCCAGCTATGTTAGGTATCAGTTGGCGAATTATGAAGTATTTTCTTCACTTTCCGTTGTTTTAATTTTAGCATCATTTTCGAGAAATATTTCTATTTTTTCGTGTATTTCAAATTAGAGATCAATAAAGGATTTTGCTTTGACTTTATATGTTGGATTAATATTCATAAAAGTTAATTGTTGAGGAGATTTTATCGTAAAAATAAAGAAAATTTTTAAGAATTTCTTCGCTAGTTTCATTCGGTTTTCCATAATCTTTAAAATTTTTAAAGCATATCACTGGATTTTTATTTGCTAATGAATGTGTGGAGCCTCAAAATGACCAATCTCAACCTCGCGTGACGTGTTGAAGACCTTAAATTCCGCAAGAACTTGTTTTGCTTCATTAGAAATCTGCTGTAGCTAGTGGAGCGAGCCTAACCAGTAATGGTGAGGGCTGTTAGAAGAAGAAGACTGTAATTCTTCACTCATGGAATTGTTTTATCCATTCTACACCTCTGCATATCGCATTTCACGACAGCCCGATATCTCCTGGCACCTAGAAACGCCGTTATTTCTTTTTAAGGTCTTTCTGTTCCCTTCTTACAGCCTAATGCCCTAACTTACGGTTAAACTTTTCATATTACGTCGACCAATTCAGGTCAAGTCGTTTCGTAATTCTGTTAAGGAGTCTTAATTGTCAAAACCCATTCGCCATTTTCTTACAGTTCATTGAAATATTTTTGAGATATTTTTAAAATTCATGTTATATTCCCTTAAAACTCTCCAAAAAACTACTATTGTTTTCAGTTTTAAAACGAAAAATATTAAAACTTTTACATGGAACATTTTTCAATCGAAGAACGAAGAAGTTTTATGAAAGAAGAAATGGAAGTTTTTGTATCGAAATTGGATACTAGAACAAGCGAACAATTTAATTCTGCGCTTCAGAAAGCTATTATTGAAAGCCTTCTTGATGGAACTGTTTTCCCGATTGTTGAGTCTCTTGCTGACTTGCAAAATATGACTGAAAGGTTTGCTTTAATTAATTTCCTCTTCAGACCAAACTGAGCCCAAGTTTTACTGCTACTCGTTATCTCTACTGATTCTTCAGCCAGTGATAGATTTATTTTAATTTTACTTTTAATCAGTGATAGTTTCTTGTGATAGTTTTTCTTTTTTCTGTCGAAATAATTGAAATCAGTTCCTATCGCTTTTCACTCTTCAATTCTTTTATTATGCTGGCAATTGATTCATGAAGCGTTTTAATTTTTACTATTTTGTTTGAAATTGAAGTTTTTTCATAAATTTTTTAATTTTATTTTCACAAACGATTCAAATATTTCATGATTGCTTGTTAAATTGAAATTTAGGCAATTATTTGCAAATAGGCAGCAACAGCTGATTGAATTGCAGTCTGTTCCGGATCTTGACACACGAATGCGACTCATCGATATGGACATCGTTTACGAGCTTGATAAAGTTTGCATGATAAACCTTGATAAAGCATCTATTTTTTCAGTCGCTTTTCATATTTGTTACTTTTTTAAATTAATTCAGATAACAACTCAACAGCAAGATACGTTAGCACGAGCTGGAGTGCCTGGATTTCGAATAACAAAGAATTGCCGAGAAATTATACTTCAAATGGCGATAATTCGATTTATTGTTGGTGTTCAGAAAAAAATTCAAAATTTATCGAATATTTCTTAGCATTTTCTTAAATTTTTTATATTATTATTTATTTTTATTATGAATTTTTTCAAAAAATCAAAGGCCAAGAAAATCGACAAAAACTTTAGATTCAAATTTATCTGTGAAAATTGAATTTATTTTATTAAATTATTTCTGCTGATGGATAAATTTCTTTTCCTTTTTCTTTAAGAATTTGAAAATTTAAGATCGAAAAGTTAATATTACAAATTTCAAGACGATAAATATTTAACAAAATATATTGAAAATAAAATTTCGATTATGTGATATGATTAGATTTTATCATATTATCTACAGATAACACCAGTAAGAATGTTTGGACATGTGAAATACCGCTGAAATATTTTGCATAAAATCAAAAGGCCAGAAATTACTACAAAAAAACGAAAGAAATATTAGTTAAAAATAAATTCTGGCGATCAATCAATATTTCAATATTGCGCCTTGTTTATTTAGTCTTGGACTTTTTGTTACTACTATTTACTTTCGGCATCATAGAAAATATCTAGTCATCCTTCAGATAACAGACACTTCAACCAGATTGATTGATTATCAGCCAATCGCTGTTGGATGAAACGAGCAATCTTCATGGAACTGACCATGTTATAATCAAAGACAAGATAAAATTGACGACTCGCAAAAAGCAGCATTCCTCGAGATCTTTTAACTCTCTTAGGCTGAAGAATTCAAGGGCAGTAAGCGCATTTCAGACCGAATTATTGAAGTACCCTCAATGGTAGAAATATTAATAAGTTTTCTGGAACGGCAAATGAATACTGGCCCAAATTAAAGGAATGCCTCCGATAATCTCCCACTTCCACGCTACGATGTACTAGTGCGTTAGTTGGCTATCGGAAGCAACTGTCCAAATGCCTGAAAATATTGCCAAAGCACGAATGTCAGGAGATATTTCGAAGAATTGTAGCGATAGCAGAACGATAGGAATCATTATTGGAGCGACATGGTTTTGAGAATGGAGAAGCGGCTCGATTAGGCGATAATAGGAAATTCCTCCTTCATAAAGCAATTATAATTCAGTGAAATGGTAAAGAATAGCAGTGGTATGTCTATTAAAAGTCTTAAGAATCGTTTCAAATGAAATGAAAGTTTTTTCGTCTTATATACAAAAAGCTGATAAGATGGAAGAGATTCTTCGATGCCAAATTTAACCATGATGCACCATCTGTTGACCTGGACATAGCTGATATGTTATTCCTCCAAGCATTCGTTTGCAATTACGAACCGCCAACTGAAAATGAAATGATCTCTGTTATCCGCAAGTTTAAGCCAATAAGACTCAGGAAGAAATGGTCTCCGGGCTGAACTCTTCAAATATTGTCCATCGTATTTCATAACGCACCTTCACAAATGTACTTTATAGTATAGAAGAAAGAAATATTATCAGATGACTGGAACAAAGCAATTCTGCTCCCAATTCTCAAGAAAGATGACAAAAAATACTCCGACAATTATCGAAGAATCAACCTATTAGACATCTCCAAGAAGGTTTTCGTTTTCCTAATAAATAGATTTATGGCAATACGAGGATGGGCCTTAGCCAAGCTGGATTCCATAACTCATTTTGCTGAACAAATATTATTCCTCCAAAAAAGGTGTTGGAACATCGTTTTAAACATCAGCAAACCACCATCATATGTTTCAACGATTTCACAGCCTTGGATTCAATTGATAAAGCGCCGCTTTGGAAGATGATGGAATGTAACGGTGTTTCAGATCAAAATCATTCGACTCATAAAGGCATTTTATGAGTATATGTCGGCGCAGGTCTGTGTATATGGGGAGCTAACAGACCCCTTCGAAAGAACTGGTGCCAGGATTGCGTCCTTTCCCTACAATATTTAAGTATGCGATAGACTGGATAATGGCATCGCTTGTCTGCACCCAAGAAGATGTGCGAATCAATCCAGAGCATCATATCATAGATCATCAATATGCTGATGATGTAGTCCTTCCGACATCTTCTTCGCTGGTTTTTCATCGCTCACCACAAGATTTGATAGATGGCACCAAAAGTGAGGCGTATCAATTAAGATCTGGACTGATACGGTCAGGAAAGATTTTGAACGTTTGGGTGGAGAAGCAATATATGGACTTAAGCGATGGAAAAAAGAATGGCTTATGTTACTTTCGACGATGGCAGTTTGGAATTGTCTTACCCTTATAGCCAGTGGACTTGCAAATATTGGTGATGGTATAGGAGTCGAAAGTGAACACTACACATCCCCATAATTATATTGCATAAGTATAATGAAAATTAATTGAACTATCTTAAAAGAACCTTTTCAGGACAGAAAATACTTGTACAGTGAATTCTGTGAAAACGCTACCTTAAAAATCCTCACACTCGGCGACTGTGCAAGTCACTGCGTATTTTATTGTACAACAAAGCAATTTATATAGTTAAAAAAGTTGGCTCGTATAAGTAAGATTTTCATGACTCTTTTTCAGCCGCACGTGCATAGGATGCCTGTCAATGTTCGAAGGTAATTTGTTTATAGATCAGCGGTTGAATGATATAGCAATTAAGATGTCCACATACGTGTGGACACTGCGACAGACCAGGTGCGCTTGTGGCTTGTCCAGATCAAGACGAGCATTGTTTGATAAGACTCTTTGGGGAACAGAACTTCAGATTTCATGAAGAAATCTTGCAAAGAAGGTATGCAATTTATTGGACTATTTGCTATTCGAGCAGGTTCTTTATTGATATATCAATATTCGAAAGAACTGGTGCCAGGATTGCGTCAAAGATTGCTCACATGAATAGTAATAGTAAAATAGTAAAAATAAATTTGTGCTATAAAATCATTCGTTTTGAAATTTCAGAGAATCGAATTCCTCGCCAACATCTTTCGATTCAGATTCGGAATGTCGACGAAATGCCAAATATTGTTTTATCGGTGAATATGGCCGCGTAATAAGCAAAATACGTCGACTCACTTGTCGCCATTGTCGTCCATGATTTCCATTGTCGTCCATGACTTTAAATTCCGCAATAATTTCTTTCGCATCAATTATTAAAATTATTAAAATAAAACCTGTGAATTATTATATTTAATTGCTAAGATTTTCTCGAGCAATTTTCATAAACCATAGAAGAAATACAAGAAAAATCTTTTCCAACAGGGTATCCTCAATTTTTTCAATGCCACATAAAATCGCCGCCATATTTAGTTGCTAAAAAAGCAATGAATAATCATCTCACTCACTTTTATTTCCTTAAAACTACGTCAAAATTCGAGAAATGGGAAGGGAAGGTTGAAAAGAAGTATTTTGGGATTTTGAAGATTCTATGGTAGAATTATAAGGATCAAACAACCGAACTGAGAGTCAAGCGCACTAACTGTAGCAGAAATAAACTTATCTTTAAAGAACTCAGGCAGGCGAATATACTTCTATCGTCAATTTTTGATCTCCAGGATTCAATTACTAAACTTATTAGTAGCGAAATTTAGTAGCCAGCTGAGACGGTCAATGTTAATTAGTTATTTGATAAATTAATAAAAAAAAAAAGAAAGAAACGGATTTAATATGAAAAATATTTTTACTATAATAAAATAAAAATAAATATTTGAAAAATATTAATATAAAAATATTAAAATATTAAATTAAAATATTAAAAAAATATTAAAAATATTAATATTATATAAAAATGTTTAAAAAATATTAAAATAATCATAAATAATCATTTTTAAAAATAATCATTTTTTAAAAATAAAATTTATTTAAAATTATTATTATTTTTATATTATTATTATATTATTATTTTTAAAACTATTATATAAAATTTATTTATTTAAATTTATTTATTATTATTCATTTTTTTAAAATAAAATATTTTAAAAAATTTTAAAAATTCGAAATAATTTTATGCAGAAACATTTGTTTAAATAATCGCTTTTATTTTTAAATTTTTTCATAAAAATTGAACATTCACAGTTTAAAAAAATTTATTGAAATTACCACCGCACTGTTTCGTCATTTCTAATCGCAGAGTTTTTCTCTTATTTTTATTTCTCATTTTTTATAAATACGACGAAAATTTATTAAAATGTATTAAATATAAATTATATTTTATGATTTTGGCCGATAAAACTAAAATGTTAAAATGAAATGAAAGCAAAGAGCGATTAAAATGCGATTATTTTTGGATCCAATAAAATATTTCCCGTTTCCTTTGGTCTCAGTAAAATTAATTGGTTTGCGCCCCAGCAACTGCGCTTAGACCAGTTGCACCGAGTATTAGTATGTGGAAAAATATTTACTATTGCTTAGAATTCTCGTGACTGACGATTTTGTAACGAGTCAGATTTGTTTTATAAAATAAGTAAGAATGGTTTGTTGTAAAAATGAGTAAAATGAGTAAGTAAAATTATTTTTTACCTCTGCCAGAGCAGAAGCGAAAGTCTTACCTCTCATCACCACAATTGACTATCCACTCGGTTTCTCAGCCAGAATTGCCTCTCATCATGTGTAGCAGCCATAACCTGCACTGCTACAGTTGGAGAGGTTCAAAGGCTCAACGACCAGATGTTCATCCACAGCTCGAGTTGATCTTATGTGCAACGTGGCAGCACGACCTGCCGACCTGGAAGAACTATTTAATTGATGCTTTTTTGTTTTTATGCACCACTTTTTGGGAGGCCTTACACTCCGAGAATCGCTGCGCATTTTATTGCAAAACGAAGCAATTTGATAAATGGTAAATTTATTTTCTACAGTTAAAACGATTATCCTACATATTTTTCAATGGTTTGTGCAGAGGATGCTTGTCAACGTTTGAATGATACTGCATTAAGAAGATGTCCACATACATGTGGACTGTGCCGCAGACCGGGTGCGCTGGAGCTCGTCCAGATGAAGGCGAGCATTGTGCGATAAGACTTCTTGCGGATCCAACTTGGTTCCAGCACAGATTTCATGAAGAAATGCTGCATGCCGTTTAAGGAACTGCTTCCTTTTCGATATAATAGATTGCTCGCATTATTAAAATTTGCAACTACAAAATATCTCATTTTAAATTTCAGAGAATAATCGAATGGTTCAATTACCAATCGTTTCTATTCAGATTTGGAATGACGAGAAAAGATAGAATGGCTCAGTGGGTTTTAGTTCAGTTTGGAGCGTAGATGCTGAGGTTCTATTCTCCGCAAGAGTAAATCTGCACAAAAATCCGGGTGATGCTGGCGATTCACTTGTATTTCTATCGCTAAGTGACTCCCTAGCATATCGCCCAACGCGACAAGCCAGTGGAGCCAGTTTAACCAGTAATGGTGAGGACTCTCGAAAAAAAAATGCCAAGAAAATATCAAATATTGCTTTATCAAATATAATGATGATCATTAATGATAGTTATACGTGTACGACAACGTCAAATCGGCCTCTATGGGTCCTCTGGTATCCTCTGGTATCTGTGGTGATCCGCAGATCTATATAGATGTCGGATTGTGTTTTAGAATTATAACTATGTCATATTTTATCTCTTATCTCTTATTTTATGTGAATTAAAAGTCATTTCATTTTTGATTGTAATTCAATGATTATTTTATGCAGTTCCTTGTATTTAATCAAAATTCCGAAATAAAAAAAGATATATTAAAATTTAAAAATTTAAATATGAAGATGAAAATAAATATGAATAAAAAACATGAAAAATTAAAAATGATGGGAAAGGGAGAGAGGGTGCATGGAACTTTTGCGGCATTATCTAGGTCGTCGGTAAAAAAAAAGGTTTGACGGTCATTGCTGCACGAATCGCTTCAATTTAATTTTTTATTTTTAGTGGCCTTTGGTACCAGCTCAGCGATCAGTCAGTCAACCGCAGCGGACATTTTATCGCTTGCGATTTGCCAGATTTGATTTAGAAATGGTTTATTTAATAGAAGAAGTGGAAATTATATTATCACCTGCGGCTTTTATTTATTTATCTATGGCTTGTTTTTAAATTTTTAAAATATAAATATATTTTACAAATACAAATTAAAAATGATAAATAAAAATGGCCAGTGAAAGAGAATTTAGAGTAGAATATTGTGCTTTTATGTTTCGAAATTTCGAAATTTAATATTTTAAAGCGAATAAATGCCGTATAATCTCTATTTGGCAACTTCCTAAAAACCAAGGTTTGATGGAGGTAGGGGGGGGGGGGGGGGGGGGGGGAGGGATTGGGCGAGGAGGGGAGGTTCTATGGTTTTTTATCCGGGTTGGTTGGTTTCCTGTCGGTTATTGGTTTTTAACAGTTTTCGCGCTTTTAAATTGTAACATATTAACTTTCATTTACAGTTTCATTTTTATATTTGTTTTGTATAATTATAATACAATTATTTTAGGGAATTAGTTTATTAGCTGTTAGTTTATTGAAACAAGTCCTACATCTTTTATGCATCTGTGGTTTAAAATTTTTCAACCCCAGAATTTTTTTTCATCAAAATATACTTTTTGCAAATCAAAAATTTCTTAAGCGAATGAGAAATAGAATTCTGAAATTTACCCTCCCAAATAGGCATGAAGAAAAATAATGTTTTAAAATGTTTAAAATGTTAAAATGTTTTTAATTATGCGAAAAAACCGTCAGCCTTTCAAATTTAGATTTTCTCTATAAAACGCATCTTTTCTTTAAGCTAAACGAATAATAATTAAATTATCATTAACATAAACGCAAATAGAAAATGGGAGAAAAACGTGCGGATTATTAAATTAAATTAATAAGAAATTGGAGTTTTAACTTCGTTTCGACCAAATTTGACCAAATAAAAACAATTAAAAATTAAATTAAAAAAATTCAATTTTAAAAATCAAAATTTGAAAATATAACTTAAATTTCAATTTAGAGAAACGATAAAATAAAAATTAAAAGATTAACATTAAATTAAAATTCGGATCTAAATTAAGTTAAATTTAGCTGGGAAAGTAGCCAAATCATTAATTAATTTAGGAATGCAGCGCATAATGAATTGTCGCGAAACGGCGAAAACAAAAGAGTATAGTTGTAAAATGTTAAATTAATTACCAAGTTTTGATACCATCAGCGAAAGCCATACCATGATGAAAGTATGTTGCGCTGCACTCGAAGCCATAATATTGGCAGTAACTACGATTCACTACTTTATGAAAACTGCCTTGTCAACCTCTCCTCTTCATTGAAGGCCTACTGGTTTCAACCCACTTTGTGACCGCAAATAGCCTTTTAGAATATCGAGGCTGTTGAATGAATGAGCTTATTTGATTAACCAAATAACCAAATTACTGTTAGAAATATCTCAGCGATGTTTTCGCGACTTAATTTTCTTGTTGAGTAATAGTTTTTTCAGATTCAAATGGGTTTAAGTGGAAAACCAATATTAATTGATGGAAAAGACCATCTTCTTGGACGGTTAGCTTCAGTGGTTGCTAAACAACTTTTAATTGGTCAGAAAATTATCGTTGTTCGATGTGAAGAATTAGCAATTTCGGGGAATTTCCATCGATCAAAACTAAAATACTTGAGTTTCTTGCGAAAACGTTGTAATGTAAAGCCATCTCGTGGACCTTTTCATTTTCGTGCACCAAGTAAAATATTCTGGAGGACTGTTCGTGGTATGTTGCCGCATAAAACTTACCGTGGTAAATGTGCTTTATTACGCTTGAAGGTTTTTGATGGAATACCGCAGCCGTATGATCGTGTAAAGAGATTCGTTTTACCAGCAGCGATTCGGCATCTTGCTTTAAAACCTCGTCGAAAATATTGCACAGGTTTGCAAATTTTTTCAAGTGATAATATTAATTTTAGCCAATTAATTTTACGACTTTTCTGGAGATTCCTATAGAATAATTTCTAAGGGTTTTATAGAGAATTCTATAGAATATTCGGAATTTATTCTTTATGCGTCGAGCGGGTAAAAATCGCAGATGATTGCATTCACTTCTGCTCAAATACCACCTGCATTAATACCATCATAGTGCGCCGCATTCATTGGTTAGGCCACATTCTTGTTGCCATCAGAAATTGAAATATATTTCACTATTTACCTGAATTGATACAGTCAGAAAAGATTTTGAATGAAAGGAGGACGATATATGGATTTAAGCAGTATCACTGTCAGTCGATGGCATTGGACCGAAACAGCTTGGGAATATCTTACCTTTGTTGCCAGTCTAACCACTAAGGTGAGATGGGTGAGAATAATGGTAGAAGAAGCTTCAGTTCAGGTTCATTAAAGATAGAATGGCTCAGTGGGTTATTGCTCAATTCAGAGCACTGATAATGAAGTCTTCTCTTCTCCGTAGAAGCAAATCTGTCCAGAAATCCGTCGGCTGATGCTGGTGACCCACCTGTACTTCTGTCGCCAAGGGACTCCCTGGCATATTTGTCCAATGCGACAAGCCAGCGGAGCGAGTTCAACCAGTAATGGTGAGGACTCGCAAAAAAGAAAGTTCAGCTTCAGTAATGTTCAGTTCTGCTTCGGCTAGCTTGAACTGGCTGGAAAGGCGATGTGACCTTTTGATTCGGTGCTATAACTGAAGTTCATTATGATTAGATGATTAAAATAAGTAATTATATTCACGGCCATTACATATGTTGATGCAATGTTTCTATCTTATGGTAATCATTGAAATTTCCTTGAAAAATTGTCTTAATATTTTTTAGTTGGACGACTCGCACATGAAGTTGGATGGCATTATAAAGATGTTGTCGCTAAACTGGAAGCTAAACGAAAGATAAAAAGTGCAGTATTTCATCAACGTAAGAAGACAGAAGAAAAACTTCGAGCTCAAGCGCTGCAGTCGGATGCGGTGAAAAATTCGTCTTATCAGAAGATCATTGACTCATTTGGCTATAACTGATTATATTTTTTATAAAAGTGAATTAAATTCTATTTGTTTCACTTGTCACTTTGGCATTATATATGTTTTCATAATATTTTTCGTATCAATAAATTAATTTATAAAGCATTCAGTATTTCAGTATATCGGTATATGCTAATAGTTAATGTATTATTCTCAGACATACGGGCACATGGAAATTACATTCATCGGTTTCTTTGGATTAATCGGTGCAAATCGTCTTCGGTTGCGAAAAACAATAGGTGTTTTGATAGAATTTTTTTTAGCGTTTCGATTGGTTTGGAGTAAGTCGTGGATTGCAATGTTAATGGAAATAGATGAAACGGTTCAGTTGCACGAATTTGACCTAGTAACAATCGAAAGTGTGGATATGAGTTCACCTAGTTTTATTTTACTGCACTTCATCTCGAAGGCGATGAAGGTGAACGCGAAAGTTATTTTCATAATGACTGTTGGAAACGATATAGATTTCAGGTTTGTTGCTTAAAAGTGCGTATTGCTGATTTGATTATTTATTTATTTGTTTGTTGTGTTGAGGTTTAAGTGATTGCTATAAGCGATTTCACTTATTTGGTGCAAAGCTGGATTACATCAATTGGATTACTATTCTTGATATTGCTCTGTCACAAATTTGGAACCATACTGATCATGCTTGCCTCAAACCAGTAAAATAATCCAATCACATATAAAATTCAATCTTTGTTTTTTTTTTGTATAATTCTAAATTTCATGATTATTCATTGCTTTTTTTGTCGAAAATATTTCGATTTGTTTCGATTTTTTAGGATAATGGCAAGTAAATTAATGATAAAGTTGACGGAAAAGGTTGTTTTTATCAAAATTGATCAGTTCTTTTCGGAATCATTTAAGGAGAACGATGAAAAATTGTACGATTCTTTAATTGAGGTTAATAAATTAATTTTTTTTCTTTCTTGATTTCTTGTGTTGAGAATTTTTTCTCAGGTGAAGATGGACTTTTAAATTAGGCTTTTCTCTTGAAATTTATAGAAGATAGAAAATAAATATATCGTTCTTGGAAATTAAAGGAAGTAAAAAAGTTGTAATAGAAAGATTAGGCCTTCGTCTCAGGACTTTTTTAAAATATTATGCTGGGAAAATAAAAATTGATTACTATAAATGATAATTAAAAGGATAAAATGTGAATTTAAAATCTCCGAATAATAAATTTAAATTTGATTTAAAAAATTTAAAAGGCTTAATAGTAAAAGGCTTAATGAAAAAATAAGTGGATTTGATTACTCTTCTGCCAGTCTAATCAATAATGATGAAAGTTGCTAAGGAAAAGAATGAAACATAGTCGGGAAAAAAATATTATTTTGAATTTCGCCAAAGAGATAGGCAATCACTCCGAATTAATGAATATCAAATATTTCAATAATCTTTCATTTCAGGAAATCAAAAAGAATATTGATGAAGAGGTCGACAAAGAAATTTTTTTAATCATCGATAGTATGTCCTCTTTATCAGATCTGGTCAGTCCACCGACTGCATGCTGTTGTTTCCTGCAAAATGCAAGGCGAATTATCCGCTCAAAGAACGTAAATTGCAAAATGGTATAGAAGATTTTCAGATTTCACTAATTTTAAAGTCGTTTATATTTCTCTGAACCACAAATAATTTAATTTATTTGAAGGTAATTACACTGCGTTCAAAATGTAGCATTTCAACATTATTGCTGGGTAGGAGCGATTTTATTCTCAGAATCAAAGCTGTTGGTACTGGATTCGCAAAAGATGTTACAGGAGAGGTAGCATTTATATTATTGCACTTTGGTATTTATATATTCTTGTGCTTTTTTTCGTTTTAAATGAAATGTAAAGGTAACTTCCTGATTGTACGCTGAACTAATTGCTTATAATCCACAAAAAATTGATTTTGAAATATTTCTGTAATTTTAAACTGCTCAAGCAGTTTTTTTACAGCTAATGATAACCAGTTGTGATCCTGGAAAACGATCTCGAATATTTCATTATTGTCTTGGCGACCGGTCAATACGGATATTTCCTCCAGGTATGTCACGACCCGCTTTATGACGTTTATGACATTCCTAATCTTTGTTTTTACATCATATAAAGAAAGATAAAAAAAAATTTAATCGTGTTATGGCAAATATCAACTGAAGTTATTCAAAAAAGTGGTTAAAATTTCTGTAATTTTTGCACTGTGATTTTTTAAACTAAGTTGATTTTTTAGCCGTATAAGTTCTTCACCTCCCAGGTTTAATTATAATTTATGCTCAGTTTTTGCACTGCAGTATTTCTTCCGTAATATCTTTTGCAAATTGTTGAAAAAGAAAGGAGACCGCTTATGATTTTCAGAATTTTTTGTTTTTTTTTTCCTTAATTTTCTTCGCAATCTTCAAATTCATGATACCGAGCTGTACATAAATCACATCTTAAAATTAAATCTTGCTCATTCCAAAAAATTCAATGAATTTCAAATCGGTGAATACGATAATATATTAATAATTATAACAAATGCATCAAATTTTGAATTTCTTCGAACAAATACAATCTAAAATAGTTATTTCGTAAAGATTCTGTAGTTGAAAAAAATTTTGAAGATGGAACTGAACCTCAATTTTCACGAATTTATCGGAAGTTTTTTTGCCAAATCCATAAGGTCGATATTCAACATGTATTTTACGATATTTTCATGGAAATGTCGAAAAACAAGAACATTCTCAATGCTACATAATTTTCATGAAGTATTATAATTTTCATGAAGAAATATAAAATATAAAAAATGAATAGTTTCATCTTTTTAACCAATCGCAATTAAATGCATGAAGATGATAAGGCTAACTAAGTAAATAATAAACCAGTTATTAGCAAAAATAATTGAAACCTTAATTTTTCGTCTTTGATTTCCCCATATTGATTTCCACTATTTATAAAGTATTTCGCCACATTCATTTGGAGATAGAAATGGGACCGAATCAGCAAAACTTCATTTTCTCAGCTATTAACTGCACCAGGACCTCAAGGCGATGTAAGCATCTTATACCGTGAGGCAAACTTCAAGAAAAAACTGCGACAAGTCGATCGTATTTGTAGAAATCTTTTTATTTTAAATTTTTCATATTTTTAATACATCACTGAAGACAATTTGCATTGAAAAAAAAAGAAAAAAAGCGTAAATATGCAATAAACAAATGACCAGTAGCACTAGTGAGATATTTTAAGATGGAAAATCGACATATAAAAATATAAAAATTTTCAAAAGTCGTTTCAGTTTTTTGTAAAATTTCTCTTCAGAATAATAAAATTTCTCTTCAGAATTTTCTTTCATCTTATAAGCAAAAAAAAGTAAGCGCCCATCATTTCTCTTAGTTCCGTTGATTATTAATGTTTTTTGGCAATAAAACAACTGATAAGGCAGATCGCCAGCACCAACTCAGTTTTTTAATGATATAGAAACCAAACGCCAAACTCTTGCCTCTCAACGTCATAATCTGGGTCAACATCCACTATGTTAAACCTGCCGCTCTTTTTAACTCATATAATATATGATAAAATAAAGGTTAATACGGCAACAATATGGCTTGCGAACCTCGATTCCGACCATTTACGAATCGTATGATGGTATGAGTAGCCGGTTTCAGCGGCCGAATCATCAAAAATCATTCCAAGGTAAACAAGGTGACCTATGGCCAAAATACTGAAGAATCTATTAAGCACTAACGTCCTCGCTGAGAACTGAAAAATGCTTTTTTCACGATACAAAATATATCAATTATTTAATTGTTTAACTAACAACTTCTCTATATTAATGTATTGGTATGAAAATGAATATATAAAATAGGCAAATAAAAATATAATTTTCAACGAAAGTTATCCATAATTCAAAACTCTGACTTCCTTATACATATGTTTACAATTTTCTCGACACTTTCTAGCACCAATACAACAATTTAAGCGTTTACTCAACCGATTTCTTATTTCTGAAAATAAAAATTCTACCAAACAACTAAGAAAGAAAGGAAACTACGATTTTTAATAAAAATCAAAATCAAAAAGTAGTAAATAAATCACTAACTTGCTTCGGCGAACGTATAGAATCCCAGTGATAAAAGTACTGCCGAAATTTGAAAATTTATGCCCTGCAAGATCAATGAAATTTAATTTTAATGTATTAGATTAGATATACATATGAATTGAAAGAATCCTATAAAATAGTAAACCTGGTTGAAAATTATTTTACATAAAGTGAAAAACTGCAAAAAAAAAATAAACTTACATGAAGAAACGAACTAATAAAATAGGTTATAAAAACTGCTACTGATGTACCAAATCGCTTCGCTTCGACAAAAACATCTGTGTAAAACTTATGAATATTTATATTTGTAAAGATGATGAAAGATTTTTTCTGTAATAATTTTATAAAAAGAAACTATTGCATATTTCTCTTTTCCTTTCATTTGTAAAAAATAAACCTTTTATTAAGATTATTCCCGTAGTTGTAACCGATGTCCACGAATCCCGATGGTTCACAAACAGGGTCCATCTAATGATGATAGCGAAAGCTCTTGAGACAAAGAAATTCTAGATTCACTAGGAAAACGGATCTAATCGTCAGAATCTCATACGATTACATTCAGCCTCGCAAGAACACTATGTTTGTATGCCATAAATCATCGAACTGATTGCAATGGCAATAAAACGAAGAATTTCCAATGAACAAATGGCTAAATGCACGGACTGCCTAACCATATATGGGCTAAATGTTAGGGTACTTAAAGATCCATCGGTTTGAAAAGGCCTCATTCTTTGCTAAACAGCTACTGAAATGTTATAATTGAAATAATATACAATCCCTGCCTCTAGTATGAATAAAACTTTCATTTAAAAAATCTCATAGCATGGGATCCCTCTTGTAATTCGATCTTATCCTTTAGAGAATGTATCCTAATGAACAGTGCAACAAATCTGATCGGAAATGAACTAACTATTAACGACAATTAACAGAGAAACTTACATTTATGCAAATAATTATGCATTGGGATATTCCACGAAATAACTACATCGACCAATGAACGAGGCCATTCAATTCGATACCATTCACTAATAAAACCCGTATTTATTCCAGAAATACGCAAAACACCAGCTGATAACCAACAAATGAAATAATGACTAAACCGAAAAGACTGAGCGACACCAAATTGATGCCAGAAGAATATTCCACTGAACAACTCATTAACAACGCATGAAGAATAAATAACAAAAATAAGCGACAATGATATAAGTAACGAACCATAAAGAAGATCATATAATTCCTCCTAAAATAGAAACCTCCTAAAATTACTTGCAGCGACGGCAACAAACGATTTTAAAAACGATATATTTATGGAATCTATCATAAATTTATATTCTCGCTCAAAAAAAACCTGCAAAATTCTAATAAAAATAAACAAAATCTCATCTGATAAAAATTTCGAAAAAAAAACCACAAAAGCACTGCAAGAAAAAAAAACCTTCAATGTTTGGAGTTTCAAAGAATCTACGAAATGTGTATATGATACCCAAGATCCAAACACTATACTCGATGGATCAATCGTATAAGATAAAAATGACAAATAAGGGATTTTTTTATCGGATGATAACGAACTATTGTCCAAATCAAATGACAGTGATGAAATTTTCATAAGAATAACCATAAGTGTTCCTCTCATCGCTATAAAGCTCTCTGCTGGTATTAAAAATTGCCTGAACAATAAACATATATATCAATACATTACTCTGCATTGAAATAATAAAATGAAATAAAAATTTTCACACAACAATAACGATAAGAATTCTATGACAATAATGATGAAGGCAAGTTACAGTCAGATTGTCGATTTCCAACAAAGATTCAAATACAGATTCAAAATTTAAACGCAAAAACAAGAGTGAAATGTGGGCAAGCCACATATTGCATCGACTAACATCAAGTATATTGGGTTTAACTTTTGTGATTCTTGATTAAAGCAAGCATTCATGTGAGATTCAACGCTAAGAACTATTATATGCGATTCATCGGAAGGGTATCGTATTAGATACGGTGAGTGCAGTTAAAGGAAGTCATACTATAAAAGAAAATAAAGCCAAAATAAATAAAAAAAGAAAGTAAAACCGATTTAACTGTAGCAGAGTAGAAAGATGCCCTTATTTTTCTATAGTGATATATTTTAAATATAAAATAAAATATAATTAAAATAAAAACTTACAAAAAAAGAAGAATTAATATACCATACGTTAAAGTGAAAAATCCCGCATGACGAATTGGCATTCGATTAGCGTAAAACGTTGGAAACAGTACAAATAAAAAAATTACGATATACCGAAAATTGCTCGCATTATGAAAATATAAAATTAAAAATCCACATAAAATGATGCCAATGTGTAAAATAATTTCATTTATAAATCCTGAAAGAAAATGATAATAAGTAAAAAAGTAAATTCTAAGTAATTAAGAAACTATTACAAATTCTAGCACAATTCGTGGATTATGTCCAACATTTCTTAGACCATACGAAGCTAAAAAATTCTAGCAATCAACAAGAACAGATGGCCGACCACAAAATCCACTACAATCGCTTACCTACGCTAACTTCTTATTGTCCATAGACTTTTTGCTGAATTTACTAAGATTATAAGTGTTTCTAAAACAGATTTTAACAGTAAGAAATGTCGTTTAAAATCGTAAGATTTTCCATATAACCAATTTTATTTGTGATCTATAAACACTCGCTTTACAAAAGCGCAAAACTATTTTCCCAAAAATACCCTTTAAACACCAAAAAATCTCAAAAAATCCTAAATTCAGTTCAATCAATGCTTTCGAAACCTTTTGCACTATAAGCATACCTGAAACAAAGTTTGATAAAAATTGGGTGTTTTTTGCAAATACAAAAGGTTTTAGAGCCTATCAAAAGAATACGAAGGTATATCACAATAATAGATTCCACAAATGAAAAACTATTAAAAAAGAGTTCAACGAAGGCAATTTTCAAAGAATATTCCAGCAAAAGAATTACACACGATTGAGTGCAGTGTGCATGACGATTAAACTGATTTTGGATCGTTATAAAAGATAGTGAAAAAAAAATTAAGAAAATTTAGTGAAATGTAAAAGATTATACAATGATTTCTAGGAGGATTAAAGTAGAATAAGGAAGTAACGGGTTACGGCAAACAAGTAGAAGAAGTAGAAGATTTAACAGAGCATTAAAAAAAAACATGGAATTTTCGAGAACGTTAAGAAATCCTTAGGAAATTAATAAAAAATAAAGGCGTTTTTATGAGATTTCGGAGTGTTAACAACGACGATTTCTATAAAATATGGCAAAATTCGCACGAAACAGATGAACTTTCTTTTCGATCACACACAAAAAACACATTAAAAGAGCAAATTTTCATATCGACAAATAAATAAACTTGACAATACCAAAAATTTTTTGCCAAATTACCAGCCTTAAGTATATCAAATTACAGATATAAACCTATAGGTGATAGAATGGCTCAATATTTTGTTCCTTTCATTTCAGAGTGTCGGTGCTGGGATTCTACTCTCGACTAGATAAGCCTGTCTTTCAGAAATGCGTGTGATGCCCAATTTATTTTCTATCGCCAAGCGCCTCTCTTACAAAAATGTCCGATAAATTAGTACAGCGAAGCAGAAATAAAGCGAAATCTCGGAGGATAAAAAGTACTTTAAAGGAAAAACCCCTATGAATCGAGTAAAAGTGGAAACAAACTTTTGATAAGGAAGAAAACGAGTATTTTCTTGATAAATGCAAATGCAATCAGTCGAAAAATGGCAGAACGAAGCGAGTGAAGAACTCCATAAGTGCAAAGAAACCACTGCGAACTATCCGAGAAGTGATATTCGATAGACGACCAATCGCCGTCAAGCAAATCGTCAAATTCGAAGAATTCTTCTGCATAAGATTGATCATCCATTAAGGAAAAGCCGGCCATTTAACATAACATCGCGACCTTAAAAAAAGAACAAATAAACTCAGTAAATAACTCAGTTTTTAATGGAGTTTATTCGAGGCGAACTGGCAGCATTCTTGAAGGCAAATTAAGGTGAAAATGAAAAGTCGAACAGCAATCCCCAAAATTTTTTGCAAATCGCAAATTGAGTCAGCTTATAAAGCTAAAACTTTAATCTTCTGGCCACAAATGGTTTTGGGCCATATTGGCTTCTTCAAGGATCCACTTCGCCGCTAATTTTCCTACTTATTTTATTGATATTATGAATTAAATTATTAATTTTAATTTTAAATATTAATTATTAATTAATTTATATTAATTAATTTTAAATATTAATTAATTTTAAATAATAATTTTAATACGACAAAAAGCAACTTGAAAAAAAAAACTCGCCAGGATGATACAGCTGCATAATAGTATTGGCTGCAATTTAATATCGTAGGTCAATTTGCGGCCTCGGCCTCGGCTTTCGCTTACGATATTGATGTTACAATCGAGCCAAATCTTTCGCTTCTTCTAACAGCTCATATCAAGATTGGCTAGGCTGGTTGGAGAGGTACTTTCGTAGGCTTCTCGTCCTTTTATCATATTTAAAGCCATGAGCCACTCAATTACGCACTAATAACAACAAAAGAACAGTTTATTGGCAACAAATGTACAAAAATTCAAAGCATTGTGCAAAAGTCTTTTTTAGCCTTTCGGTTAATTTTTGAAATTATCTGCAAATATTGCCTAGCGAAATTTTATGCAAATTGTATGCAAATATGACAAAAATTACATAATACACTGTCGCGCTTGTTTTGCATTCTCGATCGAAGGCCAACGATAAGCAACAATCAGTTTTGGACAGTTCATGGTCGATAGTTGATTCGATAACTTTCTATAACAGAGATCAGAGATTGTAGATTAAGCGTAAGCGAATTATATCAACGATATGGAATTTTCAGAATTTTCCGGAATATAACCGTTAATTCGTTTTACAATATTAAATTTCGGGAAGGAAATTTAAGAAGAAACTTGGAGTATTTACGGTAAATAAAATTAGAACATTCCACATGGAATTTTTGATTTTTTCCTTTTGCAGGAATGGGCAACTCATCCACAAATTAGAGTGAAAGCAAAATCCGAGTGACTACTGAGCTGTACTTATTGCCTTCAGTCCTCAGTCCATGACTCCTATACTCCTCTTCTCCTTCTTTCAACAACTCATTTCGGTAAGCCATTTTTTCCACTAACTATAAGTGTAAGAGGTACCTCTTCCGCAATAGAGGTACATGGTGAAAAACTTACAGATGAATCTGAAGCATCGGCCAAAAAACCCACATTATTTATAACATAAAAAATAATGCAGAATCATAGGCCAACTTTTTTTTATGGCAAATGGCATTGGTCTATTAACTTAATTTTAATATAATGGGAAAAATGAATGGGACCTAAAATAATTTTTCCATGAATTCCTATCTAATTTAAATTGAATAATTAGATTTTTGCAAATTTTTTTGATAACTTTCGATTCCATCATTGACATGTTGCATGTCGCGAAATTAAAATTCAAATCACATGGTGTTTGAGTAGTGAATGACGCATTTGATTGCTTAAATACGGGTAAATCTCGTGAAAAATCTTCAATGATACAATTTGATATGATGACAATGATATTGATAACGATAATAGCTTTGGTTAGTTTTTCAGTGGCGAGAATTTGCTAATTTTAAATTTTATTAGTTTCAATTTATTTTTTTATTTTACTTTACTTTATTATTATTTCAATCTTCAATTTAAATGATCTGCTTGAACTGAATTTAAAGTTTTATTTAATTTAAATTTTATCTAATTTATCAAATTTTATTTTATTTATTAAATAAAATTTATTAAAATTTTATTTACTTATTAAATTTATTAAAATTTATTAAAAAAATTATTTATTAATTTTAAAGGTTTTGCTGGAATTCATTGCATGCAATGAAATATGCAACAATAAGTCGTGCAGGCTTGGAACCCAAATTACCATCAGCTGTAATCTTGTTGAAAAGCATTGCGGGCGTCATATGAAGTTCTACAAAGAAATGCAATTAATCCATGTTCCAATTCTGTGTGTGTTAAAATGCACATGCAAGCCCAGATTTACCAAAATTGAAATAAAATGCATCAAAATACGACGACAACCAATTCAAAAACTTCAAATAACAACTAAACCGCAAGATGAAGCCAAGAAATTCAACGAGTCTCCTCCTTTGGTCGCTGTAACGGTATTAATTAAGAAATCTTTCCAATTTTTTTTGTCTGAAGAGAAATCCAACGATAATTATCCTTCGGTTATTACCGCGCTATTTTGACCAAATTTTGGCCAAATCTAACTTTCTTAGAGCAATTCGATTCTACATCGAAAAGCAAATTGCAAACTGATAAGACCATATTAAAAGTCGGTTAAATTTATTTTATCGATATATCACTTGTTTTTTTTAGAACTCAGCTCGAACTATCAATTCCATCGTGAACGCTGGGTCGGGCAGATATTATACTGACTTATGTGCTAATACCGACGAAATTTGCCCCAAGTTTATGGTGAAACGTGAAGTTGCAAGAATGCAACTTTGGTGTGCTTATATTTGTGAATTTTTGTGAAAAAAATTCTGTGGAGTATCTACGAGAAAAAAATGAAAGTTAATATTATTATTAATATTAATATAAATCTGATATTTTTATGATATACCACTTTTTTTTGAAGAAACTTATACACTACTGTATTCATATATTTTATATATTTTATCAATATTTATCAACGCATAATGGCCTGGCCATACCATTTTTAGATTAACCTTAGTAGAATATTTTTGGGCTGAAATAAATTATTCGTGGACGAATATTTTAGTACCATATTTAGGTTGATTCCACTAAAAGTGCAATCAATTTTAATTCTAAATTCTAAATTTTCAATCTGTATTCCTTGTTTATGACGTATTGTTTGTATCATATTTTATCTATATATTATATATATATATATTTGATGATAAATTCGACATGAAAAAAAATTGTTTCAATTTTTAAACCGATGAATATATACAAATTTTATAATTTTTTTTTCTAAAAGAGGTCACCATTTATGGTTAATTGTCGCTTCGCCGACTTGGGTTAGCAGACGAATCTCGCCATCACATAGTGATAGAAGCAAAGGTAAATCGCCAGAATCCTCCAGAAATTCCATGATTAATGGAGTTAAAACCACGAATCTTCAACATTTCACTATTTTAGTACGATTCGAGAACAAATACAATATATTTACCATAATTTTACGTAATTCAACCAAATTTTCCATCAATACAATTGGTTATGCATCTTGTTTGACACCAATAATTTTAAAATTTCATTCAATTCATGAAAAACCATAACAATTGAAGAGGAATATGATGAAAGTAAAATCTGAGAGGAAGCATAGAGCGAAAATAAAATAATAGCTAAAAAAATCTGCTTAAATTTCTATTGGCCATTTTTGATTATCGCTTCTTCTTGCTTCTTAATAGATTCTTAGATTTTATAGATTTAGATTTTATTTACTTAGAGAGCTAAAAATCTGGGCAAAATGAAAAATTCCATGCCTATTGCGCACAAATTGGATTCTCAACCTTTCCATAAATTTTATATATATATGTATATACTATAAAAGTATATAAACAATATATAGTATATATATATATATAAATAATATATTTTTTAAAGAGTTCTCACCATTACTGGTTAAACTCGCTTCATTGGTTTGTCACAATTGAGCAATATGCCAAGAAGTCCCTTAGTGATAGAAATACTGGTGAGTCCCCAGCATTACTCGGATTTTTACTCCTGCAGAGAATCGAACCTCAGCATCAGCGATCTCAGTTGAACAACAACCCACTATTCTTTCCCATATATGTATATTTGTATATATATATATATATATAAATTGCACTCAATATATAACAAACAAAGCCTTATAGCGTAATTTATTGCATCATACAGTTGTCTATTATCATTATATTATCTAATTATTGGTTAAATCATTCATCAAAATGGGTTAATCTCTTGCAAATAAATGACAAAAAAAATAAAATCAAAATTTTTGTTGAGCAGTCGTTTCAAAAAATATTCTCGATTTATTTTTGTGAATTTATAAAAATAAATTTGCATTTCTGATCACAATTCAGTTATGTCCTCCTGAACTTTTAATTTTTTTTTTTACCAAACAACAATTAAAATAAAATAAATTAAAAGGAAGAGTTCCGTACTAGATAGTCGTTCCTATCGTGGAGCTGAAACGGGCAATCTTTATGGTTATGGTTCGCATAAAATTGACAACTGGCCGAAAACAGCATCTTCCAAGTTCTTTCAATTATCTCAAACTAAAAAATTCGGGGACAGTGAGCGCATTTCAAATCGAATTATTGAAGCATCTCAATGATAGAAATATCAATGATTTTTCTGGAACGGCAAATGAATGCTGGTCCAAACTAAAGGAATGTCCTCGAAAATCAGCCACGTTAGGGCATACTAGTAGGAAGTGCGCTAGTTGGGTATTGGAAGCAACTGTTCAACTGGAAAAATTGCCAAAGCACGAATGTCAGGTGATCCTGACTACCGGGTGCTCCGAAGATTTGCAACGAAAGCAGCAAGGCGGGATAGAAATCTCTATTGGAGTGACATGGCCTCAAAAATGGAGGCTCGATTAGGCGACAGTAGGAAACTATTCTATCTTCTTCATAAAGCAACTATGACTTGGGGAACGATCAGTGAAATGGTAAGAGACAGCAATGGCGTACTAATCAAAAGTATTAAGGATCGCCTCATAAGATGGAAAGAATTCTTTGAGACCAAACTTAACCATGAAGCGCCATCTGTTGCCCCTGATATAGCTAATACGTTTGCCGTTCCAGAAAAATCATACGCTTGCAATTGCGAGCCTCCAAAAGAAGGAGAAATAATTTTAGTTATCCATAAGTTTAAGGCTAACAAAACTCCAGGAAAAGATGGTCCTCGGGCTGAGCTTTTTAAATGCTGTCCATCGTCCTTCATAACGCACCTTCAACAAATATACTTTCTGGTTTGGAAAAAAGAAATATTACCAGATGATTGGAGCAAAACAATTCTGCTTCCAATTCTCAAGAAACATACTGCGACAATTATCGAGTCAGCCTATTAGACGTCTCAGCAAAAATTTTTGCTTCCATGCTACTCAACAGACTTATGGAAGTACGAGACAGCAGGATGCGCCCTAATTAAGCTGGTTTCAGACCAGGGCGCGGTTGTGCTGACCAGATATTCACATTAAGAAGGGTGTTGAAGGGTCTGAACATCGCTTTAAATATTTGCAAACCACTGTCACTGAGTTTCATCAACTTTGCGGTTGCCTTTGATTCAATTGATAGAGCGGTGCTTTTGATGGAACGTGACGGTGTTCCAGAGAAAATCATTAGACTCATAAAGGCATTTTATGAGCGCACGTCGGTCTGTGTATATGGGGAGCTGACAGATTCCTTCGAAATAAAAACAGGTATCCATCAGGGCTGCGTCCTTTCCCCCACAATATTCAACTATGCGATAGACTGGATAATGGACACTGCTTGTTGGCACTCAAGAGGTGTCCGAATTAGTCCAGAGCATCGTATCATATCACAGATCTTGAATCAGTTGATGATGTAGTTCTTTTTGCTGACCGTTTCGTCTTATGTGCAAAAAACTGATAAAATGCCTCATTTTGTGAATTCATTGCCGGTTGAGGAAGTGCTTGATTTTAGATATCTTGGGTCCACTCTAATACCAAATGGACAGGCAAAAGATGATATTATAACTCGGATCACGGCAGCTAGAAATGCGTTCTGGTTGACGGAACCTTTATGGAATCGTCGTGAAATCACCATAAAAACGAAAGCATCTATATTGACGTGATCCGTTCGATCTTACTATATGGTTCTGAGACATGGCCAATGAGGATATTAAGAAGTTATCTGCCTTTGACCACTCTTGTCTAAGGTACATATTACGGATTCATCGAGCGGATAAGATATCACAAGATCGCATCCATCTTCTTCAAATACCACTTGCATAAATAATGTTATCACAGAGCTCCTCCTTCGCTGGTTAGGGCACATTCTCCACACCACAGGACCACAGGAGTTCACCACAGGAGTTGACACATATTTCGTTATTTGCTAAATCGTGTAACGGTTAGCGTCAAAAGCGAGGTGGGCTAATCAATACTTGGACTGATACAATGAGAAAAGATTTTGAAAGTATAGATGAACCAGCAATATATGGACTTAGACGATGGAAAAAGGAATGGCTTCTATTACTGTCGACGACGCGCAGCTTGGAAGCTTTTAGAAACGATAATATTTTAAGCAGTTGTGATTGCGCCTAAACTACACCATTATTAGAGAAGTTCATTCGAATATTTAATTGTGCTAATTTTGCAAAATGCTTTTAGTAATTTCAAACTATTTCACTTACTTATATTTAAATTTACATTTTTTTCATATTTTTTTAAACTCACATTTTTTCATAAATTCATATTTTTTAAATTCGTATTAAAAATTCATATTTAAAAAATATTTATATTTAAATTCAGCTTCTATTAAGCTTCTCTGAACCATCTTCGAAAGCATTATTTTTGCTATGCAGTTTAGCATTTTTTCAGATTTAAAATCGTTTTCAACAATCCAATCTAACATAGCTATAATAAAATTTTATAAATTTCATTAAATTAAATTCTTTATTGTATAAAATTATTTATAAATTTCATTATTTTATTCTTGTGATCCCTAAGCAAATCAATGCTGTGGGACAAGGACGGTAAAACTTGATAAAAAATTTGATATTCCGCATTTAGAAATATCCAAAAGCCGCAGGTGCATGTAGATTTATGCCATTTAAAATATTTTAAATAGGATTTTTGTTAATTTTACGTATTTATTATATAAAAACGTATAAAAACGAGATAAAATATGAATGATAAATGACAATTTATTTATTATTATTTACTATCATTATAAATATTATGCTTGTTATGTTAATTTTGCCATTATTAGGTATCCATTCTTCAATATTTATTGAGGTGGAAATATGATAAATTCCGAAAATATCAACGTTATTACGAAGCCGTAAAAGAATTTAAAATGAGAGGGAAGGACCAGGGGGAGGGGGGAAGTGAAAGCTTAGAAGCGAGCGAATAGAAATATATATATCTTCACTAATTTACCACATCACAGCACACCTTAAGCTATATTATAGGTGCAATTCAGAAGCTGAACCACTGCTTTTTACATTCCATGAGAATATATCCTCTCTATTATATGGATAATGTAAAATGTACCTTAGATATGAGCCATTATGTACAGACAGTTCCTAAATACCCTCCTCCTCTTTCATTAGTAGCCAAGTCTCAGAGCCATATAGCAAGATCGGGGAAACTGCGATTGTGAAAAAGCCGAATAGAAAGATATTCGCGTTTACACTGAATTGATAATAAACAGCTGCCGTTTGTGCTAAAATGCAGCTAATGATAGGCGCATCCTGTTTTAAAAACTCTTTCCAGGGTTATGAACGGATTGTGGATCGTGTGATTGAAATAAGCTTTTCTCGTTTCGAGGGATTTATCTGCAATTAAAATTCGTCTTCCTTTACATTATGGTACCACATGGTATCACACGCTATCCCCTATTATGGCACTCTATCCCACAATACTACTTTAACAACAAAAGGATATTGAGTTTTAGTTTTGAATGAAATTTTTAAAATTCCCAAAATTTTTTTTCTGAAATTTTATAATTGGTGCTTCACGCAACGTAAGAAATTCGCGTAATTTTTTTCTCGCAGTCACTTTTTAATAAAGCTTTGACAGTTGAATTTCACGCAACATTTTTTTTTTTCAGGTAATTATGGTTATTTTTTATTAAATTAATTACTTTATAAATTTACAATGGGTTCATCATTATTTTATGAAGCGAGGCGAATACGTGGCACAAAAATTTTTTCACGTTCAATTTATACGTCAGTTGGTGATAATTGTGTTGATGCGTTACTTGGCCATGCTTTACCTCTTTCAGCAATTTTATTAATCGACGAACCATTTAGTCGGAAATATGCGACGATTTTCTTGAAAAATTTCCTCGCGGAAGGTAATTCTTATTAAATTTTATGAAACATTTCACATCCATAATCACATTTATTTTATTATTTTTTATCATATTCTTGTATATCAGTTAAAAAATTGATAAAAAATTCCACTCGTTTATGCCAAAGCATATTTCATACCAAACAAATAAATAATTGATTAGTGCTGATAAGCTGTGGTTAAATTCACCGTTAGCACGGCTCGAAATTTTTCCCGAAGAATTCTGGTGGATCACCAGCCGCATTCTAATTTCTTAAAGCGCCTGTCAGTGATTTATAAATATATAATATAATTCCGAGTACTGCGATGAATATATGTTGAAATCTTATAGGATATTTATTTATCAATTTTAAGGTGTATATAATGGACATCGTTTGTTAGTTGCGTCATCAATAAGTGAACCATTTGAAATTATATCGAATTTGCCACGAAAAGTGGAAAATGTGGCAGAGGCAATGGAGAATGAAAACAGTGCTGAATTAGCCGATGTTGATTTGAAAATCGCTTGGCGATATTCGACTTTACCTAAGAAAGATTCGGTTATAACTAATCATTTTGATAAATATTTTGATTTATCATCCAAAATTGAAGCGGAACGTTTATCTGAGTGTGATTTAACGATATATCCATCAGATTTTTCGAATTATAAAGTTTTTTCCTACGAAAAACTTTGGCGATTGATTAAGAAACGATTAGATGATATTTCACGTTGCTCAAAGAGTTCGAGTTCTGACCAAAATTTACTTCGAATCGCAATTCAAGGTTCCTCTTTTTTGGAATAAATTTATTTCCTATAATCTCTGTTTGAAAGAATTTTCTTTAAAGTCTTAATTACTTTTATGAAAATTTTTCATTTTTGGATTTTAAAAAAGAAATCAAAAATTTTCATTTATTCATAAATGCCAGATATTTTTTTCTCATAGCACCATTTCTGGCTGTAGTGACAATTGAAATGAAATATGCCTGAGAGTCAGTTGGAAAAATTAACATGGGTGGATTTGCCGCGTCTTATTTCATGCTGCTTAATGGCAAATTTTACTGCGGTCAATGGGCAGGAGTCCATGATGTAACTAACTGATCATTTAGTCACCTGCCTCTCATCGTCAAATGTGCCTGAATTTTTTTATTATTTTTCAATTCTAATAAATTAGAATTCAAAGACTTTATATATTCTTTAGGTTTTGGATCGGGAACATGGGATGACTCGAAAGAAATGATGAGGTTTCTCGCTCTCTTAAGGGCGTCCTTGTGTAATTCATGTGCAGTTGCAATAATCACAATGCATTCTGATGGATTAAACGAGTTGATCAGAGTAATTATATTTAATTTTTCTTGGGTTGGGTTAACTTTTGCTTATCGTTTTATTCGTCAGAATCATGAAGCACTTGATTAAAGATACAGATCAGTCCCTAGCAACCATTTAAGGAAAAAACATTTTATATTTTTTTGTTTTTTTACTCGAATGGTTGCCAGTGACCGACTTCTATCTTTATTTCCCAATCACTCCACAGTCATGTGTGCTTTCATATATTTCGTTCTCATGAATCATAATCAAATTTGTCATTAATTGCAAAAAAATGACTATAAAGAAAGGAGAATTACTTCAGACTCGCTGTACCTTTTTAGCCATTCTAATCTAATTTTTTAGTTAAATTGGCAAAATAAAAAATGGTTTCTTTTAAGTATATTTTTTTTCGAAATTTTCTATTATAATATTTTTATTTATTCCAGTTTTTTCATTTATAGGATCGAATATATTCGTACAGTGATGCCGCTCTGGTTCTAGAATCTACGGAAAAGCGACGTGTAGCGGCTGATACATTCGATGATCGATTTAATGGTTTCATTCGCATAAAAAAATTGCCAGCAGTGAATTCAATTGCATGTTCTTCTCCTATAAGTACTGATTTAGTTTACTACTTGTATAAAAAATATTTGAAAATCAAGATTTATCATCTTCCTCCTTGTTTTGCTGATAAAACTGATAAAAATAAATCGATTGATAATGTTCTTGACGAATTTTAATGGCAGAATTTATAGTTACGTATTTATTTATTCGATTGTTAAGTTCATAGCGTGTCATTGTGCTTATGATGTATTTACGTTGTAGACAATGAAAATTGTGTCTTAAAATATCCTACCTGACTGTTTTCTTTTAGTAGATACGAATGAGATTTTGTACATTTTGTGGATTTTTTGTATATTTTTATTTTCCTGTAATAATGAGCATTAGTCTTTTTTTTTCTTTTCTTTTTTTCTTGTTATTTGCTATGAAATTTCAAATATTCATTCAATCATTGCGCTTCGTTTAGTTTTATTTGAACCTTTGCTTATTTTATCTTAACTTATCTTTCAAACGTTGAACGCCATTTATATTGTCTTTAAAATGGTTAATACAAAAATTAGTAAAAAATAAAACATAACAATGAAAAAAAATTTCATAAAAAAGTGGAAAAAAATTTTTGATTTTTGCTTAATCAGACTAAAAAGATTTAGTCTTTCTAAAAATTCTTAAATTTGTCAGAAAAATATTAAAAGGACGATTTTAAAATTGGCATTCTTATTTTTTTTCAACGTTAAGACTATTATCATTTATAAAGAATGAAATTCCATTTTGCAGAAGGAATTACCTCTGTCTTCTGGTTTTCTAAATTGTTTTCAAAATTGTCTTCGGTGTTGATTTGATTAAATTTTAACTGATCAAACATTTCTCAGATATTTTTTCAGGCAATTTTTTTTTTCAGATAATTTTTCTCAATTTTATGCCTAATTATGCGGCTGAAAATTTCTGCAGCGATAGGGATTTTCGATGAGGCTCATCAGAGTTCGCTTCGCCTATTATCCATATACTTCCAGTCACAAAGGTTAATGGATATAATAGAACTAATTTTAATTAGATATTAATTAGGACCGTTCATTTCTTCGAAAGTTCTCGATGAAAGAAATTACCTGAAAAATTATCTGGAGAATATTTGATCAATTAAAATCACATTTCGTCGCATTTAACTTCAATTGATGTCAAATAGCATGGGCTGAATTTGCTAAAGAATGAAATTCCATCATAAGCGGGATCCAAATATCTTGGGGGAGCCATTTTCATATATATTATTTGAGTGTTGAATTCAGTTATAATCGCAAAAATTGAAAATTAAAGCAGAAATCTTAAATCTTATTCTATTTTGCAGGAAAATCCTCATTCCCTATGGGTGATATGGACCATTCTCGGGTACTCCACCAGAGGCCTGGAAGATTGAGATAAGGCAGGTTGAGATAAAGTTTCAGAGGGTCCCGCTCAAGAACTTAGTGCTAGCCTTATGCTATATCGGCGAATGTTGAAATTATTTTATATATTTTATTATTTTTTCCTCTTTTATTTATTTACTTTTTTTCTGTTTATTTAAAATCGTGAACGTATTATAGGTTAGTAAGTAATGCAAAGGAAATTGGCAGCAGTTCGTTTACACCTCGTGCAAATTTCACGCTTCCTGGTCGATTCGATTATCGAACATGGTATCCAATGCATATGTCTGTACAGTTGAAAAGAATGGAAGGAAAATTGAGAGGAATTGATCTGATCATTGAAGTATTTTATACCATTTTTATTTCATATAAATTGATTTTCATCCATTGACGAGAGTATATGTTGATAAGAATAAAATCAAGAGGCTCTTTACAATCTAACTGTGTTTATTTCTTTTTTAAATCATTTTAGTGACTCAGTGACAAAAATAGTCAGTTTTGCATGAATAGACATTTTGAAACCAGCCAAAAAGTAGAGATGGTGCATATGGTGCATATTAAAAGAAAAATGAATATTTAATCGTACTGTGGACCATATCTTATATTTTAAAATTAATTTTACTATTTTACTAAAATCTTTCTTAGCGTTACCCTATAAGCGTTGTTATTTTATTTTAGAGAATTTCCATATTTTATTTTTATTTGAACTGATCAAATTTTTGGGCTTATTTGCAAGAATGTTTAGTTTATTGCTTTTGCTGAAGTCATCTTCTTCTTCTAACAGCTCTCACCATTGGTTAGGCTGACTCCAACGGCTACAAGGGTAAGATGCTTCCAAGCGGTGCGATCTGATGGCATCGTCGACAGTAATGGAAGCCATTCCTTTTTCCATCGTCTAAGTCCATATATTGCTGGTCCATCTATACGTTCAAAATCTTTTCCGTATCAGTCCAAGTATTGATTGGCCCAGATTGGTATTAGAGTGGACCTAAGTCAGGGAAATCGGGCATTTTGTAAGCCAAGGTAATTCCTCGAAGCCTGTCAAGAGAAAGAAGAAATTGTCTGCTGGCACTTGCTGAGATGTCGGCCATAGCTGCTTAGGATGTCAGAACGCTTACGGACGTGGCAAGCTAATTCGTTCGATCTTCCTATGTGATTACGAAGCATTGCAGGTGAGAATGAATAGTAATATAGGGAACTATTATAAAAAGAACGAAAGGAAAGGCATCAGTTACCATATACTTAAATTTTAGATTTTCATTGTTTCAGTATAGTAATCTAGGTTCATGATGCTCGTATACCCATCACGGGTCGCAATCCTCAATTTTATTCTCATCTATATGCAGTACGTCCTCATATTCTCGTATTGAATAAAAAGGATTTAATCGACCTTAACATTTACAGGTTAATTTATGTTAAATGAAATATTTTTTCATTTATATATTTGGAAATTTAAATTGCAAAATTTATTACAAAATATTATTAAATTATTATATTATTATAATATTATTATATTACTATTATAATAATACTTTTATATTATTATAAATTTATTTTGGCATTATTTTGGGTTTTTCTCCTTTCATTTAGTTTTTTTATACTAGGAAACCAATCGAAGATTATTACCGGACTAATGGCATGCATAATATCGTATGGACCGATTGCAAAAGACGATTAAATCCTCCTTTACATCTCTTACGTGAAGTGATGGTCCAGTCTTTACGTGATGAACCGAGATATAATCGAACAGTAAAAACTGAGTACCAGGTATTATTTTTAATTATTTTTTCGTTTATCTTAACCTGTTCAATAATTTTTTAGGCTATGGTTGTCGGTATTCCAAATGTTGGAAAATCGGCCTTAATTAACTCATTGCGATCAATGAATCTTGGTAGGCATAAAATTGCTGTTAAAGAAGGTCAATTTTGTTGCCCTATTTCCTCGTATTCTCGTATTTTTTTTATTCTCTTGCAGCAAAATTTTCTTTGCAAAATTTTATAGCGAAAATATTATATTTTTAAAATAACGAAAAATTTTTATAATAATTAATTTTGATATTATTTTTTTCGTAGAAACTGTAATCACACAATTGGCATTTTTTTCCGCTTATAAGTGGAAAAATTCTGTTATCTTCGTGAAATTTTTCGATAAATGGCCCAATAAATATTTTTTGATAGCGCATACTTCTTTAGATTTCTTTAGCTATTGCTAAAATTTTAGGTAATCAACCTGGTGTAACAGTTAGAGTTCAAAATCGAGTGAAAATTTTGGATCGTCCGCCGATTTATTTAGTGGACACACCAGGTGTTTTATGTCCAAAAATCACAAATCTGTACGAGTCGATGAAGCTAGCACTTTGTAATCTTATATTAGAGTCAGCTACCAATCCATATTATGTTGCCGATTTCTTATTGTTCTGGCTCAACAAGTAATCAAAATTTCTTCCTTTCAATAAATAAGCAATGATGAATTTTAGAGTCCCTGGACCTTCGTTTATTGCTTCTTCCGAGATTAAAACAGCATTCCTGTTTATTCCTGTTCCTTGTTAATCATAAATCTGGAATTAAAAGGAAATCGAGATAGCTAGAGACTCAGCTATATTCCTATTCCCAACAGTAAATGAAAAAAGTAAAATGATATTTACTCAATTCAAATTCTTGTTCGACCATGTAGACTCACTGCAGGACAGGGGACTTCAGTTATGTCGATACTCTCAAACTTAATGATGGCCCTACAGACGACATACGAAAAGCAATGCTTGGGCTTTGTAAATCACGCAAAATCATTAGAAAATGTGTTATTGGCAATGAACTGGTTGAGCGCTGGGATATCGACAATGCAGCGAAATTATTTATTGAAATGTTTCGAAAAAACAACTTTGCGGATGCTTGTCTTGATAAAGATTTATTATTGAGCACGTAATAAAGTTATTTATTTACACTTTTGTAAGAATTTTTATATATTTGTATTGAAAAAAACATTAACAATAATAATTGATGATAAATAATCAGTCAATTGTAAATTTTTGTTAGCCTTCTGTATAGGTCAAACCTAAATTCTCATCAACGGCTATGCCGAAATTTGATATATTATGAACATCAGAAGTGGAAGGACCGTTGCGGGGGTCAATGTTGGGCAAATTTTGCAAATTTTGTGGTAACGAAATATTATAAACATTAAATATTAAACGGAGCATTGAGGTCATTAATGTGACATCCAATCTTACATTTACATTTACCTAACGGCAGTTCAGTTTTATAGAAGCCGTTGAATCGTTTTGTTTTCACCTTGTAACAACGATCACTACGAGTGCACAATAAACAGTCACCTAGCGGTCATTAACCTATAAGCCTGTATTGTCGAGAAATTTGGTATATATGTATATATATGTATATATATCCGGGTGATGCTGGCGATTCACCTGTATTTCTATCACCAAGGGACTCCCTGGCACATTGCCCAATGCGACAAGCCGGTGCAGCGAGTTTAACCAGTAATGGTGAGAACTTTTAAAAAAAAATAAACATATATATATAAATTTAAATATTTTTTAAATTATTTAAATATATTAATAATAATAATTATCTGTTTTTATGGTTTTAACATAACATTTTTCCTCTTTTTATTCCTCCTTTGTGTTTTCTCTGTTGGAGGTTACCCAAGCACGTGGTTACATGTCTTGTTTGATATTTGTTTATACATAAACAAATTATTAATAAATTAATTATTATTGATAAATATTATTATTATTAATTATTGTTATTTGTTTATTATTAATTATTAATATTATTTATTATTAATTATTTATTTATTTTTATTTTCTTTATTATTATTTAATTATTGTTTATTTATAAATAAATTTTCAATATAATTGAAAAGAGATGGACGAAGGGTAAGGAAATTTCGCAAAGGTGATTGGCCAGCATCGCCCATATTTTCAGAAGAGAATATAAATTTACTTCCGTCGGGAGTAGGGGCATCAGCAACGGCGCTCCGAAATATAGGCAATAGTACCCTATGCCGTTTGAAACAAACAAATCGATATCAATCACCCTAATTTCGACACCATAAAAAACATCGTGGAAAATGGTACAAACCGTTGTCACCTTAAAGCTAATATAGAGAATCACAACCATCTAAAGAACGGATTCTAATTGGTGTATCTGATTTCAGCTGCAATTTAGAGTATCCACGGCTTTTTCATTCTTTCCAATGGTTCACCTCAATTTGTGGTACCACTTGTTTTCCTTGACCAGGAGGAGCGTTTTTATACGGTTTTTTTAAAATATTTGCAAACACTTTCGTAGACACTTTAATTATGCAATATAATTAAATTTAGAGGAAAGAATGGCTAAAGAGGGCGTTCATTTTTAGCTTAGCGTATCCTTCATGAATTATTTTGCATTTATACAATCGTAAAGTCCGTGTAATATTTGTAAATACACGTAATCAATCAGTTGTGTAATGTAATTACGTCAGTATTCGTACGTGCAGTTTCTGTGATGTCTTCGCATGCGTGCATATATGCACAAATACAACACTGTAGGCCGACGAGGTGTGCTGCGTCGTGGTGCCGATTCGAACCTAAGTTTGATTCTCGTGACCACTGAGCACTGGGCTACCCATACATCACATATTTGTGCACTTATATATCGTATGTTCATTTGTAAATGTAGAGTATATACTATATTTACATATTATTACATTATATTATAATATATATTTACATATATATTACCTTGGTATAAGTACGTTGGTATGGCGCAGTCACATGTGAAGCACCTAAGTATCACCAAACGGCAAGGCAAATCCTCAGGAGCTAGCTCGATGGGAAGAACAAAATCGATGTCATAAATATATATGCTTTGCATCAGATAGATGGCTTTATAATTGGTGAATGTGAAAGCCACTATCTTAATCGAAACTTAGAACATTCAGAAATTTATCAGTAAGATTGTATCAAAGGATAAACTGCGGAGAGAATATATATATATATATATATATATATACAGATATTAGGAAACGATCAAGCAAAGGAAATACCATGGCAAAGCAAGGCCCTCCATATTGCACTATCGACATATTAACCTACCAGTGATTGGAAAAAGCCGGACTGAAAGGTACTGCACTGAGACACTAATTATAACAGCACAGGAGAAAGCAATAAATACTAGATGCGTCGAAACAAAGATTTGCCTCACTAACTGAAAGGCGTAATCAAGTATCATTTACATGATCATCTGCTCGGTATATGGCTTAGACTAAATGGGAGATTCCGTTGAAAATAAGGATCCTGTGAGACCTCTTCATCCAAACATACAAATAAATACCGACCCAACCTTATATCGTGATTATAGACAAGAATCAGAAATCAACACTGATGATTGATATAGCAATACCGGGTTTATGGTAGAGAACCTGAGGTTGACGATGATCTTTGCTACCCACAGATGGGTGAGAAAAAAGTTTTTAATATATATGTGGATGTTAATGCTACAACTCAGTAATATTTTGATGGTAGAGCAGTGAGAAAATCGCAGTCGAGTTGTTTATATTTTCTTAAAAAGATATTTTTCTAAATTTTTTAAAAAACTTCTAAAAAAGATATTTTTTCTGCTTTTTTAGCTTTTTTTTTTAAATGGTGAAACAGTTCGTAATTTACAAATTCCATGGAATCTTTGAGATTTTGCCGTATCGAATTAGACTTAGACTCGCTTGCCTGGCTTTTTTCGAATTTCAAGTCAGATAAAATTTTCCAGAAAGTTATTTGACGATAAACTGCAGGTGGATCGCTTGTTTTTCTTAGGTTTATTCATGATGGGAATAGAATCTTAACATTGCTCTCCGACGTGAGAACCAACTCATTGAGCCATACTACTAAATGTTATGGAGAATGGAACTTATTTAGATTTTCGGCCGAAAATTCATCTTTCGTTGCTTAATTTAGGTTTGGAAGCTGAGTCGTGTCATTTCCAGTTCATTCTTCGCAATACTAGCAAATAAGAAGCATAAATTTTTTAAATCATGTGAATTCGTTAAAATCGTAACTAAAAGAGATTTGATGTGATGCCATGTTATTCTTAAAAGTAACTTTATTTCAGAAATGGCTTTTGATCGGCCACAATCGAACGGATCGAATTAGAAATTAAGTACGAACTATAAATTAAACCAATTAAAGTCAAAAGAAGACGAAACTTATGAAAAATTATCAGCTATCACTTTTTAAGGTAAAGTAGAAATATAACGAATATTCGATATAATAAAATGGAGTCCCAGATTTGTTCGAACGATTCAACGAGCGATATGGGGAGCGCAAATACATTGTTGCTATCCGATATATATCCCGTGCTTCAGGTCTATTTTAGATTTTAAATTAGCAGAGAATGAATTATTTTAAAATTTCAAAAAATAGATTTTTTCTGCGCGAATTATCATAGCCAGGAACCAGGTTGATTCATTTTCGGTTCATATCTGCCGTATGGATCATCTTCTTCCAGTCGATCGTGCGTTAAAATTCTTAGGCATTTTTATGACCCTAAAAGGTTTATATAATAAAAATTGAAAAATTCTTGCTCACCCGATTTTCATTATCATTATTATTCCCATGAGGCGATAAAAGATAAAGTGAAAAATGATAATAAAATGAAATCATCCTTATTCTTTTAATTTCAACAGAATTCTATCATTGGAACTGGTTTGATGAACAATTTTCAACTGATTTTGGTATCTAAACCACTTTTTTTCATTATTTTCGAACATTAATAATTAGAAAATTTTCTAGGTCTTTGCATCGTCAATGGGAAAATTGCGCTTTGATGCCGCTCGAGAACGGATTGAAACATTCAGAGGAAAGCGAAATTGTACTTCTTCGAATAGTGAAGATTCTACTTGTCATTTTCTTTTGCAAACAGCCATACAGGTTTGTTCATTTAATATAAATTTTAGTCAACAAGTTTATAGATTCAAAAATGGGATGATTCGGTGGATTGTTTCTTTTCCCCGCTGGAAATACATTTATTTCCCAAAAATTTGCTGCTAGTGGCGATGCTGGCTACTCACTTATATTTCTAGTTCCAAATGATTCCTTAATGAAATTTGTCTGGTTCGATATGCCGATGGAGTGAGCCAAAAATGGTGAGCGCTGTGAGAAAAAAAATTTCACTTGAAAGTGTGGAAAAGTTTCCCTAGTTACACAATTATTGTAAACGATTACAAAAAATTTTTCAAGCTAAGATCATAACCTTCTTTACTTTGCATCGCATAGGCATTTTTTTAGTCGGTTATGTTTTAAGCGTTTAATTTAAAACGCTAGATTTATTTGAAATCAAATTAATATGCAATTAAGCAACAATTTTTTATTTATTTTGCATCTTATTATTCTTCTCAGGGGAACTGTTTGCATAAAATTCTTCGAATTTTTGATTCAATGTCACTGAAATTGATTGAAATCACTCTCTGTTCCATCGTTAATGCCCATATAACCATCTGAAATCTGAAATCTGTCGTGGCAGTGCAGCTGTCTATCTGTATTGAATCCTTCCAGTGATAAAACCAAATACAGATTGTCCGGTACGGATTCTATGCGGTCAAATTCTTTTTTCACAACTACTATCCCATTTCTTCCTAAATTATCTATTGAAACGATGCTATTATGGATTCAGAATTGGAGTAACAGATATAAGTAGGAAGTTCGAGAACATTTTGCGATATTTGAATTGTTTGGTTATCTGGATTGTTATCTGTTTTACAACGTCTAATTACGTTTAAGATTTCCAGAAATTGTGTAACCAATTGATTGCAATAATTTGAAATGAAAAAAAAATCATCAATAAATAAGCGAAATGAAGATACAACGTACCAATATTTTTTCCAGATATCTATTCTCGAACGCACCTATTTCACATTAAATTTTATGCTTCCTAGGGCATTTTATCGCAAGGATAACACGACATTATCTTCATATGCTTGTCTAAAGTTGGAGATTTATTAATTTTCCTTTATTTATGCTTATATAATATATTTATGGTTATCCTTTTATTTTTTCGAGAAATTTTTTCAAATTTTCTAGTAATAAATAGTGTAAAGCAACAATTTTATTTACATGTATTTGTGAAGGTTTTAAATCTTTTTACTCTAGAAGTGACCTTTGTCGCCAGATTGATAGCAATATCAATTGTTTAATCTGGCCTGCAGAAGATATTTGCCAACGTTTTGTACAAATCATTAATGCCAGAATTTCTTTGATGAATATGTATGATGGTCTTACGGTTCAAAGTAGGTTCCTATTTCATCCTATTTCATCGTTATTATTTTGAAAATGAAAAATTATCTTTGGGTTCTTTTTTTTCTTTTTTTCAGGCCTAACTTCTCCAAATGAATTAGTTAATCTTGTTCAACTATTGTCTTCCATTATGCAGTCGTTTTTACCGATTCAAAAACAGGAATGCCTTTTCCTACTAATTGATAACATTATTTGTGAAGTTGGGATTGTACAGTTGCTGTTTGAAACACAAATAGCTCTAATTAATTGCGAAGTTTATTTTTTTTTTAATTTTGCCTCCACAAAGTTTGACATTTTATGGATTTAATAAATGAATTGAATTCATTTCTAGAATCAAGCTTCAAAATATGAATCTAAATAATTGTGTGATCTGGTTGCAGTATCTTTTGTCGTTGCTTCATTTGAAAAGTGTCAATGCGAAAGTGCGTCAATGGTTCCTTGCACTGGATTATAGCAAGTCTCGTTCCAAATCGACGTCTTTCTTTAAATTACGTATGTTTTCTTTCCTTTTCCACAGAGATAAATTATATCGTTTATTCGAAATTTCTGTTTAGATGACTTTTTTGTGAAGCAAATAGAACTAAATAAAATTTGCATTCATAATTCTGAGAATTATTCTTATTAGATACATACTTGTAAGTATACTTATCTCAAACGATCATTTTTTTCTTTCTCAAATAAACTTCAGGGATTAGATATAAGCTTAATTGGGTGCTGAAGAAAGCAACATGGTTTTTGTTTCATTATATATGCAGATCTATCATTGAAAAGGAAATCGGCTAACAAAAGGCCAATCTATTCCTGCATACCCACTTAACTTTATGGCAAAACAATGTTATCCTACTAGTAGTCACTGGAGCTAGAGGAATGGTACATATTATTGAAAAAAGAAAAACTATGCTCTGGTTAATATGTTGAAATGCAATCAAAGATTTATTGCAGCATCTTCTATACGACCATCATCGACATTACACCTCTGCGAGTGGATTGAAAAGTTTTATTTTCTTTTATTATCGAAATATTCATTATATTTTCGCAGTGTTCTTTCACCACACTGTAAACAACTTGAAGTGGATACGGCATTTACCGCCTTGAAGGAACCGAATTTTGTACAGGCTTTTATGAACTTTCTTCGTAGATCCAGCCCTTTATTTATATCACTGATTGTTTATCGAACATCTACGGATCTCTGTTCTTCATCGAATGGTACAATTATTCTTAGCTTTTGCTTATAAAATTTCACCGAAAATTTTAGGAAAAAATTTTCTATCAGTACTCTGAAATATTGGGAGAAACGGTAGTGAATTAGGTATCATTGATTTATTTTTATCAAATTATGTCGAAATATTTATGCTGCTAATTCTTTCGCATCTCTGATTTCAAACTATTTTCCATTTTTTTTTGAGCAAAGAAAATTTTAGTATTATTAGCCGAAAACGATGATAGTGAAGAATGCGGAGAACTTAAAAAAAAATTTATATTACTGGTAATATTCGGTGAACGTAAAATTTTCTATTCATTTCTTCCGTCGATTTCCATTCTTATTCAGCAGTGCGCAGAATCAAAATTAGAAAGCGATAAAATTAAGTATTGCTTCGACCACCTTCTTTGCAGGGTATTTATTTTTTCGAAGTTTGAAATATTTCTTTACTGAAAGCCAGCAAATAATGAAAATTGAAGATAAAAAAGAAAATATGACAAAAGTGAATAAAATAAGGAAGAAATAAAGAGGAGTTTCAATAATTCAGCTCAAAATGAATTTATTACTTATAAATCAAATGGTAAAAATCACGATTTGCCCATATCTATGATGAAGTAGATTTTTTCGTACAAAAGCATGATAGGTGGATAATTAATAGCATCAAGATAAGTAATGCATATCAACTTTTTAATCATTTTGCTACCAACACATATTGGGCTAATAAGCTTATAATTAGAAGAATCACAGGTACTTCCTTTTTCATGAATAGGAATTTTTAAAAAATGAGTAATGAAATAATCAAATTTTTTTTGTTTCTAATATCTATGAGAAAATCATTTTCAAACTTTAATTTTAATTCTTATTTGATAAAAGGGCGATCTGACCATAGGCATTTATTTTACAGATTCTGATTTTGTTAGCAACATGTCTTGCTTTTTCTTTTTGGAAAAAGAAAGATTTAATCAATTAAGCTCTTGAAATATTTTGATTACAAAAAAATTTCAGAGTATTTTTGTGACTCTTATTGAACACAATATTTTTATGGCAATCACGTTCGCGAAAAAAGTCAGTGAAAAAGATAATGCTGTTATTCATTTCATTGCCGAAAACAGTGCTTTGTTAAGATGTGGCAAAATTTGTCAATTACTCCGAGGTGGAAGTAAATGAACCAAGGTTTATTCTATCATTATATTCGTTATATTTAGTGCTTCTTTATTGTTTAGTTAGATATGCACATAGTTATATCATTATTAATGACCCAAGGAAGGAAATTTGAATTTTCTTCTAACAGCTCTCACCATTACTGGTTAGGCTGCACAGCTGGCTGCAAGACCAATATCTCCAAGTTTCAAGTCTCCAAGTTTTTCGGTCCTTTGCCATCGCTTTAATGGAAGCCATTCCTTTTTCCATCGTCCATGTCCATATATCGCTGTTCCTTTTATATGTTCAAAATCTTTCCTGATGATATCAGTCCAGGTCTTGATTGGTCATCCTTACTTTTGACGCCAGCCATCACACGGTTTAGCAGATAACGAAATATGCATCAACTTATGTGATGGATGACTGAGAATATACCCTAACCAGCGGCGCTCTGTGATAACATTATTTATGCAAGTGGTATTTAAGCGAAGATGGATTCAGTCGTGCGATTTTATCCATTCGATGGACCCGTGAAATGTACCTTAGATATGAGTGATTAAAGGCAGATAACTTTTAATATTCTCCATTCTCATTGGTCATGTTTCGCAGCCATATAGTACGATCGAGTGAATTGCAGCTATATAGACGCAGATTTTCGTCTTTATGGTGATTTCGCGGTGGTTCCATAAAGGTTTCATTCTTTGCCTAGTCATCTGGGATTAGGAGTGGATTCAAGGCATTTAAAAAATTAAACAACCAGTAATGAATTGATAAAAATAAATATTTTGTCAATTTTATATTGCATTATCTCGTATGTAAGACGAAAACAATTTTATTTATTTATTGATTTTGAGTCTAATTCTCACTGTAATTTTTGACACACTGTTTAACATTATTTGTATTTCGTTATAACTATCAACAAAAAGGACTAAATCATCAGCTTATTCGAGGTCTGTGATGCTATACTCTAGACTAATTTGCACACCTCTTGAGCACCGACAAGCGATGCCCATTATCGCATAGTTGAATATTGTAGGGAAAGGACGCAGCCCTGATAGTTCTTATTTCAAAGGAATCTGTCAGTTCCCTACATACATAGACCTGCGCCAGGATATGCTAAGGCAGCTTTTTCAGACAGTTGGACAGTTGCTTCCAGCGCCCAACTAGCATGCCCTAGGAAGTGGCTGACTTTTGTAGACATGTATTTAGTTGGGACCAGTATTCATTCGCCTTTCCAACGATATAACTGACGTTCATTTCACTGAGATGTTTCAATAATAAGATTTGAAATGCTCTTATTGTTTCCGTATTTTTTAATTTGAAATAATTGAAAGACTTTGGGATAGACTGTTTCTTATGACTTGTCAGTTTTATATTATTATACTAATCTTGATTCGAATCATAACATGGTCTGATCCATGGTGGTTACCAGTTTCAGCGCCCGGATAGGAACGACAAAGTTCTTCCAGTATATACTGACCAATATAGTCAATCTGATGGGAATATTGGTTGTCCAGAGAGTTGCACACGGCTAATATTTAAGATGCCGAAAGCATGTTAATATTAATAACAAAAAGTTCACGCTCTTCGGCAAAATGAAAAAAACGTTCTCCATTGGTGCAGTGGACCCTGATGCTTTATTTTCCAATTACCGAGTTCATCGTAACGGCATTATGACCTATGCGAGCATTCAGTTCTCTCTCGGACTATGTCACCTCTCCGTAGAGATGTTCACAATAGAAGCTCCGCATATTCTTATCGCGGTCATCTCGCATAAAATTGGAGCATATACTCTCATAACCGAAATATTGCACAACTTTCCTTTAAAACGGTCATTTACTGACTTCCAATCAATCAAAGCGGATTTCAGACACCGCTACGCTATTTCGTCCCGAGATCTTCAAGACATCATACATCATACAGCCAATATCTTTGCACCAGCTTAAAAATTACACGAGAGCCAACATGAGGAAGATGGATCTCCGACAAACAAGCCACATCCAGCGGTATTTAGAAAGGGAGTGGTCAGTATTCACTTGGTTCATAACATTTATAAGCGTTCTTACGTTCCAAGCAGTTATAGTCAAAATCTCATCGTGCTTACAAAGTGTTAGCGAATAGGTTCTCGCCTCCCTTGACGAGTTTTGAATACTTTTTGATCTCGGTTCGCGAGCAAATTCAAGAATATGGATCTCAATTTTTATTTTTGATTTCTTGTTTTTCTTCAAGATTTTAGTGATTTTAGCTTTTTTTTGTGATATTTTATGGTATTTTAGTATGAGAAAAAAAAAAATTAAAAAATTTTTATTTGTTAGACCATTACAAAGCAAAGAATACCAATGATTTGTAGCTGTTTAAACTTTGGATGAACCGTGCATTGCTCGGTATTAAAATGAATTCATTTAAAATTAATTTAAAAATGATGAAAATATTGGAACAGAATGACTGAATTAGTTGTTGTTCTTGTTTCGGAGAGCAGAGACTGAAGTTCTCCTTTTCCTCCTGGCTGCAAAAAACCTGCCTTTCAGAAAATCCGGTCGATCTCACTTTCGCTTCTATCACCAAATAAATCTATGGCAGAAATTTATATAATCCGAAAAGCCAGAAGGAGCCTAACAAATCTCAAATCTCGTAGAGATCAGGAATTGAACGGTTCGAATAAATATATTTTTGGAAGAATTAGTTTCTCAAGAAAAGTTAGAGAGTAAGCATAGAGAAAAAACAAATTGACTTTCTAATGATTTATTAAAAGTTATATGAAAAGTAAAAATAAAAGTAAAACTACATTTGAAGCTAAAATCACGAGCGATTCAATTGCTATAGTTTTCTCATCTTTTCAATTCGCATCATTACTTGCTGGATTGGTTTCACTCTCCACAAAAGTAAAGGATTTCAAGAAGAAGCCACTTTTTTTTTACAGTCCAAACTAATATATATGTGTAATATATACATATTATAATTGAGCTACCAATCGTCCAAAATTCCTCTAAACTGTTTTAATCCATCATCCCTTGCTATTTACAAGGTTTGATATTTCTGGATTTATAGGTCCAGAATTGTCCTTAATTAGCATAGGTATTTTTCGATAAAAATCGATGAGTACGAGAGAAGATGTATGTAATCATATAGTAATGATGGAATTTACCTCATATAAAACGAAAATTGATCAAAATCAGTAACAAAAAATAAAAAACTTATTTTTAATATCATAAAATCGAACTTTGATCATTAATAAGAAAAATTGATAAATAGTTTTCAATTAATAGAAATATCAGAAAAAAAAGTTGAATCCTGAGCAAAACTGATAGTTTCCACAAAGTAATAAATGGTTACAAGTTAATAATATAGTTCAGTTTTTAAACGTCCTAGTTGTCAAAACTGTTATTTCGTCCCGACCGCCAAAATACACCATTCAAATCCATCCAAATCATCGAAATTCTTATGTTGAATACTAGAACAGTATCAGTTGAATATATTTACACTTTACAGATGAATGCAATATGATGGAATATGAAGCAGCGCGGGATGGAAGCAACTTGAAAACTCCACCATCTCCATCTTTGAGTTGAGTCTAAGAATTGGAATTGCTATAATTTGCTTTCGATGTTCAACCTTTAGCGCAATCAAGCATAAAAGTTTCCAGTAACATGTAAACACTATTATTTTCGTAAAAGCACGTTGTGAAGAATCCTATTAACGATAAAATTATTGCTAAAAGCATAAAATATAAAATTTTTAAACTTCATGTTTATCGATAATAATATATCCGTGTAATTTTTTAGATGAGAATTTGGTTTACCCAATATAAGATTAAAGCATTCATATACGTGTTTATGAAATTATTCTGAATTAAAGTTGGCCAAGCCATGATTGAATTCTGCAAAGAATTGTGGAATGCTCGATAATCAGATGAACAGCATTTGTCATTGAACAAATCCAACGGCGATGGCAATTTTCGGAATGGAAAGCTAACGCTTTAATAGTATATTAAAGCCGAATGAACCGAATGCATCCATGAAATAACTGTGTAAGGAATATCATAATTTGCCAAAAAAGTCCGTTGGATTTATTATTTTATTTGGCTCATTTATGGCCAAACGATGTTGGCGATTACATTTTTGTCACCAAATAATGGCAAATTATGTCGGGTCCGACAAGCACGACCAAATGACCAAAAAATGATGAGCACTCGTAGGAAAAAAGCATATTAAAGAAATTTAAAAAATTAGTAAGAATTAATCGGAAGCAAAAACTAGATTTCTTTTTGAGGCAGAAAAAACTAAATATTGCATCGATTTCTCCATGAATGATAAATTGATAAAAGGTTAATTGGATGATTGAATGAGAACCAGTAGATGTTAGAGTAAAAAAAAAGCTTGGTGTCCTCTTGGTAAGGCGTTTTGGTGTCCTCGACTGTTCTAGTGAGTAAAAAATAGCCCTTAAACCTGGTAAACATGCTCTATTGGAACCTCTCCGCATTCAGATGAACATGTTAATAGCGAAAATATTTTGATTTATTCTTTTTTTTATAAATGAATATGTCGTAGAAGTCCTTTGGCGATAAAAGGACAACACCACTTTTTTCTCTCTCCTTTACTTGTATTCCTTAGGCAACACTGCCGCAGGACGGAGAGTGGCGCACTGGCGGATTAGATCCCAAATCCGGATCCTCGATGCCAGTTGTTTTGCAACTGAACCATGGCCACACCGTTGTATCTAAATATTTTAAAAATTTATCGTTTAATTGAATATTGGTACATTTCAGAACCTGTCATCTTTATTAATCACCTGAACTATTATTAATCATTTATTAAAATTAAAATAAAAATAAATAAAATTAAATTAAATTAAATAATTAGCAACTTTCATAAAATTTTTTAACAGCATTTTTTTGACTTTTATTATATATTAAATCAGCAAATAGTGCCTTCACAGTGCTATTACTTGGTTTCGAAATTTGATAGTTATTTTCACCATTAATTATCTTATTTAGCCAAAAAGGTGAAAACGTGGCTATTAGCATAATT